AAGCTCTCTCCTGGATGGCCTGTGTGGAGCTTGTTCTTGAGATTTATCTGGGACAAAATACAGTGCATTTACAGTAGCATCTTCAAATGTTTATGGTACTCATATGTCAGCTCAAATGTTACTCTAGAATTGTTCTCAGGCATGTTAACATTCTTTAAAGAAGAGACTAGAGATTTTTTGGGGAGGGGGACAGGGGAGAAATTAAATAGTATCATGTTTATCATTTATTTTTTTAACCAATAGGACTAAAAGGAGATGAACTGCCCTGGCTAGGCAAGTGTTTGTAGCTTATTCCTGCAAACTTCTGGCTTCTGTGGCAGCGTTTTCACATTTTTGTTGTTGTGTTTGTATTTTGCATGCAGGTAAAGTTTTACACAGTACTAAAAGTGTCAGAAAGAAACCTGGGGAGACACCAAGAGAAGATCAAAGTCTAAAATACAAGTTGTTATATGATCTTTTCTGCTACCACATTACCCCTTTCCCTGAGCACTTCCACATGTGTCATGAACCAGTATGTATTTTTAAAATAACCTGGCTTCCTAGAAGGGGTTGGCCGCATGCTAAATTCTGAAAACCCAATTAAATACAGCTTTTGAGAAAGGACTGAGGTATTTTTAATAATATTGGGGGTTTTCAGTATTCCCCCAGTTTTCTCTGGAAATAAGAAGCCCTGAGGAAAATAAGAAAAATTAGGGAGCATTTGTACCTTTTCCCTTTCAGTGGCACATTGGAATGAAGAGGGTGAAGGAGGTTTTGTTTCTGGGAGAAATAACTGCTGGACCATTATTTAAAGCAAGGGAGGGGTATGAGATGTGAAGTTTCTGCCTGAGGAGATTGAAACACTAATGTGCTGCTGTCCCTGCTTCAGAAAATCAATCTCCTATACTTTGTTAAAGAATTAATTTTTTTCATCCATGTTCTTTATCACTAGACTCTAATTCAAACAGAAAATTGATCTGCAGTCTCTCTGCAGACCTCCACAGCTTTGGCATGATACATCTCTTAATGCTGTACCTACATTCCCAATTGATGCTTTGTGAGGATTTTTGCCTTGAAACACCCCCAGTAATGAAACATGTCCATGGATGAATGCAAGGGGCTCACCAGTGCAGCCCAAGCTCTTTGGCAGCCCTCTCCTTCACACATTGTGCAAAGAGCATCACAAACAAACCTCAGCAACAAAAGCTCCCTGTGGGCACAGTGCCACTCTGCTCACCCAACAGTAAATTTTGTCCCTGTTTGCCCCCTTTTTCATGCTGGAAATGTAACATCCCAAACTATTGATGGCTTCCTTCCTTTCTGCAGAGTTCAGTATGGTCCTGCTTTTCAGTCACTTTGGGGAAGCCAAGAAGTGAGACACTACACTCCTTTCATTTTTGCTCCTTTTCAAGTGAATGAACAAGAAGCTGCCTGACTTTGCTTGTCAGAGCAGTGGTTCTTATATTTGAGGAGCTCTAGCAATTACTAATCATGGGAGTGATTGTGAAGCCTGGCTCAGTGCTGCACAAGAGGTGGTTTCACTATGACGTGAATTAGCACAGGAGGAGATGCTGCAATTAGAGTAATTGGAGCTTACTTATGGCATATAGGAGCAAGAGGAATAAAGAGGTTTTTGTTTCAGACACTGCTTCTGATGTGGCATGTCTTGGGTCTGAGCTCAGCAGGGTAAAATGTTAATTTTTTTTTTCCTCTGTTTTAATGCATTTATCTCCAATTTATGCAAAATAACTGATTTTTATGTATATTCAGAATAGCTGAAAACTTTTATTGGGTTGTTGGTTTTGCTTGTGGGTTTTTTGTTTGTTTGTTTTGGGCAGCAGTAGGATCAAGCAGTTAGATTGCATCTCAGTACCTCCCATATTTCATTTCCACCACTTATATGGCAATTATAACCACTGAGGTTTTAATTAATTTTCACATGGGGTTTATTCAGATTTGATATTTCAGTGTTACTAAACTGGACTTAATGTTGCCTAGATTCTGTGTGTGCTCTTGTCCTTGTGCAGAAGATAAGCTTGAGGAAAAGACACACTGGAGACTCAACTTTTTCCAAGGACATAGCTCTTAAAAGAAGAAATTAAGATACTGAATTTCCATTAAGTTTCTTGACCCTAAATGTGTGTATTTTTGTCTAAAAACAGACCTGCAACGATAGATGAAGGCAGTGGATTTTCAGGTCATTGGAAACAGGGTTATTCTTCCAGATTTGCTTTGACATAGAAATAAATTTGCAGTTGTAAAATGGGAAGCAGCTGACTAACTAGTTCATAATGTGGGTCACCAGTGTAAAAAGGTTCCAGTCCTATTCCAGGGCCCATTTCAGGGATCCTGACAGTGTCAGCACCAGTGAGACCTTAGCAGAATAATAACAGGATAGCAAAATAATAATAAACTGTTCTTGATCAGTAGTAATATCAAAGATTAGAGGAATGCTGGAGATGAGAAACAAACCCATAAGTTTAGGAGAAGTGATATGCAAGGACAAGAGGGAGCACTGGAGCTGGCTTGGTCCTTTGGGGTGGCCTCTTGGCACTGCTGCCCTGTCACTCTCTGCCTCCTCTCCGTGGATCTCCTTTGGGCAAATGCCTCTTCCTGTTCCACAGTTCTCAAATGCTGCAGTTGACTCAAAGTCCCTTTAATTATTTATTCACACAAGCTCAAGAGGACTCGAGGGAGGACTGGAAATGAAAGGAAGGAATGGAAAGGTTATTACTGCAGTGGTGCTTGAAGAAGGGAACAGGTGATCAATAGGCAGGTGAGAGAGGTGGGGGCAGCTTCATTTATTGAACAGCACTGCAGTAGGGGGACAGGAACCAGATTTTCTCCATGGCTTTAGCAAGGAAAAGATGAATTCCAAATTTTCAAAGATATCAACTTATCAATGGAGGAAAACCTTGCAAGAGACCATCAAGTGAGTCTCCAGAATATCCCTCTTTGGATGCTTTAAAAGCCCACTAAGCAATACAGCTTTTGTTAATGAAAGAAATCTATACAGGCAGCTCAGCTCAAAGACTTGGCAGCCCCTTCCCTGCCATTGTCCAAGGGACAGCCTGCACAGGATTTTGTGGCACACAGTATTGCATTCAGCTCCTGTATGGAAATGAAATGCTCATTAGAGATGAAATAATGATAATTAAAAAAAAACTTTAAAAACGCCTGTTTTGAAAGTTCAAGACTACATCTTACTGGAAATTCAAAATACAGTATGTAATATTGTTTTATGTATTAGGTAGATAGAGGTAGCTATGAAGATGTTGTTGTAATGTGACTGTCAGTGGAATATTGTGAAGTTCTAGTATTGTCCTGCTCTCCACATAATACATCACAAAATACTTACTGAAAGAATGGATTTTACCATGTCATTAAAGCAGTTGGTAAAATGTTCTTAACTTGCTGACATCTCAAAAGAATCATCAGATGTCTGTTTCTTACAGATTTCTTTGTGGCATTTCAGCAGAATCTGAGGTTGTAAGCACTGGTAGCAAATTAATTAAAATAATTTAATGGGGTTGTGGGACACATGGAGATTGCAGTAATAGTGAGTGGCAGGGTGAGTGAAACAGCCAGAGAGGATGATTTGATTGCTGAGCATCATTAACTTACATAAATTATCATGCAAAGGTGTATAATGAAATGTATGGAGTTATGCTCCAGGATTAAGGACCATTTCAAGAAAAATATTCTGAAAATATACCAGTGTTTATAATGGACAGGTCACATGAACTCACAGCATAAAGCTGTGTGGAATGGCCAAGAGGTGATGATAAATCACAGGATGAGCAGGAACTTGGCTTCACCTGTGTGGTCCCCCCAGATGTGTGTGTATTTATGGTGAAGGTGGTCTCAGTACCAGACTGTTACAATCTTACACCTTTAGAACTGTTCCTCAAATGCTGTTGAAAAATTTCACCGTGGGTGAGTTGTACAAAATAATTCCAGCACCTTTTCTTGGATTTTTAATGGTGTTAAATTGCTTATTTGTGTGTGGGGATATCTGCTAACCCTGCCCTGTGAGAAATGAGCTTCTCTAATGGGCTCTTTAATGCAGAAGGGTGACAAAAAGCAGTGATGTGCACTGAAATCAGGCATTTCCCAAGATCCAGGGGCTTTAACAGCAGGGATGGGTGGCCCTTGGAGCAAGCTGCCAAAGGAGGCAGTGTGGACACTGTGCTCTCATTTTCTTCTGGCCAGTGGTGGATAATATACTGGCAAATGTATCAAATGAAGGTTACTGGAATTCATGCAATTGTACTGGATAGGATTGAAAGGATCTGTGATTATTGGAAGATTTAATGATGTGCTCTCTCTTTATTTCTGTGAAAATCTAGGAACAAAATTGTGGTCAATACTTAGGGGGCTGTTGAACACTAGGGAAAAAATTGCTCATCAAACTTATTTTTGCACATAAATTCTTGGTCTTAAGTAGTATCAATGTCCATGTCTTACTATGCATTGTGAGGATTGTTCATTTTGCAGTCTGGCTAAATGTGCTGGATTTATTCATCAAAGGACTGCTTAATTTGATTGGTAAGAGTTATATCAATTGAAACTTAATGTATTTGAATTAGTGTCTTGCTTCTAGAAATGCTCTGTGTTGAAGGAGATTGCTTAATTGGTATTCTTGTAACTTTTAGTTTTGAGTGGATTTTAATGAACTCACTTTTACCAAAGGCAGTGTACCCCTCAACAAGTTTGTCTTAGCCTTTGCCTGGAGGAGTTGTAATGTGTACAGGTTCTATGCTTCTTATGTTCACATTATTTTAATGTTATTGCATCATGAATATGCATCAACACAATGTTTTCACATGCAGACTACTTACTATTAGAAATCTGTGCTATTGCAAGTAATTCTCTGCAGACCAGTGAATACTATTTTATAGACTTTGGAATTATAGCAACCACTGCATCTTTTTTAAATTAACCCCAAATCTACATGTATTTTTCTGTTGAAGGATGTACAGGAAAAGCTCATCGTTTTTTTCCCATTGTTTGTTTTTCAGTGAGAGGTTCATGGTGAGGTTAAACAAGAACGGAGGCCCCAGGAATCCAGAGAAGATCGATCGAATGTGTGCACTTTTCACAGTACGTGTCTGTCCCTTTCTTCTCCCCTCCCAGGACTGGGGTTGGAGGGTTCCTGAGGAGAAGGACACTCAGTTCTTGTTGTCCAATAAAATCAGTAGAACATAAATAATTTCTGAGTTTTGTTACAGTTTTGACTAGAGAGTGAATGTACTTCTATGTTGTTTTTATGGCTAAGTGAATATTCTGAAGTACTTGCATTTGTGCCTGCAGATAGTGTGAAATTTTAAATATTTTCATTGGATGTGCTGTGCCCTTAGATAACAGAGCATAGGAAAAGGCTGTGATGGCCTGAACATAAAACAAGGCAATTTTTTCTGAATGAAAATCAGACAAGTGTTATCCCTTGTCCTGTCCCTACATGCCCTTGTCAGAAATCCCTTCTGCACCGATCTTAAGTTGTGTTTAAAGTTCCCTCAGAATCAAGTGTCAGACCATCATTTTATCTGCTACTTCTTCTCAGAAAGGATATGAAAATCTGGAGACACTGATACTTAGCAGCTCCTCACAGAATAACTGTAAGGAATCTCAGATCCCAAGTGTGGTAAACACCTTCCATCGTGACTCACCTTTAGTTAGTGCACATGCTGGAAGCTCTGTAGCAGAAATATTTTTACCTTCAGTGAAGAAGAAAGATGGCAGAGCTTTGGTTCTGGCAGTTACACCCTCTGAGTGTACCCAGGGCTGGACACTGAGCCAGGCATGGTCCCCAGCACTGTTCCCTGCTCTCCCTAAAGAAGGCAGCAGAATTCCTCCTCTTAGGGAGCAGAGTAGATCTGAGTGTGAGGATGTTCAGTTCTGTCTCCATCTGGATTTAGGAGATGCAGTCCAAAAGTAGCACTGACCTGGATGCTGACATCAGTAGCAGTTCTGGTTTTGGTACCATCAGGGAAGTGCTGTCAGCTGATTAAACATCAGTAGAGGTGACAGTGCCACCTCAGAGATGGTGACTGAAAGCCAGAGTCTGGTCCTGCTGAGAGAAGGTCAGCAGGGCTTAAGGTTCAGCACTGTTGTCTGAGTCAGGTGAAAGGCTGGAGTGCAGCACTGGGAGCTGCCCTAAGGAATATTCCCAAAAGGGAGCACAGATTTTGTATCAACTTTGGCACTTTCTGGCCTCTGAGGTTCATCAATTTGGAAAAGATTTTCAGTATCCAACTTCCCCACTCTCACCAATGCCACATGACTTGGGGTCATGGAACAAGTGTCTTGTTTCTCTCTGTGTGGTGAACAGTGTGAAACAGTTTTGCTCTGGTGATCTGCAAAGCAGCCCTTACACCCTTTAAAAAAAAACTTATAAATTCCAGCCAGGGCCATTGCACAGTTCCAGGAGAGACTTGCTGCATATTCTGAGTAGGGCCAGTCTAGTCCAAGAGCAGCCAGCCCTGGCATTGCAGACACTTGCCAGTGCCAATCCTGCCCAGAGACACCTCCTGAGCTCCCTTTCCCATCACTATGCAAGAATTGCAAAGCTGCTGCAGCCTCAGCTCCCCAGGGAGCTCAGACTCCATCACTGGCTGGTGGAGGTGCTTAGACTCTCTCACTCATCAGCTATTGAATGTGTACTCTACATAACAAGAATTCTAATGAATGTATATTCTATGTAACAGGAATTATAACTGGAGAAATTATCTGTGCAAAAATTTCACACTTCTAAACCAGAATTTTTCATCAATGCTTTCAAAGAACTTTCCAAAGTGTGTAGTAAAAGAGCAATAAAAATTTGCTTTTTTGAATAACTATTTTATCTGCAGTGGTTCTATCTTATCATAATTTCTTAATTAGGAAATGCTTCTAAGATAGTTCTGTGATTTTCAGGTCTGCTGCCAAGCTTGTGTTCATCTTGATTTCAAATTTATTTATTTATTTATTTATTTCCTTGTCCTCCCTCACCACACCACAGTATTTTTTTAAAACTCTAATCTTTCCCCAAGGCAAGCAGCCCATATCTTAGATAGTTCAAGGGATCCCTGTCTTTTTTTGCTATCTCTGTTACTTCAAAGGCTTCAGCTGTCTCCTTGTGTGAGATATCAAAATTACCCAGAGTTTGGTTTTACATCTGCTGTCATATCATAGCAAAGGTGAGAAACTGCTTGCTCTGGAGATCAAAGCTCACTCAAGGAAACCTCAGCCTGTGCATGTTAGAAACGTTTCCTGGGTCTGAATTAAAATGTAACTACACTGTATAAGATTGTTGTTTTTGTTAAATACCTTTTTCTCTGTGGCCTGTGAGGTTGGAGGCTGAATTAAATTGCTAATTAGTGACAGACAGATATCCTTGATTCCAGTGGTTTGGGGGTAGTTGTGATGGTTTGGGGGATTTTTAGCACACGAGCAGACCTTTCTAGAAACCAGCATTGTAAAGAACTAACCATTATTGTAGAGTAACTCTCTTCCATACCCAATACAGGTGGGAAAATTTAGAGGTGATTTTGTAAAAAAACATTCAGTTAGAGTTATAATGAAATTATGTTGTGTATCAGTCAGTATCATTTAGGAAGCTCAGAAGGATATAGGAAATACCCACCCTGTGGATGCAGTCCCAAGAATAACCAGTAAAAGCAGCTTATCCTCTCCTGGTCCTAGGAGATGTACATGGATTCTCTGCAGAGGAATTAGCTGAAAACTTCCTCACAGGGGCTGGGGCTTTTGATTGTTTGGTCCATGTCATAGTAAGAATTTCCTGCTTTGTAAAAAGCCTCTGCTGTACAAACTGAAATGCAAGGCCATCTGGGCCCACATTTTTTGTCTTTTGCCTGTGACACAGTATATTTGTGAAATAGGAAAAGCAACTAAAGTGTGAACCCATCAATATGTTCATGCCCTGCTTTTTTCTGATGTTTTGACAGCTGCCCTTTGAAAAAATAGTTCTTTAAATTGCTGTTAATTAGAACTGGTAATCTGATGGTGTAATAAAATTCCCCCTGTCAAAGCACAGATATTTTCAGGAATCTATTGCTCTCTTGAGCATTAGGTATTACCTTCAAGTTTTTTTGCTTTTTGAAATGTCTTGTCAGGCATTACTGAGATTAAAACTATGTCAAATCCCTTTCAGTGTATAACTTCATGTCTCCAAGACATGCAAGATAAAGGCTACCATATGTCACCCTGGTATGTTGGGTGCTGGAGAAAGCCTAGAAGGTGTGTTCCCTTCTTGGTGCAGCAGCAGAATCGAGCCTGAGGAGGAAATGCTAAGGATGGTTTATGTGGCTTCATGTTTTTGGCTCTGGAGAGACAGATCTGCTGGTTAGCAGCACCCCAGACAGTGGCTCTGCAGCTCCCTGCATGTGCTGCCCTGGGGAATGCAGAGGTGCTTTTAGAGAGCAAGGAGGTACAGCCATGAATTCATTCCTTGCCTGCTGTAAATCAGCTATATTACACAATTGGGATGGGATTGAAACTTCTCCTTAGGATAAATTCCCTTGATGCCTTGTTCTGAGTCACTGTGCCAGCTTTTATTGTAATCTGGATTTGCATTGCCATCGTAATCTCACTGCTTGAGGTTTGGGTTCTGAAGTCACATGGGAAAGAAATTCCCTGTGTGATTTAAGGTTCGTGTTGTAGCTTTCAGCAAAATGCAGGGTTTAATTCTAAATTGATTCAGATTGGGAATAACAGATCTTAGATGTCCACAGTTTAAATTTCCTCCCCTCTTTATATAAAAATAGCATTATTTCCTTTTCCAGTGGTTATAATACCAATCTTTGAGGAGCTTTTTAAAGAAAACCACGAGATTTTATCTGAATCAGAGACTGTTCCAGTTAATTTTTGTGTAAGTAGTACCTGACAGTGAGATGACAGCACTTAGTAGAGAAAGAGGCAGCAGCTGTTGCTGTAGAGCACGAGGAGCCTTTTTGCATCAGTCTAAAACAGGGATGAATATTCTCCTGCTACACAGGATCTGTTTCAAATCTTCTCTGGTAGGTGAGTGGCATAGGGAAAACTGGTTTTTAGGAAGAAATGTTTCTTAGACCTTTCCTGTAACTAAAAAAAAATTAAAACGCAGGAGGAATGTCTCAGAAGTTGCTGTTTGTTTATGAAGTTATCAGTGAAAACTACAACACACTGAGGAAACTGCAATTAAGTTGGCTTCTGACATGTGAATACAAAATGCTGCAGTAATGAGTTATTGAAAAGTGTCTTATGTGTATTTTCTTAATTTATTTCATTATTTTTCAATTTTTCTCAGAGTCAATAACACTTATTTTTCTTCATTAACTTCAGCTCTCCTTTTGCTCTTCTGTAGCTTCTCATTTTCTTGTTGTTTAGTTTTTCTTGAAGCTCATTTTAACATGGGATTTCAGAGTTTACATGCACATTTTTAATTACAGGCACTTATGTTGGAATGTCTCTATTTTTTCCAATCTTTCAGGATCTCAGCAGCAAGGACATGAAGAGGGATTTGTACATAGTTGCCCATGTAATCCGAATAGGTACAGTATGATTTAGTGCTTGAAATACATGTAATAAAGAGACCTCTTAGAGTATTTTTAAATATATGTTTTCATTAACTGACTTTATAATGATTTATACATTTAGAGAACCCAGTCATAGATTGATTGACATTCAGACCATATGGAGCTGAGTGTTAGAAAGTTACTGGTGACTCTTCAACAGTGATTTTGTTTTTCTGGGTCTGAAACAAAATTTTTGATTAAACACCACATCTACAGGAGAGGGACAAACTAAAAAGGCTTTTTTAATTTAATGTTTAAAAATTTCAAATGAGATCTTTTTACTGGTGATAGAGCTGTGTTACAGGGCAGGACATCAGTATGTGTGACCATCCACATCAAGTAAATCAGGGGCTGTTAGACAAATGTATATCAAGATTTGTTTGTTGCTGTAGGAGTCTGTGGTGCAAGTACATATTTTAGCTGTGTTAAGTAGAAATTATTTTAAATATTAGGCCTACAATGTTAACAGTGTATAGTAGGAGCAGCAAAGACAGTTTCCTCAGCTGTATTATTGCAAACATGTGAGCAGTGCAGTGCCATTCGTGTGTTTCAGGTTTTCGGGTGGCTGAAGAATGGCCAGGCAGTGTTTGCAAGGGTAGGGTTTTTAAGGCTGTTGCCAGCCCAGTCACTGCTCACACCCAGTACCAGGCACAGTCACCTTTTCTGAATACAGCAGCTCTAAACACAGCTTTGTGTGTTGTCCTGGGAATGGCAATGTGCCTTCAGAGCCACAAATGTGTCACAGAGGTCGGGGTTTCATTATCTGACTTCCCGTGGCATAAGAGCCTACACATCAGAATTGCTCTGTTATCACTTGAGGTGATAAATGAAGCTTGTAGCAAGGTGCTGTATTAACCTTGATGCAAGGGCTGGACAAATTATTGTGTGTAATGTTACAAGTTCACTTGGATTATCACAGTGATTTTTCTGGCCTTGGCATCTTTTGTAATAGCATCTTCAGTAATAGGAAGTCAGTCACTGAGCAGCTTTGTACTCAGATTTCTCCTTCCTGTGCTCCAAGAAGGATCCATCCAAACATGATAAACAACCAATATATAATATTAAATATATTATATACTATATATAATGCATTCCCTTGAAGCAGTTGAATAAAATGAGAATTTATGCAATCAGTGCACTCTAAGGAGGGAGCACAGTGACTCTGTGTGGGTCAGACTGGTGAGTACAAGCCACATTCTTGGCTCATCCACAGATGATTTGTAGTCAGCCCAGCTGGATGCAAATATGTGTCATGGAGCTACAAATCAAAGCTGGCCAGACATGATGCTGTTCACTTTGCCCTTGACTGTTTTTGGCTGAGTGAGTGTAGGTTCAAATGGACTTCTGGCTTGGAAAAGTTTCAGAATGAAAAGCTGTGGTGGGTTGACCCCAGGTGGACACCAGCTGCCCTCCAAGCCTCTCTGTCACTCCCATCACCAGCAGGATGGGGCTGGGGAGTAAATAAGATGGAAGAAGGGTGAAGATAAAGGCAGTCTGATAAAGCAGAGGACATGAGCAGGAGCAAAGGAAAGCAAAAGATTCATTCCCTACTTTCCATCAGCCATCAGTGTCCAGTCACTTCCCAGGAAGCCAGGCTTCAGTCTGTAGAGAGCCAAACCTCACAGTGGCAAATGTCCCCACTCCTCCCTCCCCTTTTATTGTCATGTGCTTTGGGCCATCCCTTTGGCCAGTGTGGGTCACCTGTCCTGGCCGTGTCCCCTCCCAGAGCTGCCCCCCAGGCTCCTGCAGAGGGGGATGTTGCCGAGGCAGGCAGCAGTGTCAGCCTGGAGCTGCAAGTGCCCTGGCAGTGCTGTCGGGGGAGTGAGCACAGCGGGCAGGGTGTGGCTGTGTGTCCATCCCTGATGTTTGAATCCCCTTCCCCGCAGGTCGCATGTTGCTCAATGACTCCAAGAAGGGCCCCCCCCACCTGCACTATCGGCGCCCCTATGGCTGTGCGGTGCTCAGCATCATGGATGTGCTCCAGTCCATCTCGGAAATCAAGGAAGAGAAGGACTTTGTGCTCAAAGTTTACACGTGAGTAACTCCTAGGAGGAGTTTTTTTTTTGCTTCTTTATTATTCCAGCAGCTCACAGAAACGAATGAATATTATCCCCAGATGTTTCAGGTGTGTGAAATGCTTCAGAAGTTATTGAATATTGCCCAAATCTATGTGACTTGCAAAGCTGCTCTTTTATGAATGTGAATTATTTAAAATCTGCTGAGCTCAAGCCCAAAGAAATGTGCTGCATTTCATCTGATGAAGGGAATAATAACTCATGCCTCATCTGCTATTCCTTACCACTCATAGTAACCAACAAAAAAAGTAGAAAACAACTGAATTCAACAGTGTGTGACCAAAATTTTCAAAACAAATCAACATTTTTGAGCATGAATCTGTCTTCAGTTATTTGTGATTTTGAACTTTGAACTAGCAAATTTTTATTATGAAATATGGTCTCCCAGTTGTAATAAAGAGGTCACAGACAGTCTACAGACTGCAGGGAATATTTAAATCCCTTGTCAGTGAGGATAAATACTGGCAAGATGTGCTTTGCAGATGGGCTGAGGCACAGCTGACACTGCTTTGTGGTCTGTGGCCACTATTGAGAGCAGTAAGATAATTTGGTGGGCTATGGAACTTTGTCATTCTTTGAGAAGTGCATACAGCAGCAAAAAATGTGACCTTCAAGGGAAACGAAATGAAAAAAATGACTTTTACTGTTCACTGAAGATTTTTGGATGTCTCTTCATACATTAGAAATCTCTTAAATCCAAACAAAAGTCTCTCAGAGTCAGCTCTTTCATTCTTCCTTTGCCAAAAGTTATGGAAATTGTAGCAAAAATGTCAAGTTATAGGGAAGAAAATGGTCATCTTTCTTCTCTCTTCCAGTAGAATCTGGCCAGTCTTGGCCTTTAGTCACATCCAATTTCAGCTTATCTCAGACCAGTGGGTTTTGACTATAAAGTTCTATTGGCTTTGTAGATATGGTGTTAATGTATTGCAACTGCAACATTTTGAATGTTTACAGAAATGGAGCATTCTGATTATTAGATTTCTGTTTTGTTTCCTGTTTCAATACCTCTTTAGCTTCTGAAAAATAGAACAGAAAAAACTTGTTGAAACACTGGACTTTGTCAGTGACAAGTGGAGTCACACAGCCCTTTAGAGCAACCCTGAGTCTTGGTGCAGTGATGGAATAAAAATCACAGGATACAGAGCTTCCCTTTTCTCCCTGCTGATCTGCAGTGTTTTGTTAACATGGATTCCCTTCACAGCACCCAGAGCACCAACAGTTTTATCCAAATTCCTCAGCACATTTGCACCAGCTGTTCCTCACGTGGGCAGGGAGAGCCCCTGGCTGAATTCAGCTCTGTAATCAGATGTTTGTAATTCTTTGTCACTATTGTCACTCTCCTGGGCTCTTATAAGGCTTGTACATCATTCTTTTATGTTGCTGCTGTTTGCAGGGTTCTGTATAAACCTCCAGCAGAAATATTCAGGAGGGAACATGGATATATCTGAGGGGCACCAGCTCATCCCCTTGGCAGCTCTGATAGCTGTTAAACAGAGTTTTCACGGGTTTGTCTCTTGCATCTTCTCTCTGTACATTCCTTTGGCTAACCTGCCTTTTCCTGTTCATAGGCTACAATTGAAATGACAGGGTTTTGTCCTTTAGAAGTTTAAAATCGAATATGAGTGCTTAAACAGCCCTGAACTGATTTTCTTACCTGCTGCTCTCATTTTGATTACTGTTAAAATGCCTCAGGCCAGCTCTGAAACATCATGAAGATGAAATAAGGGGAGAGGTGTATTTGTATTTTTCAAGGAGCAGTAAAAAGCATTCCTTTTATACACTGTGTGGCTAAAGCTTACAGCTGCCACAAATGAGGCAGCTGGAAAAGCCTTTTCACAGGGAGAAGCTGGAAAAAATTTGAGAGACTGAAAACCTAACAAAGGCTGAAACAAATATATGGTCTGTCAATGGAGACTTCTGCTGAATCCACAAGAGAATGTTTATGGGAGGGGAAAATAAAATCAATTTACTTCACCAGTCTTTCTCAGCTTGCATTATTATTGTTAAAGATTTATGTCTGAAAAATAATTTTTCTCACAATTGAGATTTTCCTCTTTTTTAATCCCACAGTCATGTTAAAATCTCCCTAAGAGGATAGAGTACCACAGCTGTACTTATAAGCTCATTATGCAAAAGCATAAAGGTTTAGTTTTATTATTTTTTAAATATATATGTAAAATAATTTAAAAGCGAGATAGAAGTTAAATTCTCAGTCCATTTTTTCTGAGATAACTTGCCTTAATATTTTGTATTCCTTTGTATCTTTAATGAAACTTTTTGCTCACTGAATGTTAGTCTTTGTCCCCATCTTACAATTCCCCTGAAAACTTCATGCATTTCTCTTCCATATTCACTTTTTCTGTTTCTTTTTTTCTGTCCTACTTTCTTGCAATCTTTTTTTCCTATTTTTCCAGCCCTAGATCTTAAAACTCTTACCTGTTAATGCCTAAATGCTTTTCCCATTTGCTGTTCCATTGTTGCTGTTTGTCCAGCTGGACAAGAGCTCACATCCCCATTTTTGCTGTCCCCAGCTGCTGACACCAGGACTGCTGTGGGATGGAAAACATCCCAAATGTGCATTTGCTGCATAACCAGCCAGCTTCAAAGGTGATGGATGGCTCAGGAGAAAATTCTTATTCAAAGGAGAAATATTCTTTTATATACTTGGTATCTGGACAAGTGAAATGTGAGCACAGTAAGACATTCCAAGCAAGTGTTTCCAGGCCATCCCTCAAAGCTGGGAGAAGATTTTCATTCCTGGCACTCAGGAAATGCAAAGTGCAGCTTCCACTGGCACTGGGTACAAAACTGGCTTTAAGCTGCCTTTACAGTTGATTTTGGGATAACTTGGTTGCAGGTTAATTAGCTGGCATTGGAGGCTGAAACCTCTTTTAGCTTGGTCTCCATAGGCTGGTACAGCAACTAAAGAATCACCACAGGTTAGACATTTGTTTATAACTATGAGGAGGGAGGATGGTATAGAGTTTGTGTTATGGGTTCTCTCTCTGCTTTTAGGGGAATATTATTTGGAGTAAGATAAATGACTTTTAATGTGTTGACAATGTGAAGATAAATTTTATTTTTTCTTGATGAGTGAGCTGAATTAGCACACAACACCACAATTATTGGCAGGGAGTTTGCACTGTCCATTAATGCCTTAGCTCTGATGTGTTTTGGTTTTGAGAGGTTGTTTTGGGGAGTGCAATTACAGTCAATTTACCATCCTGTGAAGTTCTGCAAGGTCACTTCGTGCTGATGTGCCTTGTGTGACTGTGTGGGCACTGTGTCTCCTCCCAGAAGTGGCATAGTACTTACAGGAGGTGGGCAGTACAGCAAGTGAAATATTCTGTGTATTTCATTTGTTCCAAGTTGTCTCTGCTCCTTTTGCTGTTCTAAGAACATTTTGGGGATGTCAGTAATTGTGCCATCCCAGGCTTTGGGGGTTACCTCATTATTCTTGGCAGCACATGGTTTTGCAAGACTGAAGCTGTAGGAAATTACCAGCTCCTACTTGTAGAGAGCCTGAATTCCTTCTGCCATTCTATTCTTCAGTCACATAATGCAGCAAAACTAAACATCCCCACTGTCTTCACAGGAGTGGTGTGTGTCTTACCCTGGCTGTGCTGACATCTTGTACTCTTGGGGGAAGCAAAAAAGGGGAAAAATGGTAATATCCTTGGAGAAGTTTTCCAAAGTGATTTATTTCTCAAAACTCCTAGGAGCTGAAAGCTTAGAGTATTAGCTTTTTTTTTTTTTAACCTTTAAGAGTCAATAGGATGGAAGTTTAATTAAATTGTTTAATTCAATTGCTTTTCAGGAGAAATGAGATTCACTATTGCTGCTGAGTTAAAAATTGCTGACTTCATGGGGAATCATTGAATCTTGCTGTTGTGATTTAAGTAAAGCACTTAGACTTGAGCAACATACTGCTTTTCCTTTCTTTTTTAACCAATAGCACTGTTTGTGATGAAGGTGCCATTTTTTTCACATGAGAGAAGATTTTATGGCTCATCTTCCATGTAAAAGCTTGATAAAGGAGGTGACTTCAGTTCTTTACCTTTCTCTCCCCAGTCTGAGTCTCTCCCACCCTGTGGGACAGTAGCCTGTGGCCTCAGAATGTGGTGCTGGTTTCCTTGGTTCCTGTCTCAGTGGAACTTCAATTCCTGTGCTTTGGCTCCTGAACAGAAGTGTAGCACTCATTTTCTGCATGACAGAATTCAGATAGAATGTCCAGAGCTTTCTTCATTCTGTCATAATCTGAAGAGTGGAACAATGGCTTTGATGACAGAAGAGTCACCACCAGCTCCAAAGTGTCCATTGAAAGGACATAACTATTAGGGAATATTTTGTTTCCTTCCACTTTTAAAAATAAGAGTTATGTGGATTTCTCTCACTCATCCAGACCCTACAAGCTTTCATATTATTTCTACAGCAAAGTTGACTGTCATGTTCTAAGATGGTTCAGCAGAAAGCAATTAACTTGAATTAGTGTTCTTTTATTTTAGGTGTAACAATGAAAACGAATGGTGCCAGATCCATGAAAACATCATCCGCAAGTCCAGCACCAAATACACAGCCCCCAGCTCCAACTATGGTAAATATCTGCTTGTGTCTGCTTGTCACAACAGCAGCTGAACATCTGCTTTAGGAAACAGCTGATTATTTGTAGCAAAGAAATTTACTGAGATGTGAGGTTTTCCTTTCGTAGCTAATGACAGATAAATAGGGAAAGTAAATCCTGTCTTATCTGTTTACCTCATGTAATGATGTCTGTAGTTGCTAATTCAGAGATATCACTGCTCTCCCATTCCAAATGAAGCAGCTGATAGGATACAGTTCAGCTTCATTACAGCCAGTTCTGTATTCATTACCAAGTGCCTGAATCATGGTGATGTCCAAATACTGAAGTTGTCTTAATTTTGCTTGTTTGCATATTGAGACACTGTAGTGGAAATATACAGTGCACACTCCCATAGACGAGATTAAGCACAACAATAAGCAAATGAAACATTGTGCAGGTTTGGAATTTTACTCTGTAAAAAAAGCTGGTTTCATTCCCTGCTGCTCCTGCTGTTAAAGTTATCCACTAGTCATCATTAAAAGATCTTCCTAAATTCTTTATACCTTTGAAAACTTGAACAACATGTCTGAACTTCCAGATTCCAAATTTGCTCCAGTCCTTTTACACTGGAATTTTTAAAAATTATTTTCATTGGTTTGTTTTCAATAACAAACAAGGATATAAAATGCACAAGTTTTCCTGTAAGTGGCAAAAATAATCAAGGCTGATTTCTAATGAACATGTGTCTCTTGTGTGCTGTGAAACCTTCTGTACACACAGACACCTTCATACATGGTATTCAAAGGCTTTGGATTTTTTCCATGGTTTCAGAGCCTGTGTTTTCCCTGCAGTGTTCTCCTGCCTATTCAGCTGGGCAGTTGCATGTCCATGTTTTGGCAGCTTTTGAGTACATACATGCTGACTGTCCAGCTGGCTGGTTGGCCTCCCTTTTCCTTCATTTTAAGGCTTTATGCTCATTTTTTTCATCCCAACTCCCAGTATTCATTAAATTTATATAATCTTCATGTAATCTGAGTATCTCCTTATTTGCCAAATTTGGCTGAAGCCAAACAACAGGCTTGAAAATTATTTCAAGGAGAGAAGGCAGGAAGTGGGTGGGAGGTACATGATACTCCTGGGTTTGTTCCCTTGGTAACTTGTCCAAGAAAATGGTGACTAAATATTGGTCACAAAGCCCAGATATTGAGTCCTAAGCAGGACTTTGAATGGCTTGTGCAAAAATGTGCATCCAAAGCAGGGTTTGGGTTGGTGTGTGGTGTTCTGGGCAGTGAACAGAGAGGACAGAAAGAACTCTTGACCAAGTGACACTGAAGGAAATAAAGAATGTGGAAAATTGCTCTGTGCAGGTAATTCTCATGGATATGTGGAGCTGGTAGTGTGTGCTCAGCACGTGAGATTGGGCTTGAAGGGCTGAGCTCAGTCCTGGAATTTTTTGGTATGGTAATGCTGGACTTCATAATTTCACTCTCCTATGTTGTAAATTAAAAGCAAGTAGAGAAAACAGCTGGACTGAGATGAATTATTCCTAGTTCAGTTGTTCAGATGATGCACTGAACAACAGAGCTGCTTACGGAAGTCACTTTGGCCAGTTGGCACTCCTGAAACATGTTGAGGAACTGCTAGGAATTTCACTAAAATCAACATCTCTCTATGAAGCAGTTAAAGAAATGAATGCAACAGATACATTCTAAGTCTTTTCATGATATAAAGCAGGATTAAAGGCACTTCAGAGATGTTCCAGAGCTTTGTGTGGTTGGTGGTCCCTCAGACAGAGGTGCCATTGCTCCTCCATGTGTCATAACCTGCTGCATGTGAAGAATAGAAATAATGAAAGTACCTTCTGTAGCCTGGGACATGTCTGCAAAATTAGGTATTCTGATTGTTAGGAGCTGTATTTTAATATAATTCTGTGCTCTTAACTGATCCCTTATAACAATTTTGTTTCCTCCATTTCAATTTTCAATTACTCCAAGGGAGAAAAGAACTCTGTCTTTATATATTGTATCAAATTAACTGTGGAGCAAAACATTAGTTTACCTGCATGCTTTGTACACGCAGAATCTAATTCTTAGGTCAGGAACAATGAACCTCTTTGGTTTTTTTCCAGGACTTATAATATCTCTTCAGCTTCTTCGTGGTGACATGGAGCAGATCCGAAGGGAAAACCCCATGATCTTTAACAGAGGCGTTTCTGTCACCAGGAAGTTGGGATTTCCTGATGTTATAATGCCAGGTAAATAGAGCAGCTCCAAGCTGAAAATATTGGGCATTCTTTTCTCATACTCTCCAATCAAGCACAACTGGGATGGGCACTTTACTTGAGTGAGATTGGTAACAGAGTTGTCTTATTTATCAGTAAATGCCAGATTTGGGGAGGCAAATGCTAAAACATTGTCAGGAGCAGACATTACAGTGATGGAAGGTGTTAAAATCACTTGGATAGAAGGGGATCTGGAAAGATTGCTCTGAAATTCCCCTTGACCCCTGCCAGTTAATATCCCTCTTGTACCCTCGGCACAGAGGTGTTTCTCTTTAAATACATGAAATTTCTTCTTCCCAACAGTCAAAATCCTAGAAAAAATGAGTTTCCACTTTGCAACCTTGATGTTTTTGAGTTTTTGTGATCCTTTTGTAATGAGAAGCAGACAAGGTGCAGACCTGGTTGGATTTTCCCTCTGGCCTCACAGAGCAGCTGGTGTGTGCAATGTCGTGGCTGCAGCCCTGCTGTGCTTCCTCTGCCCCTCACCTCTGGAGCAGCAGCTGGAGATGCTTCTTGGCTTGGCAGCCCCAGCACAGCCAAGAGTTCATTTAGAGAGAACCCAGAATGTGGGCAGTCATGCAACCACATAAAACCTGGTGTTACACTGGCTTGACTTCTGCAGTGTGCTAAGAAATGTGTTTGCTGATGAGTAGCACATGAACTATTACTTCATTGCTGTGATGAGCAAGCCCCAGGGTGACTTTACAGACATGGGAGATTTGGTGAAAGCATAATGGGAAAAGCATCAGATTTTATTACTCAAAAGGCTGCAGTGAGACATCCAGAAGTAGTTGTAGCCTCATTATGGAAGCTCTTCAGAAACCACAGTGAAATAGGGAGTAGGTGGGAAGCATTTCTAGAAACTAAAGAGTCAAAGGATTTAGAACAACATGTGTATTTTTACTAATGAGCTTGAAAATGGTGGTAAGAGAGCAGCAGAAGGATGTGGGCTGTAAAGCCCATTATAAATGTTGTGGCCTTATAGCAGTTCCAGGCATAACCCAAAGCATTCAAACAGGGAAAAGATGAATTATTGCAGGCTGATGTACAGACACAGCAGCTGCAAGGTGATCTGCTGTCATTGAGATCACAGCTGGATGTGTCACATTTACACACCTGTGCAAGGGAATTGATTCTCCTGCAAGAACTGCTTGATCCTCCATTTCTGTGGATGAAGCTGTGCCTCAGGTGCTTCAGGCCACTGAAGCTGAAGGAACAGCTTTGTGTCCTCAGTGTTCCCCTGAGTAATTTGTTTTCTGTTTTCTGGGCCCTGGCCCCTCTGCAAAGTGCACAGTGTGTCCCCTGGATTTGCTGCTTTGGGCCAGGGCTTGAGCAAACAGCTCAGCAGTGCTCATACAGAAAGTACTACTGCCCTAAGCTTTTAAAATTCTCTGTTCATTGCAGCTAATCCAAATTTCCAGATTCTCTTTGTGAGAGCCACAGTTCTTTTTGGAGAAGACACTGTGGTTTTAAGATGATAACCTGTTTGGAATTGTGTAAATATATATGTGTGTCTGTATATATATATGTATATATATGCTCCAAATGCTGATTGAAAGCAACCATGGTGGTAGAATCACCATTCTGCCATTAAATGCTTCCTGCCTCTCTAGAGGATCTGAGCACAGAACTTCTCCTTGATTCCAGGTGTGTTACAGGAGGTTTTCATATATTGAGTTTAGCTGCAAAACCTTAGGCATTTTAAGAATAATGTTTCTATTTGTGAGTAAAGGCAGTTTGTACATGTCTCCAAGTAAGAAAAGCAAGGCAGTTGAGGAAGTTTGAATGAACTTTCACTGTAGTTATAATTGAGGATGTTGCCAGAGTAGAGAGGAGCTGTGAAGACAGGGATAGTCAGAGTGGGGCTCCAAACAAAGGCTTTCATATCTAGGGTATTCTCCAGAATAATGAAATCTCTGGCAAATGAGGAGATTGAAGTGTCGTGCAACTCCACTGATGCAGCAGTGTTCAGTCTAATTACTAATCAGGGTTTTTTTTTAAATCAAAGTATGTTTGATATACTCAAGTGGCAGCAGATGTTTGCCTGTTGCTTGCTTTTAAAACAACAGATCCAGTTGGGGTTGGAGTTTGCCTGACATCCAAGATAGAACACTTGGGCTGTGGTACCTTTCAGGTGGATTAGCCCAGCTACATGAACAAGGAATGTCTGTCAATGTTCTTTGTGCTTATGTTTCTACAGCCAGGATCAAACATTCTTCCCTAGCTTTATGACTATTGTCTAAAGTTGAAAAATAATTCACTGGGGACACACATGACCAAAAAAAAGGAAAGAAAAACCCCCCAACCAAAGACTGAAGGTTGTCATGCACATTAGCAGTTCTCAGCCATGTCTGCTGCTTTAATAGTCTTTGTCAAACCAGCTCTTCCTTGCTTTGCTACAGAACTGTTTGTCATTAAACACAGGGTTTCCTCTTCCAGAAAACAGTACTAAAAGTTCACGACCTGTATTTTGCAAGTGGCTACAGATTTTTTGGGACAGTGTGGTTTAAAAATGTTTTTTATGAATAAATTAATAAAGGCTGTGTCACGTGGTACTTTTAAAAAATGCAGTGATCATTCTGCTGAACCAAGAAATCTATTTTTAAAACAGTAAATAGCTCTAGCATTTCAACTTAATTTTTTTGTCATAGGTTTGAACATTTTTATTTTCTTTTTTAACAGGAAATCCGTTCACATGTGCACATCTTAACTATTAAAATTCTGTAGCTGTGTCTCATTACTGTTTTCCTGTCCCTTTTTGTTTTCTAAACTGTAGCATTAGCTCCCTGCATCAAGCCCTCTTTTTCTGTCCCTCAGATAGGAGCAACAGCAGTAGTAGCTGGTCATCATTAAGAAATAAAGTGAAACTGATCTTTATGGGTTTGTATCTTGCATGGTTATGCAGAACAAGCTTAATATTCTACAAAACAACCCTTTCTGCCTTCTTTTGAAACGATACAATGTCCTTTGTTTCCTACTGTGTTGTGATCTGACAGGAGCATCATAAAGACTTCAGTTATCTTTTTTAGCAAAAGCAGAGGGGATTCGGTCAAACCAGCCTCCTGAAGAAGTTATGGTGGGGTTTTGTTCATTTGTGGTTTGTTTCTTTTTAATCCTTTTCTAAATTGCTCGTGGGTTTAAGGCCATGCATCTGATCCTGCCAATTTTACCTTTCCCAGAGCTGAGAGCAGTGAGGCCTGTGCTGCCCCTTGGGGATTGCAGCTGGGCTTTGTGCAGGACTTGCTGAGCAGAAATCTGTTGCACAAGCTTGGTGTTTGTCAGTCCCCAAGGACATCCCTCCCCTTGCCCATGTGCTGATAAGTATTCTGTCTTTTCCTTTGATCCTCTGATGAAAAGTGCATGCTTCATCTCCAACTTGTGAGTGATGTTTCTTTCTCTTTTTTCTCTCTTCTTGTCTTAATTTCCTGGCTTCTCTCCTGTTCCTTTCCCTTTATTCTCTCTCCTTTGTTTCTGATGCAGAGATGAAGATTGTTGGGTGTAAGTTTCTGCTTTTCTGTGTAATGTCTGCTTTTTGCTTGCTTTTTTTCCATTTTCATATCTTCCATGGAATGTTGGGATTGATAAAGACAGCAAATCATAACATCACAGGGAAACTTTGGTAACAGGGAGGTGGAGGCTTTGTCTCTCTTCATACCACAGGGTTTCAGGCAAATTTAGTAACTGTGACAGGTGAATCAGTGAGAAACATCTCAGCATCTGTTCAGTCAGTGAGCACAAAGTCATGGCAAAAATACATTGAGGAAAGGACATGGTAAAATCCATCATCCATTCTCAGAATGTTAATGGAAAGAGTGATAATGAGACCAAAAGACATAATTATGTAATAATTATCAACAGAAACTGTCTGCAGAGAGAGTAAAAATTATTATTGTCATAAATAAACTTGTGGAAATGGGAAGTTGGAGGAGATAAGAAGCACTAAAAAACAACATCCTCTCCTGAAAGGCAAATATTCCAGGGAAATCACTGCTTTTAACAAGGGCATTGTATAAATTCTTTTCTATACATAGAAGTCAAACAGTGGGTAGCAAATAACCTAATAAGTATTGCTTGTCCCTTTTCTTTGAAACAATTGTGTTCTGCTCAGGGAAAGCTGGAGAAGCACACGGAGTTACACTTGCATAATGTTCTCTTTAGAGAAAAAAAAACTAATTTAATTTGCCATAGAGGCAGCAGATAGAAGCTTTGTTTCCCCTTGCTGCTGTAATATTGCTCACAATTATGTTAATAGTTGCTCCTTGTAACTATTTCAAGAATATTTGCCTTCAAAAAACCCTGCTGCCTGGCTGGGGAAGGGGCAGAGAAATGAGCTGCTGAAATGGATGGGATGTGATCCTCAGAGTGTGGGACTGTGCCAGGAAACCAGTGGGAATATGGAGAGATTTCACAGGGCTGTCAGAGGGCACTGATAAAGCCAGGGAAAATCACACAGTGGGAGGATGGGACTGGGAACAAGTCCTGAGGGGCAGCCAGAAAGCAGGACAGGGGTGCTGGAGACCCTTCCCACTGAGCCTTGGCCAGTTTGTCCTTGTCCTCTTGCTTTGGAGGAGTGAGCACAAAGCTGCTGCTGCCAGCCTCAGCTGTGCTGCTGCCCCTGCCCTTCACAGGGAGCTGTGTTTGCACTGGAGGCAGCTGCAGCTGCAGGTGAGGGGGCAGTTTTACTGTTTGACATCAGGGACCTGTGAGTGAGAAAAGCAAAGCAGCAGCTTCCAGGGAAGAGCATGCAGAGGGGGAAGGGCCAGGGCAATGGGAGAGTCTGAGCAGCTCCCCTGCAAGGAGCTCCAGCAGACCCAGGCAGGCCATGAACTGCACATGAACTGAAATCCTCTGCACTTTGTGCCCAAGTGCTCAGTTTGAGCCTGGCTTGGGTCAGTGGGGTGAGGCTGATTGGCTCTGGTTGTTCATTTATACACAGGACATAAATGTACAGGTTTGGGGTTTCTTCAGAAGCCATTGTGGAAGATACTCTGATTGTCTTTCTTGCCCATTCACTCTTCTGTGAAATGCCACTATTTTTGAAGAGATGCCAAACCCAGGGGTGTTAGAGAGTCCAGCAGACAGTGCTTCACAGTGTGGGGCCCTAAGTGAATAAGACCAGCTCAGCAATTTGATAAAAATAGGCCTAAACACTAATATTCTGATTTTTTTTTCCCTTGGCTGCCCAAATTGTAAAATACTAAACTTGCACCTTAAAAAAAATCCAATAGTCTCTGGATAAATAGCTATTTTACTTAGTTGAAACTAGACATACACACATAGATTTCTGGGAGCTGCCACTTTTCCCCACCTTGTAGGGATATATTACATGTCCACAAAGTCACAAAAGTCACCTGACAGCTCAGAAAAAGAAGTTGTTAGAATTGAGTGATCAGAAATTTGTGTCTCTTCCTCCTGCAGAAACCTCTGTGATTTATGTACCCTTTTTTGAAAGAGTATTCTTCTGCACAAAACAGGGACCATTCCTGTCCTCAGTGTCTAAAATCTTTAGGAATCCTGAATAAAAAGTGTTTGATTGAATGCAGGCAGTTCCTGTAACTGTTACTCATTTGCAGTACAAGTGACTGGTCAGTGTTCCAGTGGAAAACCTACACACCCTGTCAGGATAAACTCCCATTTGTTGTTCTGCTGGAGAGTAGACAAGGAGTGGCTCTTGGGCTGCTTCAGGTTATTAAGTCTTGAAAATGCTAAATAACTATTTGGAAATCTTCCAGTACATTCCTTTATACTGCAAATGCAAAATCAATATTTGGCTCATGTGGCCTTTTCCACCACTCCTTTTTGCCCCCATTACCATTAAAATAGTTTTAGGTGATATGAGAAAGGATTTCCATTCAATACTAGTGAACCTCTCAACGCTGTAATTTATGATTCATAATTTAAATAACTGTCTGTTGGACATTGGGCTTTGTAAATAGGTTAAAACAGACAAACAAAAATACTTAATAAAGGAAAAAGGAGATAAAGGAAGAGCCCCATAACACATCAGTAAATGATTTTTTAATATTATCATGGAAAATATGTCTTTCAAGGCATTTGATATGGAATTAATGTCAGTAACCATGTATATAAAACGTGCATGGATTATGCTAAAAAGAAGTTTACTTTTGTTTTTAACTAGAAAACAATTGTAGAGAGATGGGATTTGTTTCAAATCCCATTCTGAAAACTCTTGTGAGGTTTTCAGTTCACCCTTGTCAGCCATCCAGCACAGAGACCTCAGCTTAAAATGACATCAGCAGGCTGTGCTCTATAAATACCCATGGCCCACTGGCCTTGTAGCACTTTTTATTCCTGTTCTGATGATGGGAGGCCACAGCTCACCCAGTTTTTTGCTCTGTGCTGCTGTTTGGGAAGGCCTGAGGTCTCTGTGGTACAAGCTGAGGTACAGCCTGGTTTTCCCCCAAAATGCAGGATTTGCTGTCACAAGCACAGGGCTGTTTGCATGAATGGTCTGACATCTTAAACAAGTTCATTATTTATCCCTTTTCTCTTTGCAATGGAATTGACCTGGCCAAGGCCTGTGTGCCCAGGTTCCTGCCTCAGCACCTCTCTGTCACTGGGGCTGCAGCTGCCCAGGCTGCTCCTGTGTCATGGGAGGCTTTTGGCACCACTTCAGTTGTGGTTTGTCTGAAGTTTCTTCTGTCCTCACTCAGAGGCAGCAGTAAACGACATGGAGATGATTTTTCTTGTGTTAGGGCTTGATTGTTTATTAATCTAAAAAAGATAAAGTTCAGAAGAAAGAAAATTCAGAAACACTTCTAGCCACCAGCTAGAAGTGAGCAAAATGGAGATGAATCCAGTTAGCAACAAAGTCTCTTAAAGCTTAACAGTTCAATAGAGAATTAACACCTAGATTATTTATACTTTTGACCCAATAATCAAATTCCCATGACCCTCAGAAGGGCTCCCAGAAAGCTCAAAAGCCCCAGGGCTCTGGGATCCAGCCCTCCAGGTGTCCCATGCCCAGCCCCACGTGGGCTGAGCTTTCTCTCTGGCCCTGCACACTCAGAGCAGAGATTGCAATAAACTGCTCTGTGCTCAAGCATTTGCTCTGGATTCTGTGCTGCCCACTTGGGTATCAGAGCTCAAATCCCTCAAAACCAAAGCAAATGGAGAAAAATAAAAGACTTGGGAGGCTTCAGCTCAACTGATGTGTTAGGAAAAGGAGATTGCTCCTTCTAGGAAGGTGATTTCCACCAAAATAATCACCCTACCTGATGGTTAAATGCTTTTTTGTCTTTGTTAGATACATTTACTTCCTGATTTTACTGTATGTAGTGACCTTTTGTATTTTTTGAAGATCCAATAGACTATATTTTCAAGAGAAGATGCACTGTTATATTTCACTATAATACTTTTCCCCATCTTCCTCCTTAATTTTTATGCAAATCCACTGGTTTTAAGATCCCTCTACACCCCACCCCAAAGGCTTTTTTTTTTAATTAGTGGAGTAATATCCCTCCTGTTAAGCTTAACAGAAGATAAGATTCTATATATAACCAAATGCTGCCTTTAATTTAGGCTGGAAAATTATTTGCTATCTGACATTGGACTTTGTGTAGCCAGACTGCCTTCCAGAAAAGAGGTCATAAGTAGGGAGCTCCAAAATGCTAATTATAGTGAGTACAATTAATTTCTATTAAGATTTACAACATACAAATTGAAACTTTTTTCCTAATTGTGCAAACCACTGAGAAAAAGGGATGGAGTCTGTTAAGGAGGAGGATTTTCAAAACAAGAGGCCCAACTTAACCCATATTTTGTGATCACTTTGTATTTCCTTGCTATCCCTATAATCAGGATAGAGGTATCTCAGCTTGATTTTGAAGCCCAAGATAATTTTCTCTCTTGTGGCCTGTGGATTGTTGCATTTGATGCTGTGCTTTGATAAGCCAAAGCACATCCAATATCCGAGGTCTTTCACCAGGCCCTTGCTGTCATCTTTGTCCTGTTGATGCTCCCTGGCAGCTCAGCCTCTGCCTGGGAGGTGTTTCCAGCCCTGACCCTGCAGGAGAGGGAGGCTCCTGGGAAAAGGAGCCCGTTGTGCACACAGTTCCCATTCACAGAGAGCTCCTAGTGGGAAGCACTGAGTGGCAGCCACAGAGCTGGATTTTCCACGCTGAAAGAGTTGTGCTTATCTCCAGAAATAAAACTGCAAGCAAAGGCAGGACTCAAGGCTTCTATTGTTTGTCCCTACAGTAGATTAAGGAACAAGTTCTGTGGGGTTTTTGACTTCAGGAAGAATTTGAAGCGCTGCTTTGAAGGGCACAAAAGGATGTCCCTCAGTGCCTGAAAGCAAATGCTGCCTTATTTGAGTGTGCTTCTGGTTAATACAGACATTTAACTGCAGCAGCTTCTCCAAGTGGAAGAAGCCAGACGTTGAAGGAGTCTCTGCTTTGTTCCATTACTTTGTTATTTAGTGTCTTGGGGCTTGCCTTGAAAGGGTTTAAATTTTTCTTTTTTAAAATTTTAAGTTTTATATGTTGCCCTTTAGTATTTTTGCCTTTCTGGCAAGTAGATAAAAACAAATGTTAGGTGTGAACCATCATAAAATGATGACAGTAACTAAATCTTACAGAAAAATAGGTGTTGCCTGCTGTCCATTTGTTGTAGGCCTTAGAATTGACCACATTAGTTTTGAAAGCAACTAGTTTCCCAAATCAGATTCTAAAATAAAACCAAACCAAGTGAGCTAGTCTGTGAAATCCAGGATAACAAGATGCTGAGACACAAACATTTCTATTTCTGAATATAGTAATTTGGTCTGAAAGCTCCTGAAAATGACGTAGGGAGAAGCTGGCAAGTGTCCATACTGCCTGCTTTCATATAGCCATGCATATGGATACCAGAGGCCAGCCAGAAAAGTAGCAAAAATTACATTTATAATTCCTTCCTAATCCGTCTGAACTGAACTGTGATCAGGTTTCCAAAAAGGCTGCTTTTATTTTGTTGTTATGATAAAAGGAAATTAGGAAAATATAGAAAATGCTTGAAAGGCTAACTGAACATGATATTATTCTGATCATCACATTATTTTTTGTAAAATACATTGGAAATAGGAAGTCTGAAGCTAAGGATGTTTTGTCAGGCTCAGCCTGACACTTCCAGCTCAGCTAACAAGGCACAGGTAGCAGTAAGAGGTTTCTTTCCCTTCCCCACTTACATAATTAAAACCAGTATTGATTCTGAGTTCACATAATTAAAGGCATTACTAACAATGGTCTGATTTTATGCACTGATCTGAAACTGTTCATCCGTATTAACAATTAACTTGCTGCTTGGAATGATCGGGGCATCAGCCATGGTCTCTCAGAACACAGAGAACGATTTGCAGAATGGAACTGGGACAGCCCCCAGTGTCCCCTGTGGAGTTTAAGGCTGTGGCTGTGCTCTGTCCCTGCAGGTGACATCCGGAATGACCTGTACCTGACCCTGGAGAAGGGGGACTTTGAAAGGGGTGGCAAAAGTGTGCAGAAGAACATCGAGGTGACCATGTACGTGCTCTATGCCGATGGAGAAATCCTGAAAGTAAGTGCTCCTCTCCCTGGGAGCCTCAGGAGCTCCCTGCAGGGACACATCCTCTGGTTCCACAGTCTCTTGATGCAAGGGAAGAGCTAAAATAAAAGTGGCCCTCTCTTTTTTTATTGTGAAGTTTGTAAGCTCTATATTATAGAGTTATAAATCTGTAAGGTTTTGGAGCACTTCCCTTATATGGAGATAGAAGACTTGGAGAAAATACTCATAAACTAAAAAGCCTGTGTGATTTCCAAATGTGATGTCAGTGGCTAAAGTAAAAAATTTTAGAGTAACTGTAATCAGAACTGAGGAGTATATGGCATATCTAAAATTAAATTATGTGTGTCATACAACATGATGAAATGTGATTCCAAAGGAGACTTCTAAATCTGAGTTGTTGGGTTATAGTACTGAATGAAGTTCTGGAAAATAACTTTGAATAAAATTGCACTCTGGGTTGGCTCCATTCCAGCTGGGGATGGGGATTGTTTATGTTTGTTGTTTTACCTCCTCTGCTCTTTTAGTTTTATTGAAGAGAAGGAGGTGGGTGGGAGGTTGTGAATATAGAGAAGTAAACAGGAAGGATTTCAGCATGAGCAGCTATCAGAAATAACTTCCCCCTACCTATTCTTTTACCTCCACTGTAATAAAATGGGCTTTGTAGCCATTATTGTGGAGACCCTAAACACCTAAAAGTGTGTACTTAATACATTGCCATAATCTTCTGGTTTTAATTGAAAGGATAACTTTCATTACTACAACTGCTTGTGTTTCATTAAAAGTGTATTTCTTGTAAGGAATTCGTTTGTGCTCAGAGCTGCTGCAGGAAGATCAGATTCCTTTTCTGCCTAAGCTTTTCAACTGAGTGGCCAAATTTTAATCATCAGTTGAATTCAGTCTGCTGAGGACAAAGAGAAGTCCCTCAAACTGCAATATCAGCATCTTCAAATGCTAATGTACATGATGGTGCCTAATGATTACATACAAAAGCCAGATAATTTCTAGACATTATGAGTTCTAACTTTGGGCATTTTGGTTGGAATGGTCATTCAGGAGATGAAGTTGGTTTTTCATTGTCTTTGCCTGTTATTACTATTGTAAAGTACATTGGAGGTTTTCATGGGAGAGTGGGACAGGCATTGCACAAACACTGTAAAGGATGGTCAATCCAATTAGAAAAAAATCAGGTGAACAGACTGTCCTGAAAAGCTGTGCCTGCCCCACCCCTGGAAGTGCTCAAGGCCACGTTGAATGGAACTCTGAGCAACCTGGTCTGGTGGAAGATGTCCCTGCCCATGGCAGGGGGTTGGAACAAGAGCTTTAAAGTCCTTTCCAACCCAAACCACTCTAGGATTTGCCATAAAGAAGAGACTTTACATATAAAGGATCTTTGTGAGGTTTTAAAATTTAAGCCACATGTTTAAAAGAAACTCTCTGTCTCAGTTTTTGTGGTATTGCTCCTCTGTATGGTTGCAGTCAAAGCAGCAAAGACACTTGGTTTGTGTCTGGGACATCTTTGGTTCCTGCTGTTCCATGGTGCCTGTGAATGTGGGCAGAACACTGAGAGTTCATTGACCTTTGGCACTGTCCCCCACAGCATTCCCTGGAAAAGCTGCAGCCCACGGCTTGGACAGGAGCTCTCTTTGCTGGGTTAAGAACTGGCTGGGTGGTGAATGGTGCTGCATCCAGCTGGGGACAGTCACCAGTCACCAGTGCTGTCCCTCAGGGCTCTGTGCTGGGGCCAGTCCTGTTCAATGTTCTTACTGACAACATGGATGAGGGGATTGAGTCCTTCATTAGTAAATTTGTGGGTGACACTAAGCTGGGAGCATGTGTTGATGTGCTGGAAGGCAGGAGGGCTCTGCAGGGAGACCTGGAGAGGCTGGATGGGTGGGCAGAGTCCAGTGGGATGAAGTTTAAGAAGTCCAAGTGCTGAGTCCTGCATTTTGGCCACAATCACCCCCTGCAGTGTTACAGGCTGGGGACAGTGAGGCTGGACAGTGCCCAGGCACAAAGGGACCTGGGGGCACTGATGGACAGCAGCTGGACATGAGCCAGCAGTGTGCCCTGGTGGCCAAGAAGGCCAATGGCATTAGGTGACATGGTTTAGTTGAGATGTTAGGGCATGGGGGGGACTTGATGGTCTTGGAGATCTCTTCTAACCCAGTCATTTTGTGTGATTCTGTGTAAAATCCTTAAACTGGTCCCAGCCAGCAGCACAATCCAAATCTGAATTGTGCCTTTGTGAAGCCCTTAGCAGAACCATGCATAGCATTAATGAGAATTTTCTCAGCTCCTCATTGCTGCTGAGTGTATCTTGATCCAGAAATAGTTCTATTGAAAGGAGTGAAATTACCTCCAGAATGTAGTGCTGTTCAAAATGAAAAAGAGTATTTCCTTCTCAAAATGGTCTTACTCAATTGTTAGTATATTTCAATATAGTCTGAAAAATAAAAAAAAAATCCTTTGACACATTTCTCACTTCTTTCTTCTTTCTGTTCCAGTAGCAGGAATAGCCTATGAATTGCAAGCCACACCTCTAACAGTAGAAATTTCTGATAGTTTTTCTAATTTCGCTTCCCTTCCTTGCCTCTGCTCTCTAATTCCCCTGCATATTTGGGTCTCAGGGTCACCAGGTGTCTAGAGATTAGTCTGATGTTTGTATCTTGCAGATCACAAAATAGAATGAAAGATTTACCAGTCTGCCCTCCTCAGATTATAGATTGTAGTATGACTGCATGGGAACTAAGTTAACAACCAGAAGGAGAGACTATTCATGTATTTGAAGTTCATGGTATGAAACTGATTCAAAGTCTGGCCATTTGTCAGCCAGAGCAGGTGGTTTCTTGATGGGACAAAACCAGCTCACATTAAAATTTGAATTTTTACTGTACCTTGTAGAGGAAATAAAAATACTATTTTGTTTGCTCCTAAGAAGCCTAATGCAGAACGAGGTTTTGGAATTGCTGTGTTGAAGGCCAACCATTTTCTCTTTACAACCATTATTACAGAACAGAACAGGGATCTTACAGAGTTCTGGGTAGCAGTACTGACACTGCTCTCTACTAACCTGTTGTTATCTGCAACACTTAATTCTTGTTGCTGTATTAAAAAAATGTGGGGTTGTGGCTCATCCCATGTGATTGCTGAGGATTATTTGAGAGGACTGAGTTGTGTGAGTTCAGCCTTCAGTCATTCAGTTGGATCAGAGCCTTTGCAGTGAGTCTGTCCACATAGGCTGTCCCTGCATGGAATCCCAGAATTCCAGAGAGCTTTTCTTCCCTTTTGGGCTCTTTCACAAATTCTTAACTTCCTCAAAGCCAGCAGATTATTGCCAAAGGTTGAACTAACTGGGTCTGGTTAATGGGATGTTCTTGACTGGGCAGTCAGATGGTTACAGATTTTAAAAATCAACATTTCTGATATTTTCTTGGGATAGAATTTATAGATGCCTTGGGGAAATGACCAGTAGCAGTTTCCTGTCATTATACTGTACCATGGGGGGTTTTACATCAGAATTTATATTACATGTGTTATTCTTGGTCTGCTTAGCTTGTTTCTTCCTGGATTCATTATCCTTGGACATGCTAAAAGTGAAGAATCTCCAAGCTGTCTTTTTTCTGCTTGGTTTTATGAGAGGTTGTATCTCCTGGATCTCTTTGTAAGTGCTGGGTCTAGAGCATGGGTTAGTGCTCATATATAAAAAAATGTGCTTCCTGCTCCATGTCTTCATCACAAAGGACCTTTTACTGTCCTGATTTCAGGACTCCAGTGTTTATCCTATTTTCCTCCACTTGTATTCCAAGGATTTTTTTATTTTCTAAACAATATCAGTTCATGTTTTTCTTCGTCTGTATTTTGTGAAGGCATAGATTGGGGAAGATTTCTGAGTTTGTTATATCTGAAGGCAGAAATTTAGATCCAATATGTTTTTTAGGTGATGAGTATTACACAGAAATTCTTGGCTTACCACTGAGGAAGTAACTTGATTAGAAATGCTTGGGATACTTGGGGAGGCTGGATAGTTGTAGCTTTGAAAGATGAGCATTTGTGAAGAGCTTGGAAAGGTCAATTATCACTTCCAAACTGAGATACTGAAGCAGAAATCTGGTTAAAGGATCTTTTCACAGAAGGCTAATATTACAAGTGATGGTCCTGTTATGTCCTATTTTTTGGATCAATTTTATATGTTTGGATGTAGGTGTTTATTGTATCTACTCAGTGCTTGATGGAAAACTTAGCTTAAATAACTTAAGATACTGGTTTGCATCTAGTATCACAGGTCTCTTAGTTCACCCTTCGAGCCAAAACAAAGTTTCACAATCTCCTAAAAAAATCACATTTCATTGTGTCTGAATTTCTGTTTCTGACTCTTTCATGTCTACAGAAAGCCATGAATTATATCAAGGTTATCACGGGTAGTGAAATGACTCCCAGGTGCTGGTGTGCTGTGTTTAATGCTGAGTTGTTTCCTTCGGTGGCAGGACTGCATCAGCCTGGGCTCGGGGGAGCCGAGCAGGAGCGCCTACCACTCCTTTGTGCTGTACCACAACAACAGCCCGCGCTGGGGGGAGATCATCAAACTGCCCATCCCCATCGACCGCTTCCGCGGCTCCCACCTGCGCTTCGAGTTCCGCCACTGCTCCAGTGAGTGCCCTGCACGCCTGGCCTGCTCCAGGGCAAACCTGAAACCTCCCACTGGGGTCCCTCCAGGAAACACATTCAGGCAGTCCCTCCCCCCAGATTTCCTTGGAGAGAAGTGGAAAAAAGCTGTTTATTTATCAGGCAAAGCACTCCCCAGCACAAAAATGAACAATACTAAACAGCAAAACCTCTCTCTGCTCTGAAGAGATGACAGATTGAGCAGAGTCCCTTCCATGGGTTGAGCCTGGCTCACTCAGGCTGTTCTCAGTCCCTCCAGTGCTGGGAAATGTCACAGCCCAGGTGTGCCACAGGTGTGAGCTCCCGGTGCTCCTCTGGGTTTTCAGTCCAGAGCAGGTTTGAACAGTTCCAAGAAAAAGGAAAAAAAAAAACAACAAAAAACCAAAACCCCACAGTCCAGGGAGCTTCTCTGCCCCAGCTAGCCAGAAACTAACCAAGAGCAAAAGAGAGCTCTGTGCTGCTGCCCACTGCAGACAGCCCAGGCTGTGTGAAGGATGTGGGGCACCAAGTGCAGTCTCTGGTAACAAACTCTGCTCCTCTGCTCTCCCCCTTCACTCCTGGAACCAGGCTTAAAACACCAGGGCAAAGCTAAAAGGCCCCAGCTCCTTCCACTGCCAGTTAAATCTGGATGAGGCTGTCACTGGGTGGAAAGCAGGAAAGAGAGGCCAGCCTGAAATACATGGAAGAGGCACTGCTAAGCAGCCTTTTGCTGAATTTATCAAAGGGCTCACTAAAAACGATTGCACTAAAAACATGGTGAACGATCAGTGCAGGGCAAAGCACTTTGTAGATGTTTGTCCCTGCTGTTCTTTTGTTGTGTTTTTCTGTAAAATGTTTTATTTGCAGGATAAACAGTTTAGATTTTGCTGTGTTTGATTTGAAGCTTGTCAGTCCTTTACATAGAACTAGAAAAAAGAAATTAGAATTAGAAAAGTTGTTTGTTCTGTAAGCTGCTTGTTTTCTTTTAGGCATGTGGAGAAGTTGATGAGTAATCTTGTATATACTGACAGACAGGGTATGCACAAATACAATTCCTTCTTTCTATCTCTTGCTGCAGCAAAAGACAAGGGAGAAAAGAAGCTCTTTGGTTTTGCATTCACCCCATTGATGAGAGATGATGGCACGACCTTGTCGGATGATATCCATGAGCTTTATGTTTATAAGGTACCAGTTCTTTGCAGACTTCTCACTGCCCATCTCTGCTTCATTACTTAAATGAGTAATGGTCATTACATTATCCTTCTCCCCCTTATTAGAAGTGTATGAATTTTATATATTCAAAATCACATGGTTTGGATAGAGCCTTCTATTCTAGGTGCAGCTCACCTTTTCCATCCTAATGATGATGATTTATCTCCTATAAATCTCATCCATTTTGACTTCAAACATGCTGATGTTCATGAACATTCAGCACTTCTACCAGCCTAAGGCATTGCTCTGTGCCTTTGTAAGATGACATTGTGCTGGATTCAAATGCCTCGTGCTGCAGTGCCACAGCTTGGCAGCCCTGCAGCAAGAGATTTGGACTTTGGGGTTTTTCCTTCCTGCTGATTCACCTGGGTTTATTTGTTTAGTACAATTTTCAGGCAGCAGCACTAAGTTTACATCTGGAAGATCTGGTGAGTTCTAAAGAGGCATTGGTTGGAGACCTCTGTGTAGAGCTGGGTCTGTTCTGGGCATGTCCAGGCCCCCAAGCACAGCTTTTCCTCTGGAAGTGTTGGTGTGCACCCACAAGAATCTCAACACAGCCACTGTTGGGGAGCTGCTGACAGGCTGTGGGCGTGTGGGATGAGATGGACATGGCACAGCTCTGTCCCTTGTGCTGTCCCTGCAGTGTGATGAGAACAGCACGTTCAACAACCACGCGCTCTACCTGGGGCTGCCGTGCTGCAAGGAGGATTACAATGGCTGCCCCAACATCCCCTCCAGCCTCATCTTCCAGCGCAGCACCAAGGAGACCTTCTCAGTCTCCACACAGCTCTCTTCTACCAAACTGACCCAGAATGGTGAGTTGATGATCCCTCAGAACTGCCCAAGGCAGCAGGAATTTGGAAAGAGAGAAAAAAAGTCACTATTAGCACTTCTACACAATCCAGAATTTGTTTTGCTTGGCTTTTACAGAGCAGCTAAGTAAATAAGATTTTTTTACAGCAACGTCCCTAAAGCACAAGCAGACAGGAGTGGATTGTCCACAGTGCAGTGTCACACAGAGAAAAATGCAGCCTTTACTCTTTTCAAAGCACTTTACCATTCCTCCATTCCTTTCTCCGTTAGCAGTATTGACTCACTCCATATTGTACTTCTTGTTTTCCATTATATATATATATATATATGTATACACACATATGTCATTTCCCAAGAAGTGTGGATGGATTGCATCAAGAGGTGAAGTGTAATGTGATGAATCTCTGGTGGGTCTGGGGTTGTCAGTCTTCCCTCTGTGTGTGGTTCTAGCTCTTCCTCCCTCTCTCTGCAGTGGATCTGCTTGCCCTGCTCAAATGGAAAGCTTACCCAGATCGAGTGATGGATATTCTGGGAAGACTGAGACATGTCAGTGGCGAGGAGATTGTTAAGGTACTACATGAAATAACAGCCTTTGCATCTCTCTGTGACAGGCAGTGAGTTCAGACCTGCAGGGCTCTTCTGAAGGCTCCCTCTTACTGTGCTTTTTGATTCACACTGTGAGCTTCCACCCTGTATGAATCGGGATTTTATTGTGATGTGAAACTGGACAGGAAGATACATTTGAGAAATTAGTGCACAGTAAGTCTGTGGGATCAAACCAGAGCTAATCCTTAGTCAGATTCTGTCAGCCACATGTGCTGGGTCCTCAGCACCATTGGTTGTAGTCTGCAGTCCCACACAGCTGCTGGTGCAGACACAGACCCTGGCAGGGGCTCTCTGGTGCATCCAGCCAGTGCTGCACCAGTCTTTTTTCTGCCAGCTCATCATTTCACCAGGTTTTGTAGCCACTGTTGCTCTACATGATAATCCTGTGTGGCCTGAGCTTCCTTCAGGCCCAGGAACTTTCAGCTGTGTTTGAATACCTGTGGTCTCAGCAAAACAAATTGCATTCCAGATATGCCTCTGATAATCTTAGGTATGATGGGAACTCTCCCTAGGATTTATTTCTATAAATATGGAAGTAAAAGCTGATTTCTAACACAAACAACCAAGGAGAAGAAACTGAAGACAAATCCTGTCACTTAATAAGTAGTTTATCATTAAAGCCACTTCACTGTAACTCATTTGAGTGTTGCCAAATCTGGAATGTTACTCTTTGTGATAACTTGGTAACAGTAACAGGGGAGCACAGAGCCCATTTATATTGGAATTCTTCAAGAATGTCATGTTTCGTACACTTTGTTTGTAGGGCAGTACAAGTATCTGCCTTTTATAGAGAAAGAAAAAGAAAGATATGGATTGAATTATTTCATGGGAAGAAGTAATTGATTCTCCCCATAAATCAGCTGTCATTTGGCTCTGAGATATGAAGAACAGAATGTAATAATTCAGAAAAGAAGACATTTTATCATTTCAGAGACTTCATAAATTGTTATAATTTATTTCTTGTTGTCCACGTTAGAAATTTAAGTAGAGTCGATTAAAAAATTGTGAGAGAATGTGCAGTTAATGATCTCCAGCACTCTCCTTCACACTCATCCTTTCGGGGACTGTGCTTTCGGAAAGAAAATCACTGAACTGTCAGTGCTCAACAAGCTGTGGAGTTAAGGGTGAAAGAAGCAATTGGCAACATATAACTTGCCCCAATTAATGCTTGTTAGAAAAGCTTTACTTTCTGTCATTTAACAAAAATGTCAACATTAAACATAATTTAATGTAGTGCCCGGCCTCAGATTTGATGCTGAACAGTACCTGAGACTCCAGTGATTTGAGAATGAGAGCAAGTTGTTTTGCCACTGGTGTCAGGCAGCACTTCCAGTCAGCTTAAAGTGAGAGGAACACTCAGTAAAAATTACAAATCAGGTATATAGTACATATTTCTTTTTTTTGTTTGCTTTCTGTCATTTTGTTCAAAAGTATTCCTTGCAAAGAGAAAAAATTTTTCCTAGTAAAATCAAATTAAAATCTGTCACATCATATGGGTGAACCTGAAGTGATTTGTCCTTGGCAAGTGTTTCACAAAGCTATTAACATGTATGAACTAATTAAAGCAGGAGAGAAATAACCTTTTGACTAGAAGTTGAAATTCTTTGTTCATGTCATTTTAGTTCCTACAAGATATTCTGGACACGTTGTTTGTAGTTTTGGATGACAACACAGAGAAGTATGGTCTGTTGGTCTTCCAGTCTCTGGTAAGCTGCTGGATTATTATTTGTCTCATGCTTAGTAAGTTTTCATTTTCTTATGATCACGTTGCTAGTATTGAAATACTCAGCTGGATCCAGCTGTGTTTTCTGTAATGATCTCGGGTGGGAAGGGCAGGCTGACCTCAGCACATCCAGGGGCAGCAATATTTGCTCTCATGTGGGAGATGCAAGCAGTAATACCCGATAACACAATCGTGTTGGAACTGTTTACACAGCTCATGTATTTGAATGCTCCTTACCTTGGGCACCTGTTTGTAGACACTTGGCAGCAATGTGCAATTCCTTCAGCTGGGTTCCCTTGTCCATGTCCCCAGGTGTTCATCATCAACCTGCTCCGTGACAGCAAGTACTTCCACTTCCGCCCCGTCATGGACACCTACATCCAGAAGCACTTTGCAGGAGCTCTGGCTTACAAGTAGGTCTTGTGTTCCTTCCTCCCTTTGAGAGGTGGCATCACCAAGCTTGGGGATGGTGGCACTGTCAGGATCACAACCTTCCTGGCAGCAGTGTCCCCAGAACTAGAGCTACTCACCTGGAAGTTTTCCAGCACAGCTGTGGGGAAAAGCTGCTGAATGTCACCAGTGGCTGAGTGTGGCCACACTGGGCATTTCTCTTGCCCTTCTGGACTTGGCAAATCTTTCTTTTTTTTTTTTTTTTTTAACTGAAGAGACACTCAGCAATAACTCACTGTCAGTCTGTAGTCTATAAAAATGAGCTATGTATATTCCTCATGAGGATATGCACTCCTCATCTTAAGGATGTTGGGATACACGACTTGTGTGAAAGCTTAGAGAACTAATTGTAATTTCTAAAGTAGATAGGTATTCACATAAGGTGTTCTATTTGGTTACAATTTAATTTCAGTAGATCAGAAATTTAAATTTCACTGTCACTTTGAAGATTCTGCCTTATTTTCTGGTATTCCAAAGAGTCTTGCATCAGAAAATGAGACAGGCTTTTTGAAAGCAGTAACAGGTAACCTTCAGGGTGCTGTTTTTACTTTCTTTTAGACCATTGCTTTTTATATGTGAGTATATTCTATCTTTGGCCACAGTAAACTATAAAAAACAGCTAATAATTTCTTCTGATTCTTTTAAGCAATTCACATTTTTGTGTAATTAAAAGAAATATTAAAAAATACTCTATCAATGGCAGGTAAAAATCCATAGACAATATTCGATACTGGAAGGCACAGTCCTGTTCAGAGAGTAAAAAGGTGTTCTGTTCTGCTTTGTGCTAATTAGCATCTCTTTCAGACTAAACAAATGTTTTTTGGTAGTCTGAGGTCTGAAATAAAACACGGGTTTAATACCTCTTTGTAAGTTAGTCCAGATGGTCTCGTGCACTTAGCAAAATAGATGCAGGTATTTTCTTTGTGATCTCAGCTTCTAAAAGCTTCTTACTGAGATGAGAGCTGGGATTTCTTAATAAAAAGTATGTTTTGGTCTTAGAACCGTGTCTTTATCAAAGCTATCTCTCTAATAACATCTTTTTTATGTTCTCTTAGTGTTCCTCATGGTCCAAGTCAATTACAGAGAAGGAATAATTTTCTGGTTTTGAACCTTAAATAAATGTAAATACCATGTAAATCCAGTATCAAGGACAGCTGTAACTGACCACTGAAATAAAGTGAAATGAGACTGATTTAGAGATCTCTCCCTAAAACCAAAATGTTTTCTGACTGCCAAAAGTGGTGCTGAAGGTTGCTGTGCTCTGGCTGTTCCCTCAGGGAGCTGATCCGCTGTCTGAAGTGGTACATGGACCGCTCGGCCGAGCTCGTGCGCCAGGACCACATCCAGGAGGCAATGAGAGTAGGTATCCATGGGACACTGGGGTCTGTTCCTCTGGGACCACACACAGCTGGGGAGGCTGCACATGGAATCAAGGGTAGTGTGGCACTGCCTTCCTACAATTGTTTAACCAGATTTTTATATATATATATAGCCACAATTTTAGTTTTAGGGGGAGATTTATTCTTGTGCTGAAAAAATTGAAAGAATTAAGTCCCCTGAAGCTCTTTTGCAACCCTATGGAGAACTTAAGTGAGGCTTATATCCAAGGCCAGTGCATAAATACTCCACTGATGTGGGCTGCACCTTGCCCTCCAAGCAGCAGCAGTTTTGAATGTGTCAGGCACGGGTGCTATGGATCAAAGTTTAGCTCTTCATTCCTGGCTGTGACACAGCTCCATTGTACCATGGGTTGAAGCCCTGGAGTATTTTAAGCAGCAGATAAATGAGTCTTTGACTGGCTGGAAATCCTCAGAAGCAGCACAGGACCTGACCTATGGTTCTGTGATAGGAGCCTGATGTCCCAGGGAGGCATAGCTGTGAGAAACACCAGGAATGTTTCTACTACATTCTGAATGCTACTACAGAGAAATCAGAGAATAAATAAAGTATTCATTTTACCATGTGTAATAGCCTCGAAGTCAGTGTGTCAAGTCCATAAATACAAGATGCCAACATCTGCAGGAAGATGTTTTTCTCTGAGTGAATGCCTACCTGCACCTTCTGCCTCTAAGGAGGCTGGTGTCCTAACACCTGAGTCTGGGCACTTGGGGAGCTGGAAGCAGTGGCAGTGATCAGCACTTGGATTTTATCACTTGTCAGTACAAATAGGTGAAACCTTATTCCAGGTGAAGGACACTGCCAATGCCATCCTCTCACTTCCCAGATCCTATTCAGATAATACAAGGACATTACACCAGTGCCTGCTTTGTCTTTGTAGATATTGACATGCTTAGGAACATCTTCTTTAGAATTTTCAACCACAGATTCATATGGAATGGTAAAAATAGGGCAAATATGCCTTTTCAAGGAATTAGCAACTTTCTCATTCTTTTTTTCCCTATCCTTTTCTTTTTTTTTTTTTTAATTGCAAAAAAGCGATTAAAGTTATGAGATGAGAGGAAGATCTCCAGCTGGAATGACTTCGAGGAGGTTTTTGTTGCCTCTCAAACCACTCATTAGTGCTTTATGCAGTGCAGCAAATAGAGATGTAGGATATTGTCCCTGTGTGATCTGCATTTGTTGAACCCGTTTGGAAATAGCAATGACAGGAATGCTGGAATGTCTTTCAGCAGCTGGGGTAAAGTCAGTCTGTGAATATGATTTGTTGTGTCTCTGCCTCCAAGGCAGCTCTTTGCTTACTGGGGCTCTCAAGTGCTGGCCTGGAACGTGGCTGTTCCCTCTGTGAGGGAGGTCAGTTTGCAGGCCCGACAGCCCAAGCCTTTCCAAGCACAGGAATGAAAATTACCAGGAGATTGTGCAGACCTGACAGCACATCCTCTGCCACCCACACTGCTGTCACTTCTTATTCAGACAGTTGCCTTTGCAGGTATCTCTTGCAGGCCCAAATTCAAGTCTTTATCTTCTCCCATTATTTCCTTCTTTGTTTCCAGATTTTATTTGAGACTTTTGGAGCAAGTTTGTACCAAAACCATTATCATTGCTAATGTGTCATTACTAGTACCAGCTTCTGCTGTTGGAGATTTCTGTGGTCTTTGATGTGTTCACCACACTCCTTGCATTAGCAGTTCTTTGACTGAGAAAACAGGATAGCTCTGTATCCCTTTTTCCCTGAATGCTCTGTTCAGTGCAGTGCCCTAAAGCTGGTGCTGAAATACTCTGCACTCTTACGGCTCCTGGCTGCTCATGTACAATCATGATGGACATGCAGATGTCTCATAGGATTCTGATTTCCAATCCTGGCATTAGCAAAGAGTGTTCTAGAGGATTTCTAAAATTTCTTACCTCCCTCAAGACTGCTCTTAATTGTCAAAACCTCCTGTGCAACTTGGAGGAGCTATAACTGAAAGGAATTTCTACCTAGAACACAGCATCATGTTCCTTTATTGTGCCCTATACAAAGCTGCACAAAAGTTGCAGCTGCCTGTGCCTCCCAGGGGACTTCTGTAACCAAGTGTCCATGAATGGCTCCACAGCCAGTTTTGCTGTCCCTGAGGAAATTAGGAACTAAGGAACTGTGTCAAGGAAATGCCCTTCCAGCTTCAGTTATCTGCCAGCAGAACTAATGATGGGTTTTTCCTAAATTAGGGAACAAACAGCAAGGGTTTTTCTCTCTCAGGAGGTTTTCCCTGAGTCTTCCCTGCTGGTCACAGGGCAGAGGTGCTCACTGTTACATGAACATACACACAGACTGTTTGTGAGGGACCTACTTTAATTTGACACTGATCTTTTATACCATGCCAAACATCACTGAAGGCTGGGATTTTATCTCAGTGCACTTGCATGTCTTTAGGCACAAATACACATCATATTTGTGATGCTGTAGGTAGCAAGAGCCAAAGTTAGCCCTGGTGCTGACTTGTGCTACCAAGACTTGGTTTGTGTTTTTAGCATCCCAGCCACATGTGCAAACACTGGGAACTCTCTGGTTCCCTGCCTGTGTGGGCTCATTGTCTGTGCTAAGGCAGTAGTGTTCTGAGCCTGCTATCTCACCTTCCACAGGGAATTATGGAGGTTCACACATAAATGCTCTGATTCACTGCAAAACATAATCCTCACCTTGGAGTTAAAAGCTTTCAGATGAGAATTATGGTTGTGTACACTGAACCCCTAAAGCAGCTCCTAGCAGCACTGCATGTGCTGGGATTGGTGTTGGCACAGGGATGTCAGCCCTGGAGAACTGACTGGGAACCAACTGGCCTTTGGCTGGAAATGAGCCAGGAATGCAGCTGATATTTCCTGATGATGTTCTTTTTTGTAAGGAAGCTTCACTGGGAGATGGTTTAGTAGTATAAATAATAACTGCTGAATTACCAAAATTGCCATAATTTCTGGGGGGAAAAAAGGCTATAAGAGTCAATGGCATTTCGAAATCCATGATGGCTCTATGAGGAATTTCACTTTCCCATTCTACATCCTTAAAGCTGTGGCATTCTAAAACTTACAGCATAGCATTGCATACTTGTGCATATTGTGTGGTGGTTCAGTGAGGGACTTTTATGGGTGCAAAATATCTCTTGGGAACAAAATCTGTATTTGATTTAACTTCCAGTTTCCCAGCATTGAAGTGAGATAAGAATATTTTCCATGGAATACAGTGAAATATTACTATGGTTTCTGTACAGCCTATGATTGCTCAATCTCCAGCCTGTTTTTTTCCTGTGCTGGGTTTTGAGGACATCATCAAACCATGAATTCTGTCTTCCCTTAATCCTGCTTTGCTGGTGAAGCCTGTTAAGCACTAAGGGAAGGAGTGATATCCCTGATATTTGGTGCATTCTGGCATTGACAGTTGTGCACAGCCAGTATCGAGGAGGTGTGTGAAGAGTCACCCTGCTGGGCTGGTGTCTCAGAACTGTTGATAGGGCAGTGACTTGTTTCAGCTGCTCAGAACAATGTGTTTTCTTCGTGGTCATTGCTGCCAAATAAATGCAGTTCTAAATAATACTATTTACAAAATGTTGAAAGGAAACAGAACAGCTTCTTCAGACACTCCCATCATTGTGCCAAGTCATGAGAAAATCAGAAGTTTCTTACCTTGACCAAAATTTTCCTCAAATTATGTAACTTAGATTTGTCTCTGATGTAAATGCATGCTTTTTCTGTTAGTGGGACACGCAAGCAACAAAGATTATTGGTTGAGAATGGTTCCCTAAGAGTAGCTCTTCCTCAACTGAATTATGTAACTTATAAAACCTGCTTTTCATTCTCCTTTCTAAAGCTCAAGAATTTAGTTATTATGCATGTAGAGTCTTTCCTGGTTCTCTTAAAGCTCCTTTATTTTTCTTTCTCTCTTTTTCTCTGTCTTGATGTCCTTCCTCTCTTGCTCCTTAAGGCCTTGGAATATCTTTTCAAGTTCATTGTCCAATCTCGGATCCTTTACTCCAGAGCTACTTGTGGAATGGAGGAGGAGCAGTTCCGCTCCAGCATCCAGGAGCTTTTCCAGTCCATCAGATTTGTGCTCAGCTTGGACAGCAGGAGCTCTGAGACTCTCATCTTCACACAGGTTTGCTATTTCCTGCACTCCCACTGGCAAAGCACGAGGCAGTTGTTCCTGCACGGGTAGGAGGTGTGGGCATGTGGGGGTTAAATGCAGGTCAGGGGAGTTTTCCCCCCTAACAAGCTGGTGATGCTGGAAAACAAGACACCCATGAATGGCATTAGACAGTGGCTTTGCACAGGTGAGCTGGACTGGGGGCACTCTAGGAGGAAGTGACTTCTCATATGAGAATGCAGTTTTTGCTGTTCACAAAAGTGAACTGTGTTTTCAAGTCTCTCTCGTTCCTATGTCTTATGGTTGGCCTCAAGAATTTATAACTCCTTCATTATAGTACTTCAAATCAATACCTACAGTCACAGCAGCATCACAGTGATAAGTTCAACTGATGTATTTGCACTCAGATATACAATTCCAGCATGTGCTAAAATTACAGTCAGAAGCATGTGCAGCCTGACCACAAACATGTTGTGATGCCCATACTCATCTCTAATGCATCACTGAATATGGCCCAGGGGACTTTGTGAAGATTCCACGTGGGCTGAAGACAATACTCCAAGTTAGCAAGGATGCTGCTGAGTTCTGATTCAGTTTTAAAGACCACTGTGCTGCATTACATACTCCTGCATTTAAGTTTTAAATGTCAAACATGCTGTTCTATGCCTCTGCTCAGAGAATGTCAGAATGGAGCACCCAGAGCTCCCTGGAAACGTGAAGGTGGTTTGTAATCACTAATGCAGAATTACAGATGTTTGGAACACCTGCTGTATTTTGCCAAAGAAGCAGCTGCTGTGAACATTGCAGCCAAGCAGTGACTCTGCTTGGCTCAGGAAGCTGCCAGTGGAGTGATCTCTTTCTTAAGGAGCTGCTCTGAAAGATTTGAGAACAGCTGCTCTAATATTTTATTTAATCATCCATTAGTAGTTATAATATGATGAGCCAGGAACAAGAGAAAACAGTGCACAGAATTTTGCAGACAAAGTGATGGTGAATGGAAACAGTATCTGCTGAATGTTTTCCAGTTGTGTTGGTCCCAGATACAGAGGGAGAGTCACTTTGAAGATGGGGGATTTTCCCTTTTTCTCTTTGTTTCTCTTTTTAATTTTTTTCCTCCTTTCTCTCACTATGGTATTTCTTACTTTGGACTTTTGTAATTTGTAAACCCTGTCCTTGTTGAATCTTTGAAAAGTTTACTTTTTGTTTCCCCCTTGCCACTGTGTTGCCCCCTGATCCCATTGCCCCATAGGCCCCCCAGGCTGGAGGGCAGGCGAGCGGAGCCGGGACAGGTGCCCCACAAAAATGTGGGGGCACAACAAGGCCGACATTTAATTCTGTAAGTAATGATCCCCAACACTGCTCGAGTGTTTCATTGTGGATGTTCCCAGTTAATCTCTTTTCCCTACCCCAAACACTCTTTTCCTGCATATGAACTGAACTTGGATTTTTTAAGTGGCTGGTACTTTAAAACTTGGAGATGTGGAATATTTCAGTTATTCATGGAGCAGTTTATGGCATACACACCAAAAAGACAGAACTGAGGATGTACACAAGATTATAAGTTAAATTGTTCAGGGAGCCAAGCATTTGTTTCTTATTTGATTACTAGTTCTGGAAGTCTGGACAATTGTAAATTCCCACAGAAATGCTCGAGGCCCTGGCAAACATAATTTCCCTCACATTTGTCCTCTTCTCCAGGATATTTGAGAGATCTCAGTAGCTCAGTTTTTTACAGCAATGGGAGTAAAACTGATTTCCTTCCTCTCAGGAAATTAGTTTGACATGAGTAATGTTCCAGCATATTTTGGAGTGTTGTGCAATAATGGGACCTTTCAAGGAACTGTTGAAATGATGTTGCCTCAGGACAGCTCCAAATCTTCCTGAAGAGATCCCATGCCTACCCTTGGGGTCATACAGAAATCCTCCTGCTTTATAAGTAACAGAAAGTTTAGGAAAACTCCTGTAAGGATTTGTTGGGCCAATATTGTCATTTCACTTTTATTATCCCAAAGATAAAGACAGTGACTGGATTTGTGGCTGTTACTGCCTTCCAAGAGTACCAGGAGCTAGTGAAAACGATTTATACTTACTTATTTTGTTAGTGCATTGTAGGTATGCAGGAAAAAAATAGGTGACAACACTCAGGAGGCCTTGTAGGGGTTTGTGTAATCTGAGTTGATGGTAACAAAATAAGATTTTGAGAGAGAATGAGTGGAAGAAGGAGGTAAATTCATATTCTGAATAATTTAATGAGCTCTACAATGTTAGTTGTAAAAATATCTTGATTTTGCTCAAATACTATTAATTAAATTTCACTGTTGAAGGAAAAAAGACTTGGCAAAGAAAGAGGCTGGGATTATATGGATCAGGAGAGTCATGTCAGTATGGAAGAGATACAGAAATGTTTATGCAATGAGAAAACAAAGGAAAAGGAAAATACTGACAGTGGTGAAACTCTGGAAGGGCAAAGCTGAGCAGAGATCTGCAGTGAAGTCTGGTAAATCTGAACTCGTTGCAGAAAATCACTGGAGGGTTTGTGTGGAGAGCTTTGGGGAAGGGTGGTGGGAATGGCAGGAAGAGAAGAGTGGAGGTGAGGCTGGTCCAAGACAGCAACCGTCTAGAAATTTAAATAGTTACAGTGAGGAAGCATATGTGGAGCTTGGGTAGGATGTAGAGGAAGGGAAGAATTTTAAAACATTAGAGGTAGTGGCAGTTCTTTGATACTACACCAAGCGTGCACAACTTGAGCATAGGGTGATGCATGGAATTTTCTACTCTTGTGAAAAAACTAATTGAAAAATAGGAAATAAGACATGAAGAGGTTTTTGTCGTTGTGCTGACACTACTTCTGCACTTTAAGAAACACTTTCAAGGATAGCTCCAGCTTACTGGGAATATATGTTACTGCAAGAATCACATGCACATTCGCATGATGTGATGCCTCTTTCACGTGGACTCACACCCCGCCCCTGCTGCAAAAATCCTGGAATGTCACATGGCAGAGCTGGTTAAGGGTCTGTCAGCAGGTTCTTCACTTCAGGATGTTTTCTAAAGTGTTTGAACTGTCTTAGGTAGTTGCTTAATACAAACAATTGGTATAGAACTCTCTCATCAGAAGTAAGTGTCATATTAACTGAAAAAAGTAAACCAACAAAAATGGACTATGTTCTGTTCTCTGATATCTCAATTTTTTTTCTGTTTTATAAGCTATATCCTAAAATACAGCTTTTTGAAGCTGTATCTATCTGCACAACTCATCCTAAGATTTACTATTGCAGCAGCACTTGGTTGTTGTTCACTCTGAGCTCCAGGTGCCACAAGCCATGACCACCAGCCATAGCTCAGTCTGTAGTAGCTTTGTGCAGACCCTTCATTCAGTGCTGCTGCTGTTTGCAGCTCCCTGCACTGAGCTGCAGGTGCTGAGCTCCCTCCTGTACCCGCAGGCTGCCCTGCTGAACTCGTTCCCTGCCATCTTTGACGAGCTGCTGCAGATGTTCACGGTGCAGGAGGTGGCAGAGTTCGTGCGGGGCACGCTGGGCAGCATGCCCAGCACCGTGCACATCGGCCAGTCCATGGACGTGGTGAAGCTGCAGTCCATCGCCCGCACGGTCGACAGCCGCCTCTTCTCCTTCTCAGGTGAGCCAGGGCTCAGCCTGCTGCCCCACCTTGGGTGCTTCTGCAGTGGCTTTGTTGGAAATAATTCCCTGCTGAATGCCAGTAATGTTGGTAATTATTTCCCTTGGCAGCATCGTTGAGAAATCCATTCGTTCACTCCTTGGTTGGAGCAGGGTGCCAGTAAAGCCAACATTGTGGGTTTGATTCCTCTTTTCACAAGGGCTTGCACTTCAGAGTTGGATTCCATGACCCTTGTGTGTCCCAACTCAGAGCATTCTGCAACTCTGTTAACTCTGTTCAACACAAATACTTAACAAGTTTCACTATGGTAGGAAATGTTTATAAATCCATCACGCATAAATTGTAGTTACTAAAGGCTGATAAACATACATTTAAAAATCGAGTCAATTATTAAAAGTGCCAAATCTCACTTTAGACTTTGCATTGCTCTTATCATAGACAGGAAGAAAACCTTCTTTTTAGCCAGCTTATGCCTGAGAAAAGGGGGATAATCATGTGAGAAACCCACCAAATTCCTTTACAGTATCTCTAATCTTTGTATTGCAACTTTAGTATTTCTTTAGCTCAACACTTTAGTAACTAATTCTTAAAATTTTACTTAAAGATACTTATATTATTGCTTACATATACTTTAAAAACAGAACTTTTAAAAATCTTTAAGAGCTCTGTGGAAAATGGGGGAAGATTATTAGTGTATTTCATACATAAAGGTCTGAATGAAAGAAATTACAAAGGTAAAGTGGAAGATAGAAAGCTCCACTGGGTTTCTCTTTCCTGTAGTGAAGACCTCAAGTTAGTGCACTTAAATTATTGTACTCAGTACAAGGTGAGAATGATAACACCACGGAATTTTGTTGCAACCATCCATTGTAATTGTTTGTAAATATTTTCTTTCCTTACATTTGAAATTATTTTCCTCCATTCAGAGTCCCGGCGCATCCTGCTGCCTGTAGTCCTTCACCACATTCACCTCCACCTACGACAGCAGAAGGAGCTGCTAATCTGCTCTGGGATTCTCAGTAGTATCTTCTCCATTATCAAGACCAGTTCTTTGGTAAATCTGCTACTTGATTTTAATTTTTTATTTGCACCGCTGATGGAGTAAAATGAAGAGTGAGACATTTTTTATAGGTTAATGCAGGTTTTTCAAAGAACCTTTTAAAAACGAGATTGTGCTGTCAGCAGGAGAACATCTGAAATGAGGGTCTGGCTCTGTGTGTGACTCAGAGCATCCTGGTGACACAGTGTGCTTGCTGTTAGGAGGGAGAAATCGCATACACCCTCACCAGCTTTGACACTGTTTAGTTTTTGTCATGCAAGCCCAGAACTTAGATGTCAGTGGAGTTTAAAAGTTCTGCACAGCTCAAGGACTCACAGTTCTGCAAGAGACAGTAACTAGCACTTTGTGGTTCGTATTAAAAGAATACTCTAAAATTATCCAATCTATGAAATCCCACTTACTTCTGGAAATTGCTGCTGAGTTTCAACACCCAGCTTTGACGGTCATAATACTCTGATCTCAAATGATAACTAGATCATGTAAAGCAATGCTCACAAAGAGGGGGTGGTGAAGTTTCCCCACCTGACTAAAGCAGGAAGCTCATGATGCTAAATATAATTCATACCAATGTGCATTTCCAATTACAAGTCATGGTTCTGTGAGAAAGGAATGAGATGAAAGGTATCATGGAAATAAGTTAAAATAATACTGCCATGGAGTAAAGGTTCCTGAACATAATCTGCTCCTGTTGTGTTCTAGGCCTTTGATTATAGACTAACTTCTATGGCTGTGACCCTGAATGTTTCCATCAGAGACTGTCAAGGTAACACACACACACACACTGACAGAACAACAGGATCTGGTACCAGTGAGGAGTTTGATTGTACTTCTTTGAACCTGTTCTGGAGTTCTCTGTCCCAGCAAGCCTGTGGTATGGCTGACTCAGCAGAACTGTCTTTACCCGTTCCATCTCTCCAGTTTCTAACTGTCTGTCTGCTCACCTCTTGCTGTAGGAGGGAGATGTCGTGGAGGAGGTTGAGATGATGGTGGAGAGCCTCCTGGATGTGCTGTTACAAACTCTGCTCACAATCATGAGTAAATCGCAGTCTCAGGAGGCGGTAAGAGGGCAGCGCTGCCCGCAGTGCACAGCAGAAATCACTGTTAGTAACTAACAATCAGTTTCTATTTCCTGCTTCTCTAACCTCTGGTTCAGTCCCTCACCACCACTGGCACCTCATCATCATCTCTGCTGCATGAATGCCCAAGGCTTTGTCTCTTTCCCTTAATAAGCCACAAACCCATTCCTTCCTCCCTGCACTAGTGAGGGCTGCAGGAAGCTGTGGAGCTCAGGAAGCTTTAGTGGATTTCCACAAATATTTTCTTGTTTGTCTTTGCAGCTGTGATTTGAGAGTTATTGCTTAATACTTGAGATACTGGGGAGCTGCCTGGGATTTCACCCCTAAGGTGGTATCAGCAGGGGCTGTGATGAGTTTCAGGCTGTGATCCCCAAAATTTAAGTTATGACTGTGCTCTGCTTAACATCCTGGAGAACTCCTGTGCAGGGTCATTGATTATTTCATGCAGATGAAACCCAGCATACTTTTTCAAAAGAAATTAAGAGATGCTCAGTCAAGTGAACTGTTGAGCTTGGTGGGAGAAGCCACCACTTTACCTAGGCTGCCAGCCTTAGCCACAGGGAAGAAATTTTTCTTTGACATGCAGTGGAAGAGAAGAAAAATAATAGAATTTTGCTGTTCAACCTTCTTTCCTGGATTTCTGCCCTTTTCTATTCCAGCCTATTTTAACCTATTTTTGTTTGTCAGAGTCTCTAATGCAGCTTTTGCACAATGTAGGATGTTAAGCTGCTGTTCAGAGCATCCTTTTTTTAGATTTGTTTTTTTAGCAAATGGCTGAAACCTCAGCAGTGCTGCTGGGGGAAGATGTACACTAAGGGGCACTTCTCACACAAGAGAGAATGTTGGATCTTGCCTTGTTAGCTCAGATAACAAGATGTTCTTTGAGACAGGACAAGAAAGGCACTGGCTTGCAAATGTCCAGTAATATCTCAGTTTCCTTTTATTGCTGCCATTTGACTTACTGCTGTTTACCACATGCCAGCCCACACAGAAAAGCACATCTTTCTTCCTAGTGAAGTTCAGCCCTGGAAAGTTTATTGCAACAACCCGTGACAAAGCTTTTGGGTAGAGGCTTGAGCCATTTAGAAAAACAATGAAATGGAAGGCACAGCCCCTTGTATTCACTCCTCAATTTACATTTCACAGCACGGTGATATGTGGATTTTTATTAGACATGGCTTGGATTTGTGCATTTTCCAAATTAATTTCTCTGTTGCAGAAAAAAATAGTGTTGTGCAAGGGACTGGCAGTCAACAGACCCAGTCTTGATATTTTTGGCACCCCTTTGCTTTTCTCTTGGACAGATTGCTTAACTTTTCTGTGCTTTGCTTTCAGATTTGTAAAATGGGGGAGCTCCTCTTTGGAAAACACTTTGGGATGTTGTGGTAACTGGTTAGGGTGCATCTGCTTTGCAGAATTACAGAAATGTAATTGTAGCTCATGTAGGCTTAGCCAGACTGTGCTCAGGAAATCTAACTGCAGTCCTGTCAGTACTGGAGCTTTGACAGCACAGAACTTGGTGAACACTAATAAGCCATATATTTACAAGCTTCCAGACACCTTCTGTAGCCCAGCCTGATCCCAAGCTGTCACTGCTTTACTGATCAGAGTCACTCAGTTCAAATAATTGCTGGTCTGTTGGCATGAGCTGCAGTCACACCTCTGACAGACACTGTATATTAAGTACATAGAAAAGGTATTGTCAAAACCTGCATGCTTGGAGGGTGATTTGTTAATGTCGGTATTAATAATTTACAATTCTTTTTGATTAAACTACAACTTTGATTAAACGACCTTTAAAACCAGCATCTGTGGAGGAGCCTCCTGGAGGTGTTTCCCTGTATTAACAGTAACTCAGGAATTGTTAATCTGAAGTACTTTCAATCTCTGTGCATGCCAATGTCCCATAGGCATTGGGGCCATTTCAGACCCCTCCCTTTATACCTTCCCCCGGGTTAAGCTTTGTATCTATGAAATTTCAGATTGTCTGAATGAGAGTTTCTCATTTGGCCAACAGGGAGAATATGTCTCCTGCCTTTTATCTTTGCTTCGTCAGATGTCAGACACTCACTTCCAGCACTTACTGGACAACTTCCAAAGCAAGGATGAACTGAAGGTACCAAAGGATGTGGTTTTTGTAGGGTGATTCCCTCAGAATGGGAGAGCAGAGGGGAATCCCTCCAGCATCACTTGCCCTGATCATTCCCATCTGCTGGCACTCTGTTCAGGGACCTTCCTTTCACTTTTAGAATCGTTGGTGTAGTGTTGCAAAAACACATTTAAGACCACAGGGCACCAAATTATCTTTATAACAGCAAATAAAGTCTCAGGATAGATGTCATTGGACATGAAGGATATTGTAATTGTTACATATAAAACACAGGCAGAGGAACAGGATTTTTTTTTTAATCCTGTGAATGTGAAGTCAGTTGTTGTATAGCATTTTACTACATGTTCAGTATGCACTGGAGCTTTCTTACAAAGGGTATTGATTTTATGCCAGAAGAGAATTTCAGGCCTTTTGGGGGTTACAAATGTCTCTGGCAGATGAAATCTTTTTTGGGAAAGCTATAACCTTACCACTCCACTTGCTGCATGCTTCTTTGTGAACATCAGCTTAAATTAGGGCTCTCCATGAACAGCAGGGGTTGGTGAGGGGCACAGACCCCTGACATTTTGAAATGGCACTTCTCACACCAGCAGAACTTCTTACCTCAACTTGGATGGGGAAGAGGAGTATCTCCAGAAACAGCCTGTTTAAAAGGCAGAATAATCCTATAAATAAAGACAAGTTTTTATATAAAACTATTTTGTTTAGCATTGCACTCAAATATGCACAATAAGAACAATGTAACGTGGCAGGAATTTCTGTTACCTTAACAAATGAAATGGAGAAGCAGTGATAAGTCCTTTCTGGAAAGACTTTCAGGTTTTAAATGTTTTGTGTGCATATAGAGAAGCTGAATAAATCAGGGAGATTAATTTGGGATGATAAAATTCTTATCTTTAGGTTGCAGGGTTCAGTGTATCTCAGGTTGATAGTTATCTGAGATTTCTGCCTTTCTGATAACTTTCAAATTGGTCAAAGGAAAATGATTGGGTAAATTAATTCATAATAAATTTTAATAGATATTTTAAAAGCCATCTAAACTATAGTTTTTATGTCAGACCTGTGTAAAGGTCATTGAACTAAAATTTGTCTTTATGCCCAAAAGAACTGTTGTATCTCTGATAATCCGAGTATATGTTCCAAGAGTACCATAAAGGCTGAAGAACTTACATATTACTCTTTTTTTCCCATCAAATATGGCTGCTAAAATATTTCCAATACTTTTTCTGGCATGGAAAGACATTTTATTCACTTACCACTGTTACACTTTGGGCAAAATGAGACCAAAAGTCAAGGAGCTTCTAATGCTTTACTCTGAGCTCAGTTACACCAAGATATTCTTCACACACCCTCCATTAAGGCATAATGATAGTATGGTTTTGAAGAACTCCTGCTCTGCCAGTTTCTCTGCTATTTTGATTTTGTCTGGAAAGAAAACAAAACAACAAAATCATAGTTTGCAAGGCCAGCAACTTGTCCCTTTTAATCTTCACTGTTCTGTAGAGACATGGAGGTGCAGGTAATCAAAAACCAGAAACGTCTTCAGGTTTGGGGATTTGTTTTTGGAAAGCAAACATTCAGCTGAATGTGTCTCAGAGCTCTTTGCTGCTGTGTGTTGCCAGAAAAGGGGTTTTCTGTTACTATTTTAGAAAGCCTGTGTAGGAGTTTTATTGGGCTTGGGGTATGGTTAGTTCTCAAATCGTGACATAAGTCCAAAGAAATTTGGACAGATCAATTAATAAAATGAATGCATTAAAAAGTGATTATGAGTCCAGTATATTTGAAAATAGCTGCAAATTGACACTGGAACTCTGGGTGGTAATATGAGAAGTCAGCTACAATGATGCACACAGGGAAGATTTTCATCTCCCTGTAGAAGTGATGATTTTAAAGAAGCTGGATGTTGTATTTTAGATGCAAACAAAAGGAATAGAGTCATATTCCAGTGTATGTTGCTTCCATGTTTCCAGGTGAATGGCCTTGCAATATAAGTAGGGTACACTTAGCTTAATTGTCTTTCTTACAATCAAGAAAATAGATTCACTTGCAACTGCTGCTGATTTTTACTTATTTTTCCCTGTGTGGCAGGAGTTCCTCCTGAAGATTTTCTGTGTGTTTCGGAACCTGATGAAGATGAGTGTCTTTCCTCGAGACTGGATGGTGATGAGGTTGCTCACCAGCAAGTAAGTAGAGGAGCAGGTGTAGTGTTGCCATTCTGTGGCAGTTAAAGCCTGGGGGCAGTGTTTTTCCTCAAACTGAGATGTGAAGATCAAGACAGGAATCCTGGAGTGCTGGTCCTCCTTCTGCTGTTGTTGTAACACTCTGCACCAAACCTGTGTGTCCGTGGGTTTGTTAAACTCCACCAGCATTCTCAGAGCCAGGAGTTAAAAGCAGAGCTGAAGGAGCTGCCCTGAGGGGCCCAGCAGCTCCAGCACACAGGGCAAAGCCCAGCTCCCCACACCAAGGGCTGTTTATGAGGCTCTCACTCCCTTGCCCCAGGCAATCCCTGCACTGAACATCTGTTTTTCCCCATGCACATCCCTCCTTAGCCAAGCCAGGAGAGGCATTGGGGTATTTTGGAAAAGGGGGAGCAGACCCCAGCCATGACACCAAAGCATTACACAGAGTTCTCTCTCAATTCAGTTCCATCTGCCATTTTAATGCTGTTTTATCTCAGTTTCTTGCTTCTGCTGGGTTAAGCACTGTGCTCTTTGGATCAGCAGCAGTGTTGAACACAGGGTGGCTGGAATTATTCACTAGTTTCCTTAGCTAAACTAGCTGTGGGATTGCCACTGGCTGAATGACAGCTGGAGCGTTCCCACTCTGAGGAAGCACCATGGAAATGCTCCTCAAGGCTGCTTGCTCAGCTGAGCTGAATGCTCTGCAAGTCCACCCTGCTAATGAGAAGTGAAATGAGTGGATTTCAGTAATTCAAGCATAAAGATTCAATGAAGTTCTGTAAGGAAAGAAAAAATCCACCTGAAACAGGAGCTCCCTCAGATGCTGCAGGTTACCTGTTCCCTTGGGCATAATTTTGCCACAAAGCATTAGACTGACAGTTACACAGATACTACTGTTGCCTTATCTACATGCCATTTTTTAATCTAACATGTGCCTTAATTGCCTTTCACTAAGGTGTATGTAGCCAGCAACAAAAAATAACATGGAACCAAAAATTGGCAAAACACTCACAAATATCTTGAGTTGAATGACAGTGAGATAAAGAACCATTGTATAGACAAGAACAAAGACAGCTCAAACTTTTTGAGTTACTCTCCTCTGGGGAAAAAAAAGTTTCTGCTTAGAACAGGAGGAAAAGGAGTGTGTTATTCCATTTCCCTTGTGGTCATATGGCCCAGTCATGCAAAATTGACAGGATTTTAAAGGCTCCTGTGTAAATTCTAAAAGTTACAATAACAGTGAAAGTTCATAATCTTGTATTAATTAGTACAAATTGTTCATTAAAGCATAGAACGATGACTTCTGTGTAAATATCACAGAGATTACACAAAGAACGCTATTCTTTGTACCTATAGTAAAACCAGCACCACCAATCACTGTAATAATTTGTATTCCAGATTCAAATGTTCTCTTTTTGTTTTCTTTTCTTTGTTTTTGGCTGCAGTATCATAGTTACAACAGTTCAGTACTTGTCTTCTGCCCTGCATAAGAATTTCGCAGAAACGGACTTCGATTTTAAAGTAAGAATTGATTGAGAAAATGTTCTGACATCTTTTCAACCCAGCAGTAACAAAGGAACAGGAGCTGCCCTCTGCATTAGCTGATGATATTTGCAGCATTTATTAGAGTGTCTGTCAGGAAGATGACCTAACTGATAAAGGACAGGAATGGAATCTGCTGTGGAGTTGATGGGAAGCAGAACAGATACAGTGTGAGATCAAATCAGGAAAATTCAGTCCCTCATAAAGGAAACAAATAATTCCATAAGCATGGGGCTAATGGAGTGTGCTGTCTTCCAGACTGATGGCCAATGCAATGTAAACTCAGGCAATGCTTTTCCTGAAGCTGGGGAATTCATAAACTTCCTCTTGCAGAGTTGTCTCTGGCTGATAACACAAAACCTGGAGGAATACAATCCTAGGGAGTTTTGTCCCTGGGTCTGATGCAGTTGGAGCTGGGCAGAAAATTCAGTGTTAGTAAGGAAGAGCTACCAGACATGCAGCTGGGGACAAGTGCACACACCAAGCTGGCAAAAACCTCATCTCTTTGGGAAAACAGACCAAATTATAGGGGTCTCATTCATGAGATACTTTGATCTCTGGAAATTTTTGACAGATAAAATCTGTTCAACCTACAGAGAAACAATTTGAAAGTTTGCTGATGTCACCAAGTTTATTCATTCTTGAGCTCTGATGCTCAAGAAGAAAAGAGGAAAACCCAGTGGCATTGCTTTTGTGGGGGTTCTCATTTCAGTTCTTACCAGGGTTTAAATAATCCATTTGTACTCTTAAGAGTTAATTTGTATCTCCATAGCAAGAGACATATTGATGAAGTTATCCCTTGATTTTCAAAAGGAGTCTATGTCATTCTCCACTTCTTTCAAACTTACTCTTGGCGTGTAATGTTCTAAAATTCCTTCTCTTGTCACAGGTGTGGAACTCTTATTTCAGCCTGGCAGTTTTGTTCATAAACCAGCCAAGTCTCCAGCTAGAAAATGCCACCCCACCTAAGAGGAAGAAGATTCTGGATAAGTAAGGATATGTTTTGTTGAGTTCCCACCTCAAAAAAGAGCCTTATTTTCCTACCATAATTCTCTGTGATTTATTATGAAAGCTGGGATGTGGAAATGCCTGGGAAATGAATAACTAGATCTCCCAATACAGCAACCAGCTATTAGTCAAGTTGTTTGATATTCTTACATTGACATAAATGTGAATTGAATTTTTTTAACCATTTGATTATTTTTTCACATCACTGCCTTGCAAGTTTTTCTTCCCTGGGCAGCTCTGACTCTGTTGTCTCTCAGGTATGGTGATATGAGAGTGATGATGGCCTATGAGCTCTTCAGCATGTGGCAGAACCTGGGTAAGCCTTTCCCTCTCTCACCTGACAACCAAAGCCAAAGGAAAAACACATTTTTGACAGATTTTAAATTTTTTTAAAATGTTTTGTGGCATCACAGAATCCTTTGTTTCTCTGAAGAGAAGCATTTCCCTCACCAAAACTCTCTTCTGCACTGTATTCTAGAGGAAAATAATAAAATATTTGCTGATAGAGATGACAAATACAAGGATATGAGAAGGGATGAATCATTAAGAGAGCAAAGGAGTGACACAAGTCAGATTGGATAACTTAATAATGTGGCTGCAAAATATTCACCAAGCCAAATACAAATATTTTATGTGTAGGAATATAGGTAGGAGTTGCTATTAAAAAAAAAAAAAAAAAAAAAAAAGACTACAAATGTACCATGCTGATAATCAGCTGAATGGGAGCTACCTGTAAAATGTTATGAGTAAAGGAGATTTTGTAATCTTTGAGAAAATATGTAAGAATCTGGAGGAAGAGAAGAGGGACCATATTACTGTCACAGTGTTTTCCCTAAGTGCACTTGATTCTAGATTAGTTTGCCCAGTCTTGCTTTCTACAGCTAAAAGAAACAACAAAATACAAAAACTAAAAACCCAAGACAAGCTGGACAAAGTTCAGACAACAGTCAGGAAGGGTACAGAAGTAAGAAAACTGAATAAGCCTTATTTGTCTTGCACAGCTAAAATGATCCAGCCAGAACTGGTCCCAGGTCAAAGGATCTGTGTGGAGAATAGAAGGCCCTCCAAGATAACAGAGACCCAATACCCAGAAAATGATGCTGGACAAACTCAACTGAGAAGTGAGAAGCCAGTTTTAGATGTGGACATTTATCAGTGGATGCTGTTCCAGATCAGGCTTTGTTGAGTTTCTCTCTGGAGCAGTGCAGTAGTGTGGCTCAGAAGAGATTGTGAGCAAAGTGCCTCAGCTCCCTCCTGGAGCAGATCCCCTTGGTCCCAGTCAAGGGCAGTTAGGAAATCGAGACAGCAGTGGGCACCAAGAGCTCCATAGGTCCTTTAAATTTAAACATGTTCTATTAAATACCATTGTTCTCACAGCCCTTTCAAAATCTTCATGAATTAGAAGTACTCCTGGCCCCTTTTTCCAGTTAGTTTGTTTTAGTTCATTACTTTTGACAGTCTGAATTCCTTTGCAAGTAAAATGCACTGACAATTTTTGCTGAAGGTTTTCACAGTGAAATCAAAAATGCTCTTAGAGACTTTGCAAGAAAGGGTATAAAGCAAATACTGATTTTTCATCCCTTTTCAGGAAAAGAATGTTTTTCTTTTGTAATGCTCATGCTTACAAATGTGTAAATGTCATTATTGCAAGGGTTCCCTATTTTCTCAGAAACAGACAGCAAATGCTTTTATTTAATTACAGTTATTTTGTGTTGTAGGTGAGCACAAGATTCACTTTATTCCGGGAATGATTGGCCCCTTTCTGGGTGTTACACTTGTTCCACAACCAGAAGTCAGGAATATCATGATCCCAATCTTCCATGACATGATGGACTGGGAGCAGAGAAAGAATGGCAACTTCAAACAGGTGAGGGCACTTCCCAAGCTTTCCTTTTCTAGATCTGTCTGCAGTCCAGCTGGAAGCAAGGAGTTTGTACTTGTTGATCTGTTTCTGACTGTGAAGATGTCATGTCAATATATATAAAATAGAAAATCCAAGACCTAATTCACAAAACTACCACAGGACCCCCAAGATTGTTTAAGCAGTGCAAACTGCATTTCCCATGAACATGGAGAAGAGGAGGGATGTGCTCAGCACATCACACATGTGGAAAAGAATTTTGTAGGGGCTGGGCTATCACTGCTCCCAGTGGTTTCACTTATATTATTAGTCAGCCATTAAATGGGTCAGACTGAGAACCAAAAATGGGGATGCAAAGATTTAGCCAGTCGTTGTGAAAACAATGCTCTCTGCTTTCTGTCTTCAATTTGCAGCTAGGAAGTGCTATTGTATAATTAAATCATTAAACCGTGCCTTGAAACAGACTTTGGTAGCTGTTTTTATTTTCAGAAATTGCAGCAGCTCTCCAGGAAGGGTTAAGTCCAACAAGAGCTCTGCAGTTTCCACCTGCTGTGAGCTCTGATTGCAAATCAGGGAGAGAAATCTTCATCATTCTGTTTCCCAGTCGTGGCCAGAGAATTGCTTAGATTTTCCACTGCAAACCAGATCCCTGAAGTGCAGAGCATTGCTAATGAAGGATGGGTTTGGTCTGGATCCTTGCATGACAGTGTTTCATTGTCATTGTGCTGGGGCAATACTGGGGGCTGGTATCTGCAGAGAAGTGCTCTGAAGGAGTAAATCACCATTAAATTATAATAATTCATGTGCTTAATTATTTGCACAGTCATTAAAATGCCAGCTCTAATCTATCATTTCAGGAGAATAGCAGGCTTTTCCCATAACCTGATCTATTAAAGGCTGTGTGGAAAAGTATTATCAGGAGCTTGTTTTTCTTCCTCTTTGACCCCTGTGATTGCTACAATTGTTATTATTTACTATTATTATTACTGCAATAGCATTTTGATCATAGTCCTCTTTCCATTTGTTTTAGCATAACAATAGAACAGTCTTTCTCTGGAATTTACAGTAACAAGCACCTACTGTCACCTTCGAGTTTCTGAGCCTATTTATATTTTCTGTATCAAGATGAACTCTTCATAATCTTCATTTAATTTTTATACTCACTAGCTTATTTTAAACTACAGCTCCATTAATATTTCTTAAATTACCTGTGGAGCAAATTTCCACACTGTTTTATGAAGCACATATTGCAACTTTTTAAGGTTAAAGATGAAATAATCATCTGTATTAGTGATTAAATAAACAGTTAAATACCCCAAGAGATAATAAACCTCATTAACATTATCTGGTGGAGTTATTTGCTTTCCAGTATAATCCTGGCTAGCTGGACACAGGCATTACTGATTTCTGTTATCACTGTAGATCACAAACAAAGGGAGGGTCTTTTTAATTCTGAGCTTCTCTTCACCTTTTGAATATTCAGTTGTTTGTCAGAAAATATAAAAACCCTGAAAACTCATTTTCAAGCCCTTTTTAGGTTTTCTTCAGTAGTTCATGTTTTAACAAGGTTGTTTTTTCAGCAAGGCTGGATAACAATAGTCGGATTCAGGGATGAAATCAGGTCTCCCTTTAATGATTTCAGACCAAGAGCACCAAGTCCATTTGTGTGCCACTGGCTGATTTGCTTTTCCTTCCCATCTTTACTTCCTTTGCAATTAGGCTGCTGATAAAGGTAGAGAAGCTCAAACTATGCTTGTCTTTAAATAAAAATAAGCCATATTTCTGCAAATAATTTCAGCCTTCAGGAGCCCCTGTCTTCACTAGTAGTGAAACTGTCTTCTGCAGGATTTCTGACTACATGAAATTGTTTTGTTTAATGTTACATACATCAATTTCTGCACTTGAATCAATTTTATGAGAATATCTGATATCACACTTGATATTTAGGGTAAGAATTAATATGTATTCAAAATCTTTCTAAGAGAAATATAATTATGCTGGTGTGGCCGTTTGTAAGCCAAAGTGCCATATAATCATAAAGAGGTTTAATGCAAATAATCTTCCACTACAATGATGCCTGGGTGATTGCAAATCAATGACAGCAGCAGAGCAGAGCAGTGGTGCTGGATATTTTCTCGTTCAGGATGCAGTTTACCTGATGTACTGGTTCACTGGCAGTGTCTGAGTGATGGATTTGGTCACTTCCTGCAGGTGGAAGCTGAGCTGATCGATAAGCTGGACAGCCTGGTGTCTGAAGGAAAAGGTGATGAGAACTACAGGGAACTCTTCAGCCTGCTGTAAGCTTTGCCAGTTCGTGCTCCTCGTGTTGTGCAGGGCCATTGGCAGAGTCAGGCACTGATGTGTGCAGCCACAGATCCTTGGGGAGGGCAGGAAAAGGCTTCTGGCAAGTTCCCATGGAATGGCTCAGAGAAGTAGTGCTGAAAGTAATAGAGAGATCTAAATTCTTCTGTGTCTTTTCTCTGTGACATCTAATAAAAGGCTGCACAGGTTGCCATCCTCCTATCCAAAATTCATTTGCTGCAGGAGCCAGGGCCCTTCTCTTTCCATAGCAGTGAGTGAGATCCTGGCCTCAGGATTGTTTAGAGACACAGTACACAGAGTCTACAGAGAATCTACAGAATCAGGCCTTGTTAGAGCAAAGGAGATTTTCCTCAGATTTTCCTTTCCTTCCTCCTATTTTTGAAGGCCATGTTTTGGTTGGTTCAACAGTTGCCAGTTGCTTCCTCCAGAGTCCATTGTGACATTATTTCCACATCCTTTCACACCAATCATTTGTGCTCAGAAGGATAAACTTGAAGATGTTATGTCTGACTTTACACTTCACTACTTTGATTACTGATCTGTCTCCAAATTTTATTTCAAATGTTCCTAGTTTATTTCAGAAGGAATAGACAGACAATTTTATGTGGTCCCCAATAGCACACTGGCTGTTTGAGGCTGTTTAACGCATAAACCTTTGTTTTGCTGGAACCAGTAATTCTTTTTCTGAATTTGCAATTGCATATACATTCATTGCAAGCTAGATAAGCCTGCCCATCCCATGTGCTTATCCTCAGAAAGTATGGAAATGTATTCAGTTTGGATTTGTGTATATTCAGCCTTGGGAAGTCTTGGATCTTATGTGTACAGATAAAGTAAGTTTATTTCAGAGATAAAGGAAAGGAAATATCTATTCTTTTTTTTTTTTTATTCACATGGCAAGAGGAATAGTGTGTCTTTGCAGCAGTTGAAGACATTCATTACCTGAAATGTTAAGAATTCAAGGGCTATAGCTTTTCACTCATTTTTAGATGATAGTGATTGGATGCAAGAAACACCCTGGAATTCCAGCAACCAGTTAGTTTATATTTGCCACTGAGTTGTCTGAGAACAATATGAGGAAACAACTGAGGAAAAAATTCCATAAATTAGTGAATGCTGTGTGAAAAAAACAGTTGACCCTGAATTCTACTGTCTCAACTATACTGCTGAAAAGGGAATTGGCTCCCTCAGCTGCAAATCATCCCAGGACTGAAGAGTTTGGCTCTTTGGAGAATGTGACACCCAACAGAATTTCTTTACTAGAAGTGGCAAATTCTTAGACTGGAAATCCACTTCCAGAGAAACTGGCATGTAAATTTGATCTTTCTTCACTTCTCAAACACAATGTTCATTGTTCTTCTTCCAGCCTTCTCTCTTCCTTCACAACTGTGTGAGATGGGTGCTCACTGTACTGCCTATGCTAGGCAGGAGCACACTGCTTTTATTTCCAGCTTAAATACAATGTGATTCAGGGTTGGCTGATTGCTGATTAGAGATGAAAAGTTATGGAGGGATGAGCAAAGAAGAAATATTTACAGTAAGTTTGGACTCCTTTTCAGTTTCTGACTGCTGCTAGCAGTATTTAAGCTACAGGTAATAATGTAGGAATCAAGTATTGCCACGAGTGTTGCTCTTTTTCATATCTGTTAAATGGCAATGTGAGGATATTTTCCCTTCTCCTGTCAGTTCTGTAATTTCCTTATCTTTATCTCATGCTGCCTGGAGTAGAACCCAACTCTTTGGGCCTTATCCCAGGTAAGATGCTAATTCTTCTGGCATTTGTTTCACGAGGGAGAAACCAAGTTGTCTGTATCAGTCTGCATGCACTGTTCCATTTCCCTGGAAGCCTCACCTGTGTCTCTCCATCCCCAAACAGTTTGCTGGAGAAGATTGAGCAGGAAACTTGGCGGGAGACTGGAATCTCTTTTGTCACATCCGTCACTCGTCTCATGGAGCGTCTGCTCGACTACAGGTACCTGGCACCAGCAGTAACATGTTCTGAGCATAAGAAGCTTGTCAGGATATGGTACCAAATTCCTACAGGCAATGTTTCTATTGACTGTCAAGCTGCAAACATGCAGGTCAATGTATCATGCTGGGTTCTGAGCAAACATCCCAAATCCTCATCTCTAGAGCCCTTATTCTCATTCTTGTGTGCTCATTCCTGATAGTTTGTACTGAGGTTTATTCAGGTCACTAAAACATTAATTCCTTCTATCACTGAAATGATCTCACCTAATTGAGCAAAATAGATGTTAAATGCAAGAGTGATCCCCAAAGCCTCGCTGAACCAAGGTGTGCTGAATGCCTCATCCAGGCCTGCAGGGCTGGAAAACTTCTGTCTGGGAACTGTGACACATCAGCTGGTGGCTCACGAGCACGATTTCACTATAAATTAGGCAGCCTTCATTTAGTTTCAAACTGAAGTTTGCAGGACTGTTGTGTCAATGCAGCTGAGCTTTGAGTTAGTTAGAAGGAAATATTTTAGCTTTAGATTTATATATACACACACACTCCGAGGGTTTTTTTTTAATAATAGACAATTTGAACCTATATAGAACTGCCCCAGATATTTCTATCTTTAGCCTACTGACAAGAGTTCAAATAGTTTTTTCTTCTGCTGCTGCTCATTAGAGGTGAAACCCTCTGACTAGGCTGGTATTCTGCAGTCCCAAATACTTTTCTGTGCTTTTTAGTTTGCTCTTTTTGTTATCCCTACCACCTTGATCCAATCTCCTGGTTTTTTTCCTGGCAACAACTGCTCTACAACTACTGTGCACAACCAGGTACTGGAGACACATTTAAAGGGAATGCAGGGGAGCTGCTTGGGGGTTTTTCAGGGGGCAGGGTGGGGGATGTTGTGTGTTTTTAGTTTCTGGTTTTTGTTTTTTAATGATAAACGGCTGCCAGCAAGGCAGCCTTGACACTTAGATACCCATTTCCATGCTTAATTGAGAAACACATACCAGTTTTTAATTGATTTTCAATCTGCAGCTGATTTGTCATCCCCAGAACAGGGAACTGGAATGTGGCATTGGAATTTGGAAATACACAGGCATTTCTTAGAGTCCAGCTGCCAGTCAGTAGCCGTAGTAGTTCCCAAGATGGTTAACTCTGCCACTGCTTTAAAAATTTAATCTCTTGTACTGTTTGAATATAAGCAATTTCTAAAATATTCCAGAAACCAAAGATAAGTTTTGTGATTTAACTTACCTATGCAAAAGTTAGAAATCTAGTCTAAATCCCTCAGGTTGTATCCTTGTGTGCAACACCACACTGCAGAGCTGCATTTATGGAAGGCAACCTTTTGACTAGGACAAAATGTTTACATCTGGATAAATAAGATATTTTTACTTTTATAGTAGATCTTGCAATTGGATTATTTTTGTCCACTATGATCTGATTTTTGTTCAGATTCTTGTAAGAAGTGAAGGAATAGTCTTTTCAAGTGCTTGATGTTTGCAGATGCAAACTCGTAAGGGGACACAGAGTTCTCACATCATTTAAGCCCTAATATGGAAATTTTTCTTAGAGGAACTTTATAAAATAAAGTATATGATTATCTGTTGTTTGTCATCCAGGGAAACTCTGGAAGATTAGATAGCTTCAAATTTGTTTTAAAAGGACTGTTTTTGCAGATGTTTGTTTCAACATTGCTCTGCTTTCTTAGGGACTGTATGAAAGGAGATGAAACAGAAAACAAGAAGATTGGCTGCACTGTTAACCTTATGGTAAAGATGTTTCCTTTATCTCTTTGTGATACTGTGCAATCGTGTTGAAAATGGGATGGGAAAGGCTGGGACAGGAATCTGTGTCAGGCAAGAGTAGCTTCAGAATCCAAGCACTGGGATGACAGAAGAGAACGATGAGGATTGTGAGGATCCTCTGGTCAGACTTGCTGCTTTAAGTAGGGCCAGATAGGTCAGGCTACTCAGGTCTGTGTCCAGCTGAGTTCTGTGTATCCCTGTGACACAGGTTCTACAACCTCTCTCACATCTTCTTTCAGCTTTGGACTACCTTCATTTTGGAAAAAAAAAATTATGCCACAATATAAAATTAGTGGGTTAGATCAGTGTGAACGTGAAATGAATTATTACTTTTCTTTCCCACTAAGAATGTGTTCTCTTTTCAATAACTTGCACATCCACATAAGCTGCTGAGTGCTTGAATGGAGGGAGAGGCTCCAGAGTAACAACTCTGGTTTTGATTTCACAGAATTTCTACAAATCTGAAATTAACAAGGAGGAGATGTACATCCGCTATATCCACAAGCTGTGTGACATGCACCTACAGGCTGAGAACTACACAGGTGAGGGGGACATTCCATGCAGTCTGCTTGAAGTCCTCATGGCATTTTTTAACTCTCCTGATGTTATACAATATCTGGTTCATTCTTTTGGAAAGAATTTGCACGAATCAGTTGTGGCAGTTGGGAAGGCAAGAAGCTGAGGCCCAGCTCCTTCCCTCAATTTAATACTGTCTGTTTATACCCAACCACATGATTATTGCATTACACTTCAAATTTTATATTAAAGTGTTCTTTTAAGAAGATGGATTTAAAAAAAAATCACAACAGCATAATGGAATTTAGAGGAAGATTAGCAAAACCACCATTATATAATCACTTGTCATATTTCCTTGCCTGGCAGTGCTGAGGGAGCACTTGGAGCGTGTAGGGACTCTAATGCTGTGTTGTCCAAGCTCTGTTTACAGCTGCAGGCCCCAAATCTAGTTACAGATCTGAACATCTGACTGTGCATTTAAATCAAGTAGCTGGTAAAAAGAAACTTGACAGATTTGTACCTAAAAATCATATGCTGCTATTTTAAGTAATTGAATAATTTAGTGGTCCTCTAAGAGTTGAGATTTTTTTCGCAAACTGTAAATCAGAAATCACAGACTGTCAGAAGCAAAGCCTGTGACCTTTCAGTATTGGCTGTGTTTATTTTCTGTCATTGATTCAGTGTTCCATAATTGCCTTTCCTACAGAGGCTGCATTCACTTTGCTTTTGTACTGTGAGTTGCTTCAGTGGGAGGACAGACCTCTGAGAGAGTTCCTGCATTACCCATCTCAGTCAGAGTGGCAACGTAAGGAAGGTCTGTGCCGTAAGATTATCCATTACTTCAACAAAGGGAAGGTATGCCAACTTCTTCTCTCTTCCAGCAGCTTCCTTCCCTTTTCCTGACCGACTTAGGGCTTGCAAGCCATCATCTCAGTTCAGTAGTCTGGAAGTAAATTTGTATCAAAGGGGTTTATAACATGACAAATTGGCTCTCTGGACAAAAAAAAAAAACAGATGACAAAAGTTATTTCATTATGTATGGCATTTGGAACCGATTAGGGAGGCCAACAGGACAAACACCAGAACATTTTTAAAAAAACCTTTAAACCAAGCCTTGGATCAGCTGATGTGGCAGAGTGCCAGTTCCTCAGCTTTTGGGGGGTGGGATTGCATTTTGTAGCTGCCTATGCAAACTGCTGTGCTATGACTCACTTGAGAACTTGTTTTATGTTTAACCTACACAAGGAAATAGCAGGCAAATGCTATAGGGGTCTCTTTATTGGAAAAGATTTAAGTCCTTTCAGTGTCACTTATTTTAAAGCGATTTTCAATTGAAGTGCAGTTCCATCTACTGCACAAGAAGAAAATCAATCCATTTCAATTTCATATATTGAGTATGGGTTTTCTACAGTTAATTTTTTTTTTTCAATTGCTGCAGAGTTAAATTGCTGCAGAGTTAGATGTTTTAGTCCCTTATGTCATGGTGTTTTGGGAACATTTCAGAGGTGAACCTTAAAAGTGACATCATCTGTTGGAGTACTTTCAAATTTTTCCCTTCTCTAGGAAAATTCCTACAGCTTATGTTCTTGGGAGGTAACATCTGTATGTGTGCCTCAGGGTTGATTTTTGCCTGTGATGGCAATGACAGTGGCATTAAATACAAATGTGACTTGGTTCTTATGGGGCTGCCATTCCAGATAATTCATTCCTAGTCCTGATAATAGGAGTTGCATATGGCAGAAACATTTTCTACAGAACCTGCAAAAGGAAGTCAGATTCCTGTGTGAAGGAAGAAATGGCCCATTTATGAGGAAGTGATTAAGATTTTTTTTGTGTGTGCCTGACAGAACTGCTCTTTTGTGATAACACTGCATATGGTTCTCTCATTTCAGAAATTTTCAGGGGTTTTCAGACTGCACTTAAAAACAAATTACTGGCTTGTACAAATATTGCAGTACTGTACTGTCTGACTAGACAAAGATGATAGAGGCACTATGGAAAGCAAGTGAGTCCTTATTTTTGACAACAACAACAGGGAATCCATATACACAGTGAAGGAGAGTAAAAATTGACTGATGCAATTAAGCTATAAAACTCCTAAGATTATAGAGTGTTAACCTCTTGAGGTTTTCTCCCTACTGGATGTTTTTTGAGTTACTTGATTTATGTTTTAATCCTCCTTTATTACAAATGGTAGCTGAATGATTAAATAATCCACTTAAGCAGTGTGTATGTCACTCAGACTATGGAAGTGAAAGATGCTGAGAAGCCAAATCCTTCTTTTCAGCACTCTTGCTGTGTGACAGGGAGCAGCTCAGGGAATGGAAGAAACCTGCTTCCCTCTACTTGTGTCTGACACCTTCTTTCTGCACTGTCCTGAGATGGTTCCTCCTTAGGTTCTGCAGAGCAGGATTTGTTGTTGTCCTTCAGTTGCATTTCCAGAATTTCATTTCTCATGCTGCTCCTGGTCTCTTCCACCAAGTGTGGGTGTCAAGGCAGAGTGTAAAGGCTGTAAAAATTCTGCATTTGTTCATAGGAAAATTTTCTCAGGACAAGAATGGGAGGAAAACTAGCCACAAGGGTGTCTTGTGACATGCCAGTGGCACAGCCTGTGGCGGGCTTGGGATGTGCAGTGGGTGCAGAACTGACTCCCACCCTCAGCAGCATCAGCAGCAGCCCTGTGCTGGGAGGGAACATGGTGTTCCAAAGCCCTTTTAGCCTTCACTGGTCATGTGCCCCTTCCTGCTGATTTCTGCTGTGCTGTGAATTGGTTTGGGCCTCAGCTGGCAGTGTGTGCAAGTACATAACTTAAATTGCAGATATTTTTAACCCTCAGTTACAATTTTGACTGTTAAAACTGAAAAGTTCTCTAGTTGAAGACATCTGTTAATGGAACAGTTTGAACCCGACTGATCATGTTTCTGCACAGCAAAAGCTCAAAAGCTACACAACCCTTTTCTGTCCAGCTCACTGCTTGATTTATTAACTGACAGTTCTGAACAGCTCCCACCATGGCATTGCAGGGTCTGGTCTCCTTAGTGCAGCCAAGTGCACACAGACACCCAAAGCAGTGTTCCCAAAGCACTTCGTTTTTGATCATGTGCTCCATACCCAACATTTGAAATCATTTCTCTTGTGTACCCTCATGGGAATCATTTCCAAAAGAAAACTGCACACTGGGATGTGAGTAAATAAAGGCTGGCATCCAGAAGGGTTGATTGTCTCTACCTGTGCCCCCTTGTGTGCAGTCAGCTGAGAGTTGCTGGTGTCATGGGAGAAGGCTGCAGTAAATGTCCTATAATTGTGGCTTTCAAGTAATACACAACATGCAAATACATCAGAGGTCAGCAAAACAGAAAACACTAATGAGGAAAATTATCAGTGGAGACATCAGGAAGTTATTTGAAGAGGGAAGTGACACTTGCATGTCACATGGAATTACATATTAATTATCTGTATTGTGAAGATGTTACTTGTTAGCATCACAGATTTTAAAACTGAAGCTCCAGTGACTTGCATATCCATTCATTCCTTTTCCTTTCAAATATCTACAAACCATTTTCTCTTTAGGACATTACCTTTATATTGTTTTTCTTCACTTCTCTATCTCATCTTGTATCTGCAGAATACTCAGGTAGCACAGTGGAATTTCTTGGTGTGGAAACTGAAAGAAAGAGAGAGCCTGAGTTAGGATGACAGGAATGGTATCAAGGTACATGCAGAAGAGGCAGTATATAGAGAAATCAGATGTGGTGCCATGGTGTTAATTTAATTGACATCAGAAAAGGAGCATGAAAAGGTTACATCCCTCAGATCACCTGGAGGGAAAACAGCCAGTGAGCTTTCTGCTTCTGTCCAGAACACAGATTAGAGAGTTAGATAGGCTTTAGTCACAGCATCCCATTTGGAAGTAAGACTGCTCACTCTCTGTGGGAAAAAAAGCCATTTATTCCTGGCCAGATGTTTTAGAAGTGAACATAGATCAACTGAGGACTGAAAATCTATGTATAGTATCTCTGTAAAGAATATGCTGCAACCATAAAAATGGAGTGGTGTTTGAGTTTGCAAATACAAACACTTCACTGACAATGGTTGATCTCAATTCAGTGGATCAGTTTGTGTGTCATGGGCTTTGACATCCCACAGCAAAAAATCCTGTTAATTTGAGATCACAAATACCTCACTAATATTCAGAGTAGTCAAGAAACTGGTCTTTCAGTTCCTTTCCTATTGTATCTATTGCTTTGATCTAAATAAATCTCAGGCCTCCCATTCCTCCAAACTGATTCTGGTACAATATTTTATTTAGCAAGTTTTTATTGAAGTTTTTGTAATTAACTGAAGCAAAAGAGCTGTAGTAAGGAAGTGGTAGTAAGGAGAGAACAGATACTACAAATGTGGGCTTAAAGGGAAACACTGTAAACTGCCTTATAAATTAAATAAAACAGTGTAAAGATTCACCTTTTTATGTGAAGGTACATGTAACCAGAAAAACTCATTCCATATTAAGTGCTAATATTTTACATAATTGCTGTTAATGACTGTTACCAAGAATTTATAATATTGCTATTAATATTCTTAAAACAAGATGATAGTTTAACTCACACATTAATTTTGTTTTCACTACAGCAGGGTCCCTTGTAAAACAACTGGCAAATTAGCCCAGTAATGCATAATAAAACTTAATCCAGTAAAGGTTCAACTGAGACCTTGGTGTTCTAATCCTTTACCATAAGCATGGTAAGAAACAGCCACTCCCCCAAAAGGCTTCCAGTGTGTGCAGGTAAAAGGTGATGGAAGAGATTTCAGTGTAAAAGGAGCTCTCCAAAAAGCCACTTGAGGTAACAGGAGAGTCTTTGTCTCAATGTGAGTGTGCCCAAAGTGGGTCTCTCCCTCCTGACCTCTGGGATGATGAGTATGGTGTGCTAGGAGAGATTTACTGTGTGGGATTGGGAGCTGAAGAAATGACTGTGGCTTTCTGAATATGGCTATTGAGTCACTGCAGTAAGGCAGGTCAGTTCTGAGGATGTTTTGTGTATTGGAGTGTTCCCACTGCCTGGCAGTTTGTGCTTTCAGTGGGAAGGAGCAGCCTGGAAGGGGAGCACTTTGCTGGGGAGCCAAGCCCTAATTCTCTACTCCAGGGAGTTCTAGTGCAGGAAGCAAAGGAACTGTTTGGGGGTGGGTTGAAGGGGTGTCTAGCACAAAGAAAAATTGTTAGTTTTATTATATTTCTCCAAATAAGTTCCCAGTGTCATAAATGAACTGCCAGAACAAGCAGTATGTGTGTGTAATTTCCACGGAACATATGCCTCTGTTCCCATCTTTTAGAAGGAATTGATCTGCTATTTAATGGAAATGGTTTCATCGCATTGCATTTTCACATCTAATCTCTGCCATTTCATACCAAGTGAACTCCCAGAATTGTTTCCATAGTGCTCCCAGCTGAGCTGGCAGTAGCGTTGTGTTTGCTGTGAGTGTGATTTGCTTTGGCCCCGCAGAGCTGGGAGTTCGGCATCCCGCTGTGCCGAGAGCTGGCCATGCAGTACGAGAGCCTCTATGATTACCAGAGCCTCAGCTGGATCCGGGTAAGTGCCTGCACCTTCTCTCCTTGCACACTCTTACATCACTCTCCAGAGCATTTTGCTCTCCTGTCAGAGTATTCTGAATTTTAAAAAGGATCACATTCCTTATAGAGCTCCATGCATTCACTGTGACTCCTTGCCATTGATTCATATTGGTGATGTTGTAGGTCCACTGGAATAATTCCAAAGTCTGGCAGCAGTAAAATCCCGTGAGTATATGAAGACAGCACACACACACACAGGAGCTAGGCTTGCTATTGCAATGGCAGATTTACATCTATTTTTTGCATAGAATATCCTATTTTTTAATACATAGTTCATTTTAATTCCAAAAGAATCAAGGACAGCTTGTGCCTCAGTGAAATAAGATGAATGAGAGAGAGAGAGGATGAAGAAGGCAAATGTTTATGGCATTCTTATCAGTTTACAAGGATCTGGTCCTCTGGTACAACCAAACACATGATGAAATCGGGGCACATTTGCAGCATCATGCTTTAATCAGAAGAAGCCGAGTTCATGTTGTTATTTTAAAACTTTGTGAATGTGAAAATATTTCATCTCCTTCTGGAGTAGAATACATGTATCCAGATTTGCATGAATATATACAATGGTTGAAATTCTCTTTCTAATAAGTCCAGTTTATTTTTATCTGAAGACACCTGTCTAACAAGGTCTAACAACTGTCTATCAAGGTTTATCAACTGCACTTAAGAACCTCTTTTCTCCAAAGTGGCCCCAAAGAGAGCACATGCCCAGCTTGGCTGTGCACTCTGTGCCATTCACATCATCACCACATTCCTGGATGCTTCCCACAATGACTTTGGGACCTTCTCCTTTGTGGAAAAGGAGTCAGTGTTTGTGTGAACTGAGCACAAACCAGGATGCAATATTGCAGGTTAGGGTTTTTTGCAGTGGAAGCAATGGTGTCAAACTGGTTCTTCTCCTTGAAGAGACACCTTTTGCTACAGTGAAATTCCTGTGAGCCTTTCAACTGAGGTTCAGTTTGCCAAAGGGATTGGAAATCCCACTCTTGATCTTTGTTGGCACAATGCCACAAAACAAGTTACTGGAACTAGAAAAAAGTCCTTTTCCTCTTTCCAACCACTTTTTTCTTCCATGTCAAACCTTCTGGTGCACAGAGCTGTAGAAGATTTAATTTTATCCTTTTTCATGCCATTCAATTCAATTAAGGCAAACCCAATTAGATGTAATTTTCCAGGCAGTGGTATGGATTTTGATCTGTAGGAGAGAATAGGACACTGTGAGTCAGGCAACGTGGATTTTAATCTCAGATTTGCCATTAATTCTGCAGTGCAAAGAAAATTACATTCAAGACCTGTTTAATTTAAAATAAGATAAACCAGGAAAAATTCGTATGTCATCTTCCAAAATATAAAATGAGTATGGTGATATTCTGTTCCACCATGTAGATTGGCTTAATTAATAATTTTTATCTTTAACAGAATTTTGGTCTTTTCATAAAAAATTGCAGGGGTAAAAGAGTAATGTGGTATTTTAATGAGTCTTGAGGTGTTAATGTTTTAAGTGTAGCTTCAAGGGTGTGATAGCAGCTATCTCTTTCCTCCACAGAAAATGGAAGCTACCTATTATGACAATATCATGGAACAGCAGCGCTTAGAACCGGAGTTTTTCAGAGTTGGTTTTTATGGTCGAAAATTCCCATTTTTCCTGCGGGTAAGCCAAATTTATACAGGATGTGACAAAGTGACCAGGCTCAGAGTAGCTGCTAAGACTTTGTATTTTTGTTTTGGAGATATGATGTCTACTATTCAGCATATTTTTTATGCCTGCATAAATAAAAACAGTTTTCTGGCTGAACTGAAGGACACGGTCCACTGGGAATGTTCTTGGGAATAGAGATGAGAAATTTGACTCATGCCACTGTGAATTTTTGATGATCTGCAGATGCAGCACAAATTGCCTCTATATTAAGCAAAATGCTGTATTGCAGCAATGTTGGGTCATTACAACTAATTTTCATCATCTCAAATTATCACACTTTAAAAAAAGTCTCACTTGACAGAATTCTAATCCCAGCCTGATGACTCTTATGCTATGTGCAAGTGAAAATTTCCTCTCTTCAACAAAAAGCCAAACAGCTTCTTGGGACACGTTCTCACTTGGAGCTCATTGTCTGCTATGTACCAATCCATTTCAAAAAGTGAAATTTTCTTCTTTTCCTAATGAGGAATCAAACTTTAAATGGGTATTTGTTTATACAATGTCTTGTTGCTAGTTTAGAGCAAGGAAGAAATATAATCTGACAAGTGCTCCAAGAGCTGCCTGCAAATTGATGGCAGATGCCATCGAATGTGACAGGACAAGGTAACTGGAAGCTTTCAAGGACTGGAGGTGCCTGGTTTGTGCTCTCTTTGAAGGAATGGTCTGACAATCGAGGTACACAGGATGAAGCCATACAAAGCCAAGGCATTCTGAAAGCTGCCCTCTTATATTTCCCTCTGATTATGAGGTTGTTTGTTGCTTTTTTAACAAGGATTTCGACATTGGGGTTTAATTATAGTCTTTTAATGGAAACATAGGCAGGGGTAATAAAGGCAAGTTGAAATTAGTCAAGGAGAAGAAATACCAGTGGATAAAGGGTGGTGGTTTCCTGTTATTTGAAGGTGAACAGTGCCAGAATCAGAGAATCACAACATCTTTTAGGTTGGAAAAGACCTCCAAGATCAGTGCTCCAACCTTTGATGAATCACTACCTTGTCAACCAGACCATGGTACTGAGTGCTATGTCCAGTTGTTTCTGGAACATCTCCAGGGATGGTGACTTCATCAACCCCTGGGCAGCCTGACAACCCTTTCCATGAAGAAATTCTCCCTGATGTCCAGCCTGAATGTCCCCTGGTACAGCTTGAGACAGTTTCTTCTCCTCCTGTCCCTTGTTCCCTAGGAGCAGAGCCTGATCCTCACCTGGCTACCACTTCCTGTCAGGGAGTTGTAGAGGGTGAGAAGGTCCCCCCTGAGCCTCCTTTCCTCCAGTGTGACCCCCTCCTCCCTCAGGTGCTCCTCACAGAATTTAGCCTGCAGCAGGCTGAAGCAGTGTGTGGAACACCCCTGCAGAGGATTCCAAAGTACAGGTGCTGCAGTGTGAACCCAGAGCTGCCCTTTCATTAAGATCTCCAGAGAAAAATAACAATTGCTGGTTTTTATATCTAAAACCAAATGTTTCAGCAAAGGAGTGCCAGCACAATCATCATGGCACACAAGCATTCCTAACATCTGAAGTAGTGTCAGTGACTCGAGTTTATCTTTTTGTCTTGTGGATTCTCACTTTCACCTGGGATCCTGCATGGCCGAGGTGTCTGACACTGCTTGAGCTTCCTGTGCTCAGCCCTGACTGTTTGCTAAGTGCTGTAACAATGTGGATCCTTGGCTGGAGACATTACCAATGAACACGAGCATACATAATTATAATCCTTGTTAATTCTGCAATTATATTTGGTAGCAGTACTTCTGATAGCAGATTACTAATGTAGCAATCTCATTAAAAGTCATCCTCCTCCTTTCTCTCCCTAATGATCCATACAGCACACACATTGTGGAGCACAGACTAAGCCCATTAGCAGTCACATCAGCATGGATCACACTGTAAAGAGATTGGAAGCAGCTATTCTAGAGAAGAAAAAGATTTACATGGATTTAAAATCTTCAGATGGGTACGGGAGTGATTTAAATTGATCAAATAACTCCAAGCCCTTTTCTCATGTATTTTTCTATTGCTGTATAGCTTAAGACAGAAAATAACCACTTTTTTCTACATCTTTGATTTTTGAAGACCCTTTGTCTAGAAAAGTAATTGTTCATGTTTCTATGAATTCTGCATCTATTTCTAGCCTTCCTACATAAGTAAATTTAAATTAAAACTATCCATATCTTCCATGTACCAGAAGTTCAAGCAAGGCTTGACAAGCCATGTTTTGAGATCTTGTGTTGGCATCTGTCTGAAAAGTCTTATTAAATTTAGCTTTGAGGTGTTTTCAGGGCATTATTTTTAGAATCACAATAAGTTTATTTATAGACTTAAAGTTTTCTAGATTGCTGCAATCAAAAGCTAAAACAGAGAATGCAGTAAGTGTCATGAAGAGATTCACCTTCAAACATGGGCTCACTCCAAATTTAATAATAGCTGCAAAGTTTGAGCTTTACAGACTGAACTGTCAAGATTCATCGTGTCATTCTTCTCCCAGTCCATTGGTTGCTGTGACTGATGCATACAAAGTGACACATGTCACAGCCAGAACATGAGATCCTTTCCATAAAGTTGAAATGCAAATCCAAAGATAACAACTCCTTGGCTGTGTTTTATGATCTGGTTTTGCTACTTTTCCCTTCAGTTTTGCTACAAGATCAAGAACTGCTTGGCCACATCCCTTTGTCAGAGCAATGAAAAACACATTCTTCAATATACTGCAGCTTCTAAATGCAAGAAATAAAAGGCTGTTCTTGTTTGTTAAAGTTTTTAATTGTTTTATGAAGGTGAAAACCCTCCTTGTTCTTCTAGTTATTATGTGTATGAGAGTTTAGCAAAATTGGAGAATTTGCCTGCTTTGATTGGACTTGAACCATAGGAGATATTAATGCTGATGAAAATTGTGGTTTGTGAGGGTTAAGACACTGGAACATAATCTTCCTGACACTAAAGACTTTAGAAATCCTGTATCGTGCTGTTTAGAGTTAAAGATGCCTCAAAAAGCATCCAAGAACTCTGCACAAGTAGTTTAATGCCTCAAGAGTCATATCTAAATGCAGCTTTCCATTATTAGCAGAAATGAAATTTTGTTCATCAAGAGGAAAGTGCTTTTAGAGCCAAAGGGGAATTTGTTAAGTGGCCACTGAGAATTCTTGGTAAAGCTTTTCAGTACTACTGTACTATAGACAGGGGAGTTCCTGAGCATGTATTGTTCATCATGATCAGGGCTGGGTTGTATGGCTGTGATTAAACAGTGATTTTTGTGAATAGTTTGTAGTAACTTCTCTCTAAAGAGAACTGATAAAGTTATAAACATATATGTCCTTGAGTTCTATGAGATCCTCAGGACTTTTATTCACCTGGATATAATTTATATATATATATATAATTTTATCCATCTGGATGTAAATTGTATTTGACAGCAGCTTTCCCACTGTAGAACAAGCCAAGCTGGTGATTTAGGTTTTAGTTGATATGTTTCAGTATAGTCCAATTAAAAATAGTGCCTTTTCTGAAAAGCAGGTAAGAGGGGACCACAAGACTGAAATGCTGGGTGTGCCTGAATCACAGGCATTGTGCTGTTCAGAGATTAGTGGAATAGTCTCATTCATCACTTCTTCATGAAATACATTGTAAAGAAAAAGGAAGGGATAAAATACATCTACTCTCACATTAGTATATTGCCACTGTCATTTATCTTTGGTCTTGAAGTAACAATTAAAGTGAGATAGAAGTCAATGGAATTTAACTTACCTTTAAGGACACTAATTTATGCTTGTCCTTCTTGCAGAACAAAGAATATGTGTGTCGGGGCCACGACTATGAGAGGCTGGAAGCCTTCCAGCAGAGGATGCTGAGCGAGTTCCCCCAAGCCATTGCAATGCAGCATCCAAACCACCCTGATGACTCCATCTTGCAGTGTGATGCCCAGTGTATCCTTCTGTGAAAGGGCAAACGCTCCCTGGAGCTGGGGCAGAGCACAGAGGTAGAGCTGGATATGGACAAAACCCGGCCCTGACTGCAGCAGACAGTAACTGGTTCATTGTGGGACATGGTGTTAGAGAGAGCAGTGACTTTTTATTCAGGGAGTAATGCTGGTCATGTTCTAGGTTGAAAGGAAAGGGCTGTGCTTGGTAATATCCATGTTTTAATGCTTTACCAACAGCACTGGCATCATGCACAGTTTGTGTCCTTAGGAGTATTCCTGACACCTTCTCTTGGCCAGTATTTTGTTGGGAACAGATACTAGTTCCAAAGCACTATTTTCCATTCTGCTTTTTTTTAAACATCAGTATTTTAGTTTTTTTGCAATTTCCCTTTCTTTAAAACTGCTGAACCTTTTTATATCCGAGGCTTTGAATCTCATTCTTCTCATTGGTCACCTGTACTGGGATTTGATACACCCAGTACAATGCTCAGTGCATTTAAGGTATTTGGCTTCTGAGAGAACAGCATGTATACTGTGCAGGATTTGAACCGTAAGGACACTGTCAGTGAATGGAGCCTCCTCTTGTGTGGGTTGTTGTTTCAAATTTGTCTTTCCTAATCCATGGATGAAGCTTTCTTTGACTGCACAATTACCAGATTTACAGATCTATGCAGTGACTCCCATCCCAGACAATATAGACGTGCTGCAAATGGACCGTGTCCCTGATCGCATCAAGAGCTTTTACCGCGTCAACAACATCCGCAAGTTCCGCTACGACAGACCCTTCCACAAGGGCCCCAAGGACAAGGAGAACGAGTTCAAGGTACAAACAGCAAATAAGCAGTGGTTAAGTGTTCATCTCTTGAATATAGTATTGTTATTTTATGCTGATAGAGCCTTTCAGGTAATCCTGATTTGACAGCCAAAGACACCACAGTAACTCAAGTAATGGTTACATCCATGGCTGATTGAATACTGTTGAGTTCTGACCTGATTAAAGCATTGTACAATTTAATGGTGAGTTATTTTAGTGTCAGGAGACACTGTTTGTTTGGCTGGACTTTTTTTTAATACTGACACGTAGGTCTGCAATGTCTTTTTGTGTCCCATGGCACAACTGGTGATTGACCAAGTTTTAAAAATTAATAGAAATGTTGAGTGTGTTGTTTCAAGCATACTGAATTCCTGGTTTATTGTTTAAGTGACTTTCAGAAAGACCTTCTGCAGAATTAATGCTCAGAAGGTTAATGCATTCTTTTCTCAGCCTAGCCCCTTTTGCACCTGTAGTAAAAGTACAGAGGATGTGTTTGTGATTCCCTGTTCCTCACAGCCTCCATTACCCCTTGCAGAGCTTGTGGATTGAACGCACCACTCTGACCCTGACTCACAGTTTGCCTGGGATCTCTCGTTGGTTTGAAGTGGAGAGAAGAGAACTGGTAACATTCATAGTTCCTGTAATTGGGGGTTGAAACGATGAGTTACTGAGGACATGGGATAGGCAGCTTGAAACTTGTTGGGCTGAAATCTTGCAGTTTAAAATGGTGTTTACCAAGGATTAAATACATCCTTTTTCTACCACTTAATCTAAATAATTGCTGACTGTAACCAAGGGAATTGTATGAGCTGATAGTATAATGGAGACAGTGCCAAAAAGATGGAGTAATTGCATTGCTGCCATGTCTTCAGTATATAGAAAGACATCTATTATTGCAACCAAGTGACCTGAAATCCAGCACTGCCAGCAGTGGCGTTTGTTAATGTAGCTAATTTTCTACAAAGCAGTAAAAGCAAAGGGAGCTCACTGAACAATCCTGGAGTGTCATTTTATTACAAGGAAGATAATAAATCTCAGTGAAATGTCCACAGAATTAAAGTATATTCTATTGCCTTTGAGGTTGAAGTAAGTCCTTTGGAAAATGCCATTCAAGTGGTAGAGAACAAAAACCAGGAGCTGAGGACACTGATAAGCCAGTACCAGCATAAGCAAATGCATGGCAACATTAATCTTCTCAGCATGTGTCTGAACGGAGTGATTGATGCCGCCGTTAACGGGGGAATTGCACGGTACCAGGAGGTGAGCTGGGCTCTGCTTCCCTTCCTCAGTTTTATTTGCATTTCTGTTTCAGTGACAGCATGGCTTAATAAGGTAAGAAATTCTCATGTGCATTATCTAAACCTCTACTCGGTTATTCTGCATCAGTGCTTGCACAACCACATGCAGGGAGGCTCCAGGGGTGGAGCTGGGATCTCACATGGAAATAGGTACAGGTAACAGAAGGGTTTCTCAAAGATGACACTTGGCTTACCTGGAAATCCTCACCTGGCAGGTAAAACAGTGAAGCAGCTTTTTTAATACTGCTTACATTATAAATTCATTTTGCAATAGAGGCTATGGGACTGGTGGTAACTGATGAGGTCTGGAATCAGAAAAAAACACTAATTCATGCTATTGAACCATTATCTTTGCTGATGGGCTAATTTCAGACTCACTGTAGAACTAAAATGATGTTAAATACAGTATGTTATCCAGCATAATCTCTGGCAAGCTGTTACTTAAACTGAGCATTGCAAAACGTAGATTTAGGGTAAAATACTGAAAAATTGCAGCAGTGGTTCAGGGGTGTCTGCACTACAGAGCCATGGAGAGAATGCTCTTCAGGCTTTACATTAGTTGCCAATTTACTCATGAAATTCCTTTAGCTTTAGGCAGTTATGTGAAGGAAACCATAAAATTCAAATAACTGGAAGATACAAGTCTTAGTGGTATTGCACATCACTGTCACAGGGGGAAACTTGGACAGAGTCATGATTCAACAGAATCGTTTCAGCTGCAAAGACCATTTTCTCGGCATCCCAGAGTGCTAAAAAGCAATAAAATTAAGCTCTGCTGTTATCTTAATATATTTCATTTTCCTAAGATTTTTGGACCTTTTCCTTTCATCCTTTGACTCCAATTTATAATGAAATACCTTCCCATAAGTAAAAGGCACTATTTTTTTTCTTTTCCTGCAGGCCTTTTTTGATAAGGATTATATCACAAAGCACCCTGGAGACGCAGAGAAGATCACCCAGCTCAAGGAACTCATGCAGGAACAGGTACTATTTTTCAGGTGCAGAAGAACATTGCTACGTTGTCTGGATTCATCAGCAGTCAGTCTAAACATCAGATCCAACTGATTCATTCAGAAGCAAAGATTTTTGGTACAGGAGATCTAAATACATTCAAACGAAAAACAAGAGGGAGGTGGGCAAGGAGATTATGACAAGTCACTCATTCTATGGGATGTGAGGTGAAGCTCAGCTGAAAGTACATTAATTTTGTTTTCTATATTTATTATACAATAGACATCTTGCTGCATTTCAAGCCTGCCATTCATTTTTGGCATTTTGAACTATGTCTTCCTAGGAAATTTCAAAGATAATCAGAGGCAGGACAGGTCAACTTTGAGATTAAAGTGGCAGAGCCACATATGAAAACTTAATGTCTGTTTATATTATCTGCAGTTTTATTTTTCCATAGTGTCTCCTTGAAACATCTTGGTAGATAAAGCTGCAGGAAGCTTTGATGGGAATGAAATCAGATAATCACATCCCTTTTAACTGAAAGTTTGGCAAGATACACCCCATTAAACAATGTGCCCAAATCTGAATAGAGCTACTAGGCCTTGTTCTTCAACAAGTCACTGAATAGCATTTCAGATTCCCCATCTGTAAAATAATGCTTATCTCCCTTCAATCCTCAGGAGATGTTTGAAGATTAATTAGTTATTGTTTGTACAGACTTTGGATCACGTAGGGAATTACATACATCTTAAGCCTCCTATCATTGCTATTTTCTTTCATCTCAGACCTTATATAATCTCATCCAATCATGAATATTATATGTTTGACCTTTGAAGAAGTGACCTTTAGAAGTAACTAATGAGGAACAGGAGGAGTGACTGCATGTGCCACACTGCTGCTGTTCATCTCAATTATCAGAAACTCCTTTTAGAAGTCTGCTGGCAGCTCAGACCCCATCCCTGGCACTGGGGGGAGTTTTTGTCCCAGGGCATTATCTATGTGAGGGCACAATGCTGTTCACTCTGCAGAGAGAATCTAACTGGTAGTTTTTTGCAGTTATCTCCTAAGAAAAGCAATGCAACATGACACAAATGTACTTGTCTCACACTTAAATACTTGTTGGAGTAGTATGAACTTGCCAGGACTCCAAGGCTTGATTAATTACCAGCATTCTTGTAATGGATAGTGGCATATTCCTTGCACGTTGCCAGAACTGCAGGGCAGGCTTCTATTCTCTCTCTTAGACACAGTTTATTTGGGTTTCTGATGTTGCATTTTCTTTTTCACAGGTTCATGTCCTAGGAGTGGGTCTGGCAGTCCATGAGAAATTTGTACACCCTGAAATGCGTCCCCTGCATAAGAAACTGATAGATCAGTTCCAGATGATGCGATCCAGCCTGTACCATGTAAGCCAATAGTCACTTTTCCATTTTTGAATTACATGATTAAACATCTGTCAGTTGCAGTAATGTTCACAAAAGGACTGGGCTGATACACCATTGATTGAACCTATTGGACTGCCAAATTACCAAAGGAATTCTTGATTTTTGTGCAAGAAGGCAGCTGTAGAAAATATGTTAACTTGGCCTTTCAACAAGAATTGTTAATATTTATATGTTCTTTGTTGTATCACAGATCAGTTGTAAAGCTTAATTTTCAGTTGCTATCTCACATAGCAGAAAATTATCTAAGACAGAGGAGATTAACAGGAGGTGTTGGATGTTCACTTTAAAAGAAGTGCCATAATTGGAAGTAGCATGAATGAAGAAAACTTGCAGTTTTCCATGACTGACTGAGCTGAAGTGTGTTTGCTCTGCAGGAGTTACCTGGTTTGGATAAGCTGAGCCCTGCCTGCTCTGGCTCCAGCACCCCCCGCAGCAACGTGCTGGTGTCCCACGGCCCCATGAGCCCAGAGAGCATCAAGCTGGTGCATCGACACAGGTAACCCCTCTTAACCCCCCCTTCCTCCAAAGATCCAGGGGCTCTGCATGCTCTTCCACCAAGGTTCCAGGATCTAAGCAGTGCTTAGCAGTGCTGCAGCCTTTTGTCTTCATTCAGTGCTAATTACTAAAGTTGAAGAATTGGAATAAGAAAGTTGAGAAATGCAACTTGCAGCAAATGCTGAACACCTCCAGGTGTGACTCCATCCCTTCACTTAGTGTAGAGGCAGAAACACCAATCTGCCATTGAGTTCTCCAGACTCAGTCTGACTTCAGAGGTCACACCCTCTCCTACTTATGTTGCACCAACAGCAAATAACTGGGTCCTTATCTACCATAAAAGGAAAATTGTATGGCTTGTTTTAGAGCCCAACTGAATATGTACCCATTTTGAAGGATCCAAATTGTTAACACGGTTATTTTTATAATTCTGACCAAATCATAAATCCAACACGAGAAAGGCTGCCATGGTGTTTTGATCAGTATATCAAAAAAGCACCCTGTGGTGCTTTTTCAAACTTAATGCCCATATATTAAATCTGAGATAATGAGAGAGGATAAAAATTGGGATTATAAAGACAAAATAGTGGTTTTTGTATCCAGCCAACATTGCTTATTTGAAAATGCTAATTGCTCTTCTGTGTTTATTTTTCTTATTGGGTCACTATATTTTAGCTGGTTTTAAAGGCTGGCATAAAAAGCTGTGGAAAGTTGTCCATGAATCCAGGATGGTGACATTCTTTATGCTATTAAAACTGAGTAGCTTATACTGTTCCCATGGCTTAGCAGTTGACAAACAGTGTCTGGGTGATAACGTTTTTTTTCCACAAAATTCCTTACTTCGTAAAGGCTTTTTTAGTTTTTAGGACAAACTAGGGAAACTCTGTCACTAGAGTGACAAAGAAAAGTTCATTCCCTGAGGGAGATCAGGGTGCAGCCTGCACACCAGCTGGGTTGTATTAATTTACTGTCAGCTACAAAATTGCCTTAAACTGTAATGCTGAGGCCCAGTGCATGCAATAGGAAAAACTGGATTTTGTTTGACCTGTGTGTCTTGTGCTTGGATTCCTTTGGAATGTTTTTTTAAGCTGCTCCCACTCACTTTAGCATTAAAATGAGAGTGGTTTCAGTGTGTTCTGTTATAAACAAAACAAATATGCACTCTAGGTCATGATGTGACATTACCCTGGGTTGGGGTTCTGAAATTCAACATCCCATGTACTATTCTGTTTTACCTGTAATTTTCTTGTCACTTCTTTCATATTTACCCACATTTATAGATTTCTTTGGGCTTATTTGGCCTGATTTTTCAAAAGTGTTTGACATCTAGAGTGACCTAAAGCAGCAGGTAACTGCAGGTACTTATTAGTATGGAGAAAAAAATCAGGCTTCACAAACAGGTTCAAAAATGAATTATGCCCTTGCTCTGTTTTCTTGCAGCCCACTGAACATGCTTGGTTCAGTGAGACACTCCTCATCCTCTCTGTCGTCGCACACCTCCAGTGAAACAGGAAACCTGGTTATCCTGACAGACAGTTCTGTGGGGGAGACTGCTGAGGATATGTACCACATGCAGGTACAGCTCCAGCACAGCCAGGAGCAGTGCCTGGGAACAGCACGGGACATACTCCAGAGGAGTACACTTGACCTTGCACATGCTTGGCTCTGTCTGTGATATTTTTTTCAAAGAACTGAATAGGTAGAATGTAACATTGTTCAAGAAAGATGACAGTAATTCACTAGATTAACTTTGGGAAGAAATCTCCTGTGTTTGTCCAGTGACTGTGGTACTGCAGGCCAAGGTTACACTGCTGCTTTCAGAAAGTGAGATTTTTGTCCCATTTTGTTTACCTGCCCCATTGAACATGTGCAGTTAGTGTTGCTCTTGGTTTGGGGAGGTGGAACAAGTCCCACAGTGCAGGTGAACAGTGGCCTGCACTGAAGCTGGGCAGAGGCTGCCCTGGCTCATCCAAGACAGGTCAATCCCTTAGGCAGTGACATGCTCAGGTCTCTCTCATGGTTTCTCTGTCTCCTGCAGCTTGTTTACCCTAAGCCCAGCTACCAAGGTTCAGTCACCAATGTCTCTGTTTTATCCTCATCCCAGGCTAGTCCTTCCACCTCCAGCCTGAGCTCCACTCACTCGGCACCATCCCAGATGATTAACTCTGCCCCCTCCAGTGCTCGAGGTAAGCATGGACAGGCCCTGATGGGGGCACCTGCAGGTGTTCCCTAAACCTGGCAACCTTGCTGACTTACAGGTGAAACACCACCTACACTGACATGTAACACTGTTTCTCTTTCAGACACGTAAATTCCTCTTCAATACTTTTTCTTTACAAATTGTTTAATTCTCCGTTTTCATCTGTATTTTGAATGTATCTCTAACACATGCTGGTTTCCGGCAGTTGAATTTCATAATGATGTCCACTGTTCCCCACAAAATTGTAGCAGGCAGTCTAGAGGAAAACGAGAATAGTCCTCAGTATAGAATTTAAAAGAGAGATGATGAAGACAAAGGCAAAGAAATCATTTTACAAACTTAAAGAAAAGGACTTGAGGCACTTCAGCAGAAACATATGTATACAAAAGTAGATGTATGGGATGAATGTTGAAAGATATTAATTTTATACCATGGAGATAAAGAAGGGCTTCCCTGCTAGGAAATTCTTGAAGAAAGGAAAAATATAAAATCAGACTCTGAGGGTACTCATATTGTTTTTGTGTTACAGTAGCTGGTCTTGATATTGCTAATTATTTTCTTCCTCAGCTGAAGCAAAACGACTCCATGTGAACTGACTTTCATAACTTCTCTTCAAGGTTTTGGATTTTTTCCTCTCACTTTGGATTCTCAGTTGCAGGTTCTACACCTCTTTTCACAGGCATCTGAAGAAGGTGTCCAGTATATAGTCAGAGACAGAGGCTGATATTTAAATCTTACCCCTTTTTCCATATAGGGGGATTCTGTGTCTCCTGATGGAGAGGGAATGTGGAGAAGAGCCCTTTCTCTCAAGCCATCCTGAGGCTTTTTTGCTCCATCTGCCAGTCAAATCCTAATTGACTGGCTGTTGTTATGACACAGATGCAGCAAGGTGATTTAATTGAGGGATCAGATGGAGTAGGAAGGTGAGAAGTGAACATTTTCAAATAAAGGCAAATAGCTGCACTAATTACCAAGGGCTGGAAGGAGAATCATGACAAACAGTAACCAGGTGAAACTGGAATAAGAGGAAATGGAACTGAGGAGAGGGCTGTCATGTCAGGAGGAAGTCCCTAAGTGGATGTGCCTCAGCTGGCATGTGAATCTTTGGGGGGATGTGAAGGGTTTGGTGCTGTACTGTTTCACGCTGTTTTCCACTTTAGAAGTCCAGTGAGAGGCTCACAGTGACAGGCTGTGACAGGCTGTGGCAGTCCTTCTGAGCCTGATGACTGCACAGCATCACAGCTTCCCTCTTTACGGTATTATTCACTGTTGCTTAGAAACCAACATGATGAATGCTCCAAAGGGCCTGGGCTGCTGGGTGAGCCAACAGCACCTCCCAGGGATGGGACCCAGACACATTTCAAACGGGAAACAGTAAGAGAAGTAATGAGTTTGAAAAATATTTATGTAGCCTGTGATATAATGTTTCTTCTCTGCTGTTGTGTTCACTTTTAAATTAGGTGAGCACAGCATTTAGACATTACCCACTGGTGGGATTTCACTTCTAGTAAAGTCTCAGATGCAATCTGTGTTTCCCAGTGTGCCAGTCACTGCTCTGGTTATTACAACACTGCTGCTGGAAATAGAGCTGTTCCTAATGAGAAAAAGCCCTTACACTTAAATTCCACTGTGGTAATGCAGCTGTTATTCTTCTCCTTGGTGATTTTTCCTTTTGTTTTGTTTTTTAACTGGGTGAATTTGATGCTTGTGAAAATGAGACCACTATCACTGGCTGGAGCAAGGTACTTCACAGACATGACATCATGTGCAGCTCTGCCAATGCACCTCTATCCTTTTTTTTTTTCCTTTTTTTTTTGTATTTATTTATATTCTTTTTAATTTAGCGCTGGTGAAAGGTGCTGGATTGACACCACTGGAGGCTGAAGCCCTCTATTTACCCACAGAGCAGATACAGCATGGGAGGCAGCTGTGCAAGTTCCCCCACGCTGCCCCCACCCATGTGCCTCATCTCTGTCCTGGAGGGACCACCTCTAGAGGTGAGAGGATAGTTCAGTCTCCATGACCCATCCAACCCTTGGCCTTTCTGCTGAGACTGCCAACAAAGCTACGAGAGTCACGATGCTGCAGCTGAACACTTGTCAGACGGGAAGTGGACAAAGCCCAACAATTCATTTTATAAAGGCCACCTAAATTTATCAGCTCAACATCTTTGTCACCTGTGGCTTTAACCTGAGCATGGTTGGGTAGGATTTCTAGGGTTTAGCCTGATTTTTAAATGCTTCTCTCATTTATCCAAATGATAATGCAGGTACTTAGACCACCTTCTCTGTTTTACTGCAGAGTCCTTTCCTGAGGAGATGGGTATCTTTATAACATATTAGTTCCATCAGTGACCAAAGCAAGCCATGACTGTTTGTATTCAGAATCCAGCAGGAATTTAAATTGTTCTCCGCTTCCAAAAAATTGCCCTTTTATGTATCTTTAAAATAGCAACACAGGTGACTATTTGGTTTGTCCAAAGAAAATAACTAATCTGTTAACCTAAAAAGAATTTTTAAACGATAGTCATCAGGAAAGTTGATCAATGATTCGATTTTACCACTGAACTGCAGATTAAGGCATCAAAATTTACAGTAGTTATAATATACACAAGTTACAGCAGAAGTCTTAAATAGAACTGAAATCAGAATACTGCAAGAATTTACTAATTCTGTGCTAAGAATAGACATTAGTAGTTACTCATTATTACAAATATGTATCTCTCAGTTTTCACCCAGCTTGACCCTTGAGTAGCTTCTTCCCTGTCAGGGAAGCACCACTGTTGTTGTGTAAAAGGTCAATTAGAAACTCAGTCCAGTTTGGCTTCATTTGCAGTGGCTCATGAGGCACTGCTGAACTTTACTGCAGTTAAAAGATTACACAAGTCAGGGTTCAGAAAGAGAGAAACTGTAACTCAAAAAGGCCCGGAAAGAGCTAGGAGTGAGTTAGGGTTTGTCAGTAATTTAATTTAAAATACAGTTAGGACTCCTCCAATGCACTCAAGCAATTCCCACATGACACTTGACTGGCCTCTAAAGGCATCCCTACTGCTTCCTCAACACTTCCCCTCGTTAAGGTGTAGAAAAATGAGTCCTGGTATCTTACTCAGCACTTTGCAAGAATACATGTACTTACATTAAAACTTCCTTTTTAATCCAAAAATTACGATTTGGTGCAGGAGCAAATTTTTCATAACCATAATAAAAATGATGAACCAGGAGAAGAGATTCAATTAGTTTGGAGTTTACATTAATGTTCAGTTTATTCCTTAAAATTAGCACTTGTCACAAGTGGATTAACATATTTATAATTAAAAAAGTAAAATTATCTCTGGCTTTAGCACAAGTTTTCTTTTCTCATTAGCAAGTACCCACAGTGCTGCACACATCAAGTGCATCAAGCTACATGCTTAAAGGAGTAAGCCCTGGCACATGCTGCAGTGTTTTATTATGGCCACTGGCTGCTCTGGAAGCTTTAAAGGGGTTTTTTTACTTTGTTTTTTTAAGTTCTGCCAGTCCCCGAAAGGAGCTGCAGTTACTGTGCTCTCTATCTGTCCAAAACAGCAATATGTTTGCAGACTGGACACTTGGCATAATCTATTACCATTTTTATAGCTATAGTTAATGACAAATTTAGGGTACCAGTTTTTTAAATGACATTCTGCCAGCACATGTGGGACTTTTCAGGTCCTTCAGTCCAAGGTCTTTGGAAGCTGTAATCCCATATAAACTGACAGCATGTAGAGGTGGTTTGCATCTTTGATATAAAAGAGCAAGGATGACAACATCAATAAAAAGGAAAAGTTTACAGTGTAGGTTGTGCTGTGCTGTAGTTCTGGGCACACCTAAAAGTTCAGCATCTTAACATTTGTCCTGCAGAACAGGACTATCTGTGACCTGTGAGGAAAAGACTCAGCACAAAGCGTTAACACTGTGTTCTCCAAGCTGATGTTGTACATAAAAGCCAAGAATGTCGTCCAATTATGTTTCTGTTCTGTGTCTGGGGAGAAAATGAGTTCGGGACTAGAATGCAGATACTCTGCCACTGTTCATGTCAGAGTGGGGGTGTAGATTATTCTGGTATCTGCCCCCCCAATGGAATTGTTGCAATTGTAGGACTTTATCCTGCATTCTGCTGGACACATTGTTCCTTCCACTGTGTGCTGAGTATTAGTCCCCAAAACTGCATGTTTGCTTTTGCTGGGGTAAAAGCTGCATCAACCAGCACCAATGCCTTTGCTCATATGTTGGGAGTGCTGTCCAGGTAATGTGTGTGGTTGTGGAAGTTTGCCAGAGGGGGCATGTATTCCCCAAAAGCCGGCATGGCTCTGTAATGCGCTGTGTGCTGCCATCTGTTCGGTTTGTGTTTGTGACGCAATCAAACAATCAGTGCAAATTACAGCTCACTTCAGCAGCCTCACAACATCAATTCCTGCCTAATATTGTGCATCCCAAGGGTTGTGTGTATCAGTAGTGTCAGACTTTAGGAAGTCACTAATGAGAGTCATTCTTCTGGCAAATCCACTGTCAGCTGTTGCACATCAGGAGGCGTATTGTTATGTGGCACTCATCTTGAAGGACATGAGTCCCAAGTAATTCCACCTGTCAGGAAGCTGTTACATGAAATCCCCAATATCTTAAATGACAACTATACAGATAACTAATAGATAAATCAAGCTTATTATTTCTACTATAAAACTCTAAGCATTGGTAAATGTCTAGTGTCATCCAAGGGCTCAGTACAGCAACACAGTAGTAATCATCATTACAGCAGCATTGTAAGCAAAGTGCCTCTCACATTTATAGAATATGCTATTTATTATTGGGGTTGGTTTGCTTGAACAAGAGGAAGCTGACCAAGATAGCAACAATTAAAAGGCAACACTTATCTCTATCCAGAACCAAGGAATGAAGTATTTTCCCACAGATTTCTGCTGGAACTGAATGGTCTATCTCAAGCTTTTATCCCTTTCTCCCATATTCAGTTCTAAAATGCACAATTTTACGGCATTTCTATAACTCTACAGTATAAGGGAGCTGATTCCACACAGATGCCTACTTTTTTATGTTTAAAATGAAGCACTTTGCAACATACAACTAGGGACACACACATCTTGCACACCTTACATGGTATGTCCTTAATTGTATCCAACAAGCCAGTTCTTACTGCATCCTCGTGCTATGCACCCACCAACAGTCAGCTGCTTAGTGGGCTCGGCACCATTCCCTGAGTCCTGTGAGCCCATGCATCTGAGCCAAGTGCACAGGAGGACTGAGACCCCTGGGCATGCAGAGACATGGCTGTTGTTTGTCCCGTGTACGTGATTTTTCTCACTTGTTTACAGGCTCTCCCTCTCTACCAGATAAGTACCGCCACTCTCGGGAGATGATGATGCTGCTGCCGGCGCACCGGGACCGACCCAGCAGCGCCATGTATCCCGCAGCTATCATGGAAAACGGACAGGTAGCAGCTCTCATTTCTTCTGTGTCAGTTCAAACCCCTGAAACTCTGGCTGTATTTTTGCTGGCTCTGACCACCTTAAAGCTTTCTTTTTAATTTTTGGAAAACACAGCAACTTAGGATTGTTTTCAGAGGTGAAGCAGAACTTTTCCTATTAATCCACCCCTGTGGTGGTTGAGTGATACAAACTGTAATGACTGTTAAAAGAGCAGATATGTCCTGTGAAAATGGACTTGCTTCCCAACTTTATCGTGTGAGCCCTGGTCCACTGCAAGTAGTCACACCATTTTCTTTATTTGTGTAGATCCATGGCCATCCATCCTGCAGTATAGCCTTCAAATTGATTCTAAATATGGTGATTTCGAGTTATCAAAAACCATGGGAGGCTGAAATAATATGCTGATATAGGGTCTCCAAAAAATCTGGGCCCTAGTTTCTCTGAACAAATTGAAAAGTGTGTCTACATGTAAGCATTTAAATCTCGCCCCAGCATGCACTTTTGAAGGGAATCTCCTGATTCTGCCCACTTATCACACTTCAGTTTGCATTGGAGAGCTGTCTCAAACCATGGAAAGTCAATGTTCAAACAAAACCAAAGATAAGCTTTAGAGGGCAAACAATACATTCCAGCTGCTAATGGGCACAAGGCCAGGCTAGAGCTAGTCTGAAATAGCTAGTCTGAAATAGCTCTCCTCCAGAGAGCAGCACCTTCAGCACTGTTACACCCTAGAGACTGACTCACATTGCACTGCAGTATCTGCCAATGTAGAGGTTCCAAGGGAATCTTTAGTTTAAAAACTTCTTTGCTGAAAGAAAAGGAACAGAAAGTCCCCATGTTGCCCCAGCTGGTCTGTAACTTTTTTTTTAACTCTTCTTTGCTAACTTTCTTCTTTCTCAGCCTCCAAATTTCCAGCGCGCCTTGATCCAACAAATGATTGGACCATGCAAACCTTGCAGTGATCCCAACCTGTCTGTGGCTGAGAAAGGTATTCCTCTTCCTGTTCAGCATGCATGTTTGCTAAAATACTATTCCTCTGCTCCTGCTACAGCAAGTAATGAATGGGCTTCTACATTTCCTGGCAGAGTGCATTTCTCTCACACTTTTCTAATTAACAGTTTAATTAATTGGGCCTTCTGCCAACCTACAGACATTTCAGAGCCTTCACAGAAGGGTGGAGTGGCACAAAGCTCCCCATTTCAGAAAGCTTTCTGAGTTTGGCATTTTGTTATTGAAACAATTCCTGCAGCCTTTGTCAAGCAAACTTGCAAAGCAGCAAATGAGAAGTTATCTAGGAACAGCCCAAGATTTGGACTATATTTTTTATTCATGAGTTATACTGGTTTATAATACACATTTATTGCTCAAAATACAATTTTTCCTTATAATCTCTCTCTGAGGTAGTTTTTTATTTATTTATCATTAGAAATAGATGCTTTTTTAACTCATTCCTTTGGAAAAAACAGGCAGAGTCCCTGCAGGGGGAAAAAACTGAAAAAGGAGAAAGAATTTAAATGGCATAAGAGAAAAGGAACAGCTTGTGAAGGAAGTGCCATGGACAAAACGATGGGCTCAAAAATTACCTGAAAGGCAGCATTGTGAAAAAGCAGAAGAGGGCAAAATTCCTGAATCAAAATCTGAGATAAGGAGGCTGCCTAAGCAAGCAACAGTCATGTATGCCTTGGAAAAATGGTATCTTAAAAGATTTTTAAGGCCAGGAAAGGCCACTGTAACTGTCTAGGCTGACCTACATTGTACACTCAGAGTTTTATATTTCTGTTTCAGTAACTGTGCCAGAACTAAGCTGTATCTTTAAAAAAAAACAAATTTTATTTTAGAATTTCTAATAAATCAGAATCTCCTCCTTCAACATGAGCAGTCGAGATTGAAACCAAACACCAGTTCTGAATAAATGGCAGAATGATGACTTGATGACAATAATGAGCAATTACAAGAGAGTTAAGACTGGAGAGTGAGGGATTAAAAGCTCCAGCATAGCAGTGTTAGTTTGAACCAAATATATTAGAGAGATGGTGATATCTTTGTACTGGACAGGAGAAAGATCTGGAAAGGGAAGGTAGATACATATTTACTGTCTGTCTAGGAAAAAATACTTGAATTTGTATCTGTGGATGATATTATGCAGCAGTGTGGAATTCAGTGCCAAGAGATCAAAGACAGAATTTTGAAGAAGCCACAAGACACAGGTGATGTTCAGTGGGGATGGTGTGGCAGAAATCCCAGCTCTTGTGCCTGGCTGGTGGCACAATGCAGTTACAGGTGCTCCTGGCAGGCCTGAACCCTCACCATTCTATGTAGCTGGGATGCCATCTGCCCTGGATTTCGTGAGCAGTCAGGGCCCTGACTTCCCCCACCCCTTCCTGGCCCTGTCAGAAGTTCTGCTCAGTAATTCCCAGTGACACTGGTGACATCAGTTGCCCAGGGCAGAATGGTTCAAATGCAGCTGCCCTACTAATTAAACTTGGCCACTGAGCCACTGAACAGTCACAGAGAGAGCCAGGGGCTAAGTCACAGCACTGGGAGCTCCCTGCTTCGCTTCTTCCCTGGAGCATTTTGGCTAAAACACTGGTTTTAACGGGCAGCAGCCACTCTTCAAAATCATCTCACCTTCTTCCAGCACTTCTAAATACCCCAAGCTGTGAGTGAGGGAAAATTGAGCAAGCATAAGTGGATTTTTCACTGGGGTACCATGTGTTCTTCATATTCTCAGTCTGCATCTCAGTGTTTAAAAAAACCCCAAAACAAGCACAGCAACAGTTTTAAAGGCCAAGCAACTCAAGTTTTCTGCCCTTTCCATCTGATGCTGGGATATGGCAGGACAGATGAGCAAGGCTGGCACTGCTGTACATCTTGTCCCTCTGTTTTAGTCCTTTGACACCAATTGCAGTAGTGCAAATTAGAACACCCTGGCATGTGTACAGGGAAAATCCATCTGGAGCCATAGAGAGGTAGGCCCTGGTTTGAACCTGTTTTCTGTCAAGATTCTTAGTGTCTTCTTCATACACCTTTCCCAGGTTCTCAGGCTGAGAGTATCTCTTTGAAAAAAACCCAAACATTTACTTTTATATTTTTATGGGGTTTGTTCTGTCTTATAAAGCTGTCATTTTGTGGTCTTTTTCACTTTAGGGAATTTTAGGCCTCAGGGAGCCCATGCTCATGCTAACTCATGAACTAGGGAGACAAAAAAAAAAAAAAAAAAAAAAAAAAAAAAAAAAAAAAAACAACCAAAAAAAACCTTTCAAAGTCATTTTAGAAAGATGCACCAAAAATGGCTGCAGGCATTTTAATTTAGGAGAAATCCTCTTCAGATGTCAAACTCCATGTTTATTTCCCCAGGCTTCCATTTTGCAAACTGAAGATGGAAAAAGCTATTTTTATCTCAGTTTCCTTTGACAGGCTCAATTAATTAATTTTTTCCTCTCTTTGCTAATCTGAAGAAATTGCAGTCGCTTATTTGTTTTTAAATAAACATACAACTATTGCACGTCTCTTCTCAGAATAAATCAAGTCTTGTTTAGAAGGAAGGAGGGAAGGTGCATTTTAATAATGTTCAAGGTTGACAGAATTCTCGAGATCTTGAAAAAGGTTTATGTTCATGTCAAGAAGCAGCTTTTATTTCTATGAAAAACCAAGTCCATGAAGATAATATTCTCTCTCTGTTAAATGAAGTATAGAGATACTTCCTGATTCACAAAGACTTGATCTCTTCAGGAGACTTTGTAATACAAGGAGGCCAAACTGTTGTCTTTAAATATTTTGTCATCAAAGTTCTTGATCAACTCTGTAGCTTAGTAAATTGGAGCTTTGAAATAATTACTTTTGCAACAGATTGAAATGGACTGAGGTATAACTTCCTTCAGGTCCTTTATTCAGTGCAGCCACAGGCTGTCCTGTGTTTCCAGGGAGTTTTGCCATGCTCCCTTGTCACCACTCCCCACCAACCAGGACAGCTCACACCTGAGATCCAGCCACTGTTCCATTGGTGGACTTCATTTTTACCTCCACACTGATTTGCAAAAAAACCTGCCAGAGTCCTACTGCTCTTGAGATTTGCCAGAAATGAGCCCAGGGATGGAGGGGAGCTGGGCAGACTAACCCTGCCATCACCTAACTCTCACTTCCTTAACAAAGCATATCTAAACTTAACACTCTGTAGCCTTTCTGTGCTGTCAATCCTGCCATTCACTGAGTCCCTGGAATCTGTCTCTCTGCTGCTGAAGAGCACACTGGAAAGCCAGTGCTGGCCCCACAGACTCCCTGTCCCATCACCCCAGTCACATCTGTTTCAATCCTCCAGCTGTGCCAGCAGCACCCAGTAGCTGGAGCCTGGACAGCGGAAGCCGAGAGGCGCTGCCATTCCTGTCTGCCCACGCTGGGAGCATCCTGGCCCCACCAGTGCCTCCCCGAAGCCTGCCCCATGGTAAGGACGTGCCCAGCAGGCCTGCAGTCACACACACACACACAGATCCACACCACCTAAAAGCTCTCTGTAGCCTTTCCCCCCACCCCTGTAAAAACAACCAGAAACAAAAACCCATAAACTTTCCTGGTCTGCTAGGTTTTCAATTTTTTTTTTTCCAAATCTTCAAATTCTTGCAGTCCTTAAGCAATGTGGACTTGTGTGTACTTTGGGACTAGAATTAAGTGTGAGAGTGCTGAAGCCTGGTGTGGCTTCTTACCAATGACCAACTTTAGCAGTAATTTAAGCTTACAAAGTTAATAAATGAAACTTCAAATGTTCATTGTTTAAGAGGCTGCCTTGCCATGAGGTCCTTGATAATGGAGCAGTGAAAAATCTCTCTGTGCACTATATTTCTCCTTAGCAGCCTGTGTGTGACAGATGCACTCTGCAGTATCCATCAGACAGGCAGCCCTAGGCTGGAGTTAGCAATGTTTGGAGCTGTTACATGGCATTACAGAGCTAAACCCGGCTTTGGCTGCAAGGAAACAGCACAAGTCTGCATTTCTGACCCTTGTCTCATTCCAGGACACTACTCACTGCACTTTGATGCCTTCCACCACCAGCTCAGTGATGCTCCTCCAGCACTGCCCGCCCGAACGTTACGCAAGGTAATGGCAGGAGAGCAGAGAGGGATGTGGGACAACAATGAGCTCCTGAAAGGGATCCCCCCTCCTTGGCTCCCACCAAGCAGCTTCTGAATGCAGAAACACTATTTTTAACATGCTAGTAAACTTGCAGATGAGAAAACCCGCTGAAAGTTCTTAACCTCTTCCACAGCTGAATGCTATAGAAATAACTCACAGGCTGTAGGTCCTTCCTTTTTCCTTTTTTGCACCATATGCTGTGATTTCAGCACCCCAATCATCACCTCAGCTGCTGTTTCTCTAACAGCTCTGGTGTTGTTGAGTGCACTTGTCTGCCCACAAGTGGTACTTCCATACATGTAAACCAATAATCCTTGACATTCTGAACACAAATGGAACTGCGCCGTTGTTAACAACACTGTCAAAAGCTGAAATGGGGATCAACACACAAGATGCAGCATTGCTTCCTTTTTCAATTTTAACCTGGTTTTGTTTCTCTCCAAACAGTCCCCTCTTCATCCTATCCCTGCATCGCCCACCAGTCCACAGTCTGGTCTAGATGGCAGTAACTCCACTTTATCGGGCAGTGCCAGCAGTGGTGTCTCTTCCTTGAGCGAGAGCAATTTTGGACATTCTTCTGAACCACCTCCTCGCACAGACACCATGGATTCTGTGCCCAGCCAGGCCTGGAACACTGATGAAGATCTAGAGACACCCTACCTCCCTGTCAGGTACAGTCTCTCTGAGCCTGATGTCCTGGAGTCGCTCAAATCCCAGCCATGCCGAAGCCACTCTGCTCCATCTGGAGTCATTCCTCAGGACACCATGGACCCTCCTGCTTTACCCCCCAAACCTTACCACTCCCGGCTGCCAAACATGGAGAACGAGGAGGGGATGATCATTGAAGATGATGACAAACACCGCCCATTGCATCGTAAAGTGTCCCAGCCAGTGAGTGGTGGAAAGGAGGAGCAGGCCAGGGTGGCCTGGGAGCATGGCATCAGCGAGCAGTAGGGACAGCTCCTGGTACCCAGCTGGCATTGGCATTCCAGGTCTGGATACAACAGAGAGAGAGCAGGACTCGGAGAACAGCAAACCGATTTTCTACTGCCGCAAGGTTACGTCTGAAGCCCACAAATGCAATTGGGCCAGCATGGCAGGTTGCTGCTTTCCTTTTTAATTTCTTTTTACACCTTTCCGTTATGTTTTTTAACTTTCTGTGCAGTGGACAGTTTATTCCTTCTGCAGTTTCTTAACCACATCATACGGCATATGAGCCATAGAGACTTGCAGAAGCTGAAAAATACAATTTTAAGTGGAGGGGAAAATGGGAGGAATGTGGCAAGTTGATTTTGAACCTGCTTTCCTCCCAGTTCTGAGACGCACATGAGTAGAAGCAGTTGCACTAGGGACATATTTCTTTGCTGTACAGAATTGAAAGCTCATTGCTGAAATCAGGGATTCTATGAACTGTCAGGCTGGAAGGTGCATGAGCTGCAGGCAGTGGAAAGATGGCAATTCTAAGAAGAAATTGGCTCTTTTGAGAGCAGGATTGTATATATCTGTGCAGTGATCTCCCTGCATTGGTTCATAGGTGCTGAGGCAATCTAAGCAGTGCTGATGCACTGATCTCCAAGATATCGTTTCCAACAAACTCTGCCTCCTTTGTTTTTTATGTACTGTTTCATTTCTTAAATTTTGCTTTCACTGGCTAAGCCAACCTGCTTTCTCTCATGGGAATCGTGTCATTCATCTGTGCTACAGAATGAGAGGAGGTTGGTGGCTACTGGAGCTACAACCTCATTGTAGGCCTTTCCCATGCCCAGCTTTGGGCAGGCTGTTGACACCAGCATTTCTATTCCAGATTAAAACAAAACCAACCAAATTGAGTTTCTCATGCCACAAGCTGGTTGATGACCCAGCCAGTAAAGAAAAAGTGGCTTAAATGCATCATATCCAACAATCCTTGCCTCAGGGCTGAACATCATAATTCTCACCCACGTGCATCACCCAGGAGCTGAGATTCATTCCTGTTAATATCCTCAGTCCCTCCCAACAACTCACTGCAGCTGGTGTGCAGAAAGAACCTCCCATCTCTCAGAGCAGACAGAAAACACCAAGACTCGAGCAATGCCCGGTATCAAGTGTACACCCCAGAGTCAGGGACCTTAAAGGCAACCTGTAAAGAACAAGTGTTTGTTTCCTCTTTTGCTTCTTTAGAATGTGTAGTAAGAGCTGCTGCTTCTCTCTTCTGGAAGGTTGGTTTCTTTTTTCCTTTTCTCCTCAGGCAGCAATACAGCCTTTCCCAATCCCATGTTTTTTATTGGTAAGCTCTAGAAAGGGCTGAAGAACATTGGGGGGGATGCCAAGCCACACCACACAAACCAGAACTGTGCAGAGCTGAAGACACTAGAGGTCTATGAACCAAAAACATGCCTTGTAATCAGTACTTGCACGGTTCAGGAAAAAAAAACCTGTGGGTAATACTGTTCTTTACAAAGAAAAGATCTTGGTTCTAAGAGACCTTTTATTCCTGTTTTCATACTTTTCAAGAAATTTTCAATCAAAATAGTATCAAATATGTAATGTTTTTAGATGAATAAGCCACCTTCCTTTCCCTTGCCACACCCACACACATTTTAGCCTTCCTTATAACCCTTTCACCTGCAGACTGCAAAGCACACTCCGTAGGATGGGAACAACCCTCCCTCTTTCCTACCACTGAAAAATCTGAAGCACATTCAAGTAAGGCCTCCACCATATAAATTAGTGCCAGAAACAGGAACAGCACTCAACTTACATCTTGAATTCTTACCTAACTGCTCACTTTCTCCTGCTTAAAACAGCATAAAGAAGCAAAAAAGGATTATAATAAATCTTTTACAGGTCACCTTTAGCACTACCTCTAAATACAGTGACTGGGCAGAGTACATGGTTTCTGAACTGGCTAAAGACAGTCTGGCTGTATGAAGTCTGGACTCAGTAGTTGTATGAAGGGGACTTTAAGGGGATTTGTTTGTTTTCTTTCTCAAGCTCTAGCCCATGCAAAACTACTAAGTTATGGATTTGTTTCTTAAATGGCCTATTTGGCTGGAACAAAGTCTCTCTTGCTTCCTCTATTTTGTTACTAACACAGGCTGCTTGTAATCACTATATCCTTCACAATTTAAACAATGATAATAAAATCTGGCCTATAGTGGATATTTCATCTTTAGCAGGAAGGAGAGTTTTCCAATGCTAAGACAGTCTTCAGTGTTAATAACCAAGCTGGATTTCTGGTATAGAACAAATGTAGGAAAACAACTGATGTTTTCAGTAAAGGTAAGTCAAGGTAATTCCTTAGAAAACAGTGAAATGTTTTCACATATGCTATCCTCCAATCCCACTGAGACTCTTCCAGTGAAGTTCTTAAAAGAACTAAGTTTTAATTCCATTTCCCTTACCCCAGTTTCTTTTTTTTTTCCTGGCAGCAAGACTAAGAGTAGTAAATGTAGTGACTTACCAAGCTTCCTTAATGTGAAAAACCCAGCAGGTCTTGCAAATAAAACTTTGCAGAATCAAGAATGCAATTACCATGGAACTGAGTCCCAGGCAGCTGGAAAACCTGCCCACCAGAGCTCTAATCAGCCTCTGAAAATGCATCATCCTGCTCTGATTATAGACCTGGTACAACAGCAGTGAGTCCATTTGGGGAGTCTGGCATTCCTGTGTATTTGCAAGAGTTGGAAGATCAATCAGGTGATGTGTACAAATACCTAATTTATGGCAGGTCCACATAAAGAATGGTGGAATAAATTGCTGAATTTGCCAAATTTAAGTCTCTCTGGAGTTAAATTTGTGTTATTGTTCTGGTATCTACCAAGCATTCTGTCTCCCTTTCCAGTGTTTGCCTTAAAGGGAGCAGAAGATAGAAAGACTATTATTAAGATTTTGTCAATCTTGGAACTAATATTGCCTGGAACTACTATTTCTCTGTAGGGTGAGGTGTCTTTTAGCATAGTACAACTCCAACATCAAGCTCAGTCCTGGAGCAGGTGGAAGCAACAGCAGTTGTTGCACTTCCCAACAGGATTTGAAGATTCCTTGTATAAACCACAGCAACAGGATGTTTTGAACAGGACCTTGACATTCTATACCTAACTCTAATTCAAACCTCAGTGTACTTGCCTTCATTGGGTTTTCTTTGCATAACGAAATAGCATGTGCATTCCTGAGAAAAATTGGTGGAATTCTGCTATAAATCTCTCCATCATCCATGTACCTGCTGGCCCCATCTGAAACAAAATTGAGAAGGAGCTACAGTGGTAGAAGAAAAGCAATTAAAACAATTTCTCTGAATCCTACTTTTTTTTTTCCCCAATAGTTGGGTTGGTTTTATTGCTGTATGCAAGACTCAGATCCTTTTTCATATTTTCCTCTGTTTGGTTTTTAGCTTACTTACCCTTTTTTAGGTAAGGGATATTGCATATCCCTTCTGTGGGAGTATCAGCCAAAACTGGGGAGGCTGGAGAGAGCAAGAGCCTTTGGGAAACAAATTATGTGATATTTAAAATATCCTCTGGTCATGCTTCTTTGTAAATACCCCCATTTGAATGCTGTGTATTTGTACAGGAAATTGAGCAAAAAATGTATAGATTGTGATGTCTGACTGGTATTCTGCCCTGTAAATGTGTTTTTAACCTCTGGCATTCTGTGCTTATTTAAAAAAAAAAAGGCAAAAACCTCTAACCACTTCTCTTTTGTGTATTCATGTTTAAAATAAAATGAAAACAGCTATCTTATCTATAATGGAAATCAAATTCAAAAGGAAAAAATTAATTTGTACAAGTGTCCTAAAGGTACTTCATTGTATATATTGTGATAGCATGTTTCCAGAACCAACAAATAAGTGGTGTGAATTTTAGATGTAAATATCTGCCGTTTGTTTTGGGTTCCTTTCCCTTACCCATTCACTCGACTGCTGTGATGTGGAATTAAAGATTAATACCTGATATTAAAACAGTACAGCTGTATGGTCATTGCTGTCCTCGAGGCAGGGATATCCTCAGAAGAGACAGGGAACAGCCCTCACTTCCCACCTTTGTGTGAATGAGAAAAATGGGGGCAACCACAAGAACTTAATGTGTGGTGAGGAAATGGCTTCCCTCTTTTAGCTGACAGTGTTATTTTATATCAAATTCTTGAAGCCAGCAGCAGGTACAGCCCCCTTCTGGTCTAGTCAGGTAGATGGACATGGCACTTGCAACAGCCCCAGGCACAGTTTGGGGGCAATACTGTCAGAGACAAAGCTCTCCCCTAGGACAGCTCAGGACTGGCTGGGTGCCACTTCCTTATCAGCTGGGCTTAAACCACCACTATCTCACTGCCTAAAAGATTGCTACTCTTTTATTGCAATAGTACTTAAATACTGATCATTTTAACATAATAGATGTGAAAGAATAGTTCATGTAGTTAAGACCTGTAGGAACACAGGATTTGGGAATTCAAGCTATGGTGACTTCTACAGGCTCCTAATCTCAAATTTTCTTCCATTGCCACTAATAAACCAGGTCATTGTAGAGGAGGCAAAATGACTCCTTGCATGTCTTGATAAACCAACAAAAAACTTCTGAAACCTGTCTCAAAGGACATTTAGCAGCCAGTCTGACTCTTCAGCTGGCCCCAGGATGTCCATGGACAGCCAAGGCACCCTTTGCACACACCACGTACAAACACTGAGAAGAGAAACTGTAACACGGTGCTTCAGTGCATCTCGAGTATCAATGTGTGGCTCAGCTGAAATGGCTGATGCCTGAAGAAGTCTGTCTCAATCATAGAACAGAATCATAGAATCATTCGGGTTGGAAAAGACCTCCAAGATCACCAAGTCCAACCTTCAGCCAAATACCACTCTGCCCTCTAAACCATATTGTGAAGTGCCACGTCCACTTGGTTTTTGAGCACTTCCAGTGATGCTGACTCCACCATTTCCCTGGGCAACCTGTCCCAGGGCTTAACCATCCTTTTAATGAAGAAATTTTTCCCAATAACCAACCTGAACCTTCCCTGATACAGTTTGAGGCCATTTCCTCTTCTCCTGTCACTTGTTCCCTGGGAGAAAAGGCTGACCCACACCTGGCTACAACCTTTCAGGCAGCTGTAGAAAGTGCTAAGACCTCCAGCCTGAACACCCTGGTACCCTCACCCACTCCTCCTTGGACTTATGTTCCACCCTGTCTTCAATCAGACCCTTTGAGATAGTTTCTAAGCCAGTTTATTAAATCTTAGTTAAGTAACTATTTTTTATTCAGATAAAAACTATTTATTAACCAAGCACAGGCAATAAAAACTGTCTTTTGGCATAACAAAAGATGTGTGAAGCCCTCAGCTTTAAACAAGAGTTTTAAAAATACTCTAGTTTCTGTTAAAACCAACAGAACAGATTTTTTCAGTGCAATTCCAATACTTTATTTAAGCTGACACTAGTCAGATTGAAATCTAAATCCCATATCCAAATACCTCTTCTTATCTAAATAAGAAAACTTCAGCATAATTTCAATATATGACTTGTCCAACTCAGTATGAATTTCATTACAAAGCTGATAAGAGGAGAAATTAAACCTCTAGAAATGACTCTAACCCGGCAGATGAAAAATTCAGCCTTCTACACTCTGTGCATAAATTTGTAGGTGATTCTTAACAAGCCATGGACACACAGACAGTTCTCAAGGCAGAGCTCCGAGCTCAGGTGTCTTATGAGAAGGTTCACACACCACTTCTCCCTTTTGATGGGCTTTACTGTCAATCCCACATACATTAAACCCATATTTTGAATAGATCTATTACACTTCATCTTCTATTCAGCATCCATTCACAGCAGTACTGCATTAGCTTTTCCCTGTTTCTCCTCCACCCTGACAGAACTCACTTCTTTGTCCTAGCCCAACACCCAAGGCTGAGCCCCTTCATCCTGTAAGAGATTTGTGTTCTCAGACGGCAGAGCCAGCACAGCTCCAGCCCCCACAGCTGCCAGGAACATCCTCTATTTACCTGCACTTCCCAACAACTCCAATCCTCACAGATCCACCGAGCCAAATTAACTCTCCTGCCCACTCAACTGGCTGACTGAGCAGAGCAGAGAAGGTTCTAGGCAGACCTTAGAGCACCTTCCAGTGCCTAAAGGGGTTCCAAGAGAGCGGGAGAGGGACTTTGAACAAAGCCCTGGAGTGATAAGGACACGAGGGAATGGCTTCACACTGACAAAGTTAGACTGGATACTAGGAAGAAACAACAGTGAGGACTAGCACAGGTCGCAGCCAGGACAAATCCCTAATGCTCCAGAGAGAAAGAGCCTGGAGGGTGGTGGAACAAACAGAGCCCCAAAAACCTCACCATGGATCAAAAAGAAGCAAAAGGTAAAAAGCCTGTGCAAGAGAGCCCAAGGAACTACATGGGAGCTCCCTTGCTGTAGCACAGGGCTGTGTGACTTCACCTCTCGCTTCTTTCACTGGAATGATATCCCAGGACACGCAAGGAGCTGCACGTAAAGCCGCACAAGGAGCTATCAGCACGTGTGTGCTCCTCTCTCAACTTCAAGGAAATTTCAGTTATAAACTCACACTTTGGGGGTTGTTGAAGGTAGTTAACAGCACAAACTGTGAGGGCTTTTGGAACAGAATCATCCAGGCCTTGTATCTCACAGGGTGCACCCAGAGCCACTCATGACGGGCTGTGCCCGTGCTGGCACCGAGCCTGTCCCTGCCGCTCCACCCCTCACGAGACACTCATCCCACGAGCTGCCTGCCCACGCGGCTCCTAAGCCCCGTCGACTCCACGCTACTCAGGAGCCTCGAGTGACCCCTCAGCCTCACCTTGCAGTGCCCCACACCGCCCCGCCACAGCCGGAACACGCGTGGAGAGCAGAGCCCGGGGCGGCCCCGCCCGCCCACAGGTGTGAGGATCTGCCCCTTTCCAAGATGGCGCCCGCGGCCGTCGTCAGGGAGCGTTCGAGAGCGCCCTTCCCTTAACAAAGATGGCAGCGAGGGGGGGCGGGGATCCGCGCCGCGCGCCGGCGCTCCGCCGCCTCCCCTCCAATCAGCGGCCGCCAACTCTCTCGTGGAGGCGGCGGCGCGGCCAATGGGAGCGGAGAGCGTGGCGGCCGGGCGGGGAGCGGGCCAATGGGGCGGCGGCGGCGGGGGCAGCCGGCGTGGGGTGGTGGTGCCGGTGGTGCCGGTGCGGCGGGCGCTGCCGGGCGAGGCGGGATGCGGGCGGCCCACGGGCTTTGCGCGGCGCTGGCCCTGCTCTTGCTGCCGGCCGGTGGCCGAGCGCTGCGCGAAGGGGACTGCGAGGGTGAGTGCGGACGGGCCCGGCCCGCGGGCACGGCGGGGGGAGGCCGCTTCTCGCCGCCGTCTCCCGCAGTCTGGCCCGTCCGCCGGGCTGTGGGGCCGGGACGCGGAGCAGTCTTGGGGCTGTGACAGCCCCGAGTGACAGCCAGGCCGCCGGGGCTGAGCCGGGCCGGCGGGAGCGCTGCCTCCAGCGGCAGGAAAAGTCTCCCAAGTCTGGCCAAGTGCGGGCGGCCGGGCCGGGCCAGGCGCCGCTCGCAGGCGACCGGTGCCGGGGCGGTGCTCTGGGGTGTCCGGAGCCTGGGCGATGCTCGGGCGGCCCGTGGGGCAGGCGGGGCGGGGCTTCCAGCCGTGCCCCGCTCCGGGAACGGGATCTCCCTTCCGAGGGTACTGCATCTGTCGGGAAGTTGCCGGTCCTTCTCCACGGGGTCAGCGTAGAGTCCCCCAGGGGAAGAGGAGCGACGACTCCGGGAGACCGGACCATGTCCAGGCCGGGAGATCAGCGCTGTCGCAGCTCGGCAGTGGCAGCGCTCCCCGCCGGCTGTCCCGGCCGAGTGATGGTGTCCAGGGAGAACGCGAGTAAGGTTACTCAGCCGGACCTGGCCGGGACTCTCACTTAGTCATCGCAGTATTAGGGTCACGGAGGGCTCGGAGTCCTCTCAGTGCGCACAGCCCTTGATCCAAATCAAGTCGGGCCCTTTGTGTACCACGGAAATACAAACGCCTCAGGGGTGGAACCTGTTGAGCTGCTCAAATTAAGCTGCTCCTGTGCAGTGAACTGAACAGATTCCCCAAGTGAAGCAAGAAGAACTTGAGGTAGGGCTCCAGTAGCTGGTTGGGAGTTTGGAATACTAATATCCCTCCTCTACAGTAAGACAGAATGAGGGGAGGGAACCCTGTAAATCAAAACTTCCAGCTGCTGTCGCAGCACTAGACTGAAAACGTGTTTCTGTCCTACAGTGGCCGTCAGTGTCACTTTCTTCCCAAGGTTTTCACTTCCTAACAGCTTACAGTGGACATCAGTGTGTCTGTGACTGGGGATAGACTCGTGGGAGGTAAATAAGGGTGCTGTATGCATACAAAAAATGTTTTCCAAAATGGCCCATCTTATAACTAGTTCTAGCTTTAATATAATGAGAGTATATTTCTACTCAGTTCTGTGATGGCCACACTCCATTTCCTGTCCTGCCCAATTACTGTGCCATGCATTGTGTTCTGAGTTGAACACGAGTTGCTAATGACAATAATATTTGTCAGTCCCTTCCTGCTGGGGTAAACAAATCCCATAAAAGTCATAACTCATACTTGTTCCTTAGAGGCTGAATGGTTCCTGGCAGGAAGGTGTGAGAATCCCCAGGTGCTGAGCAGGAATTGAGGGGGCTGCAGAGTGCTCCGTCCGGGTGATGCTGATATCCACATATGAGTTGTGAGCAGTAGGATGACCAAAATCTGACACTCAGGGCATCCCTCAGTCATCCCACAGGCTGTCTGCCCTCCTTCCCAGCCACACACGGGAATGCTGCACTTTGGAGCACGTGCGGAGTGACTGCTGCCAAGGGAAGGAGCAATGACCGAGTTGTGCAGCCCTTCCCACAGGAACAGGCAGGAACCTGGATCTCTTCTCTCAACTGCAGCTGCACTTGTGGGAGTTGCACTATGTCTAAGAGTCTTCTCTCTTTCCATCTGAAACTGCATCAGAAGCTTTTGGAAACAAAAGAAGGAGAAAGGTGCCACATGGACGTAGCATGGGATCACATTTCTTTTTCTCTTGGAAGTAATTTCAACTGAAGTAGCCTGGTAATCAGTGATACCCTGTTACTGAAGTCAGCACATGGGGAGTCTCAGAGGATTATGTACAGAGTTGGTTTTCTGTCAGCACTGGGTTTTGTTACAAGTTGCTTCCCAAAGCAGCAAGACAACTTTAAATTTACATTTTTGCATGAGCGTGGTTTTGTATCCATGATATGATCCTGTGCTCACTCAGGACAGTGTACAGAGGCCCCTGGACACTTCCATGGATCTCATTTCTCAGATTCTCACACACTCACCAAAAGTACCAGGGCATGTTGTTGATTCACATGTGCTCTGAATGACTTTCTGAACCATAGGTGAAGTTCAGAAAAGTTCTGTTATCCAAACCCCCCGATTCCATTTCCCTACAAGTGTCCTCTAAGAGCTCCCATGAGATTACTGCTCTGGCTGATAACGCCATCCATCTTCCCTTCCAGTGTGTGTCACATTCCTGGGAAGGTTCTACCAGAGTCTAAAGGACAACGACATTGAATTCACACCTTCCAGTATTGAAAAGGAGCTCCTGAAATCCTGCAAAGAAGCAAAGGGCAAAGAGAACCGCCTGGTAAGTAGAGGCAGTCAGTAATACTTGCCTCCTGCAAATGAGGGGAAACTGAGTTTGTATGATGTGGCTTCCCAGGGGCTGCTTTTCCTGGCTCTGTGGCCACAGTTGGTCCTCTTTCTTTTCTAAGAGAGGACTTGAGGAGTTCAATCTCTTTACCTTAAAAAAAAAAAAAAAAAGAAAAGAAAAAAACTACCAGTAGTCAATAGTCAACAATGTCAGTAGTGACTGGACTGGCTGGCATCTCTCTGTTACTGAAGCACTGGAGATTACAAAGCTTTTGTTTGCTATAGGGCTTCCCTGTCCTTTAAATGGTATTTGGGGTGCTAAATCTGTTAAAATATTTATACTTTTTGGCTGTTTAGCTGAAAACGAAATAAAAGGAAACAAAATTGCCTTAACTAAAACCAGAGGCAATTTATAAATGCAGAGGCCCAAGGAAAACGCCCTGAACTCTCCTCAGAGAACTACAGAGATACCATCTGATATGCAGAGGGGAAACACTTCAGAGAGGCTCTTTGAATGAAGAAGACTTTATTCCTAATCCTGTTCAATTTTTATAAAGTTAAGAAACAATACCACCAGCCTCAGCAGCTGTAAAAATCAGTGCAATGGAAAACACCTGCTCAGTATTCTGGGTTCAGTTATGCTCCTTTTGCCCAGTTATAGCAGCCCCTTGGGGAGGCTCTGTAAGAGCAAACATCCAGCTGCAAAACCAGATGAGGACAGAAAATTCTGCTTTTAGAAGCTTTTTTTTTCCATGCATCCCCACTTCACTCTTTTCTTCTTTCTAGTGCTATTATGTTGGGGCCACAAGTGATGCAGCCACTAAAATCATTAATGAGGTATCAAAGCCCATGAGTCACCACATCCCTGTGGAAAAGATCTGTGAGAAGCTGAAGAAGAAAGACAGTCAGATCTGTGAACTAAAATACGGTGAGTTGCCTGCACAAGAGGAAATGCCCATGATTTGCTGGGGTGCGGATCACTGGGGGTGAAGCAACATCCTAAAACTACTCAGTCCTGAGTTCTGTAGCCTAGTTAGGTTGCACAACCTGGGTTGCTCTTCATGAACATCCTAGAGAGTTCTATGGAGATGTTTAGGTAAGACTGTTAGCTGCTAACCCTTCCTGGCTTCTGCGGGGATTCTGATCATCCCTGGAATAACTAACTGCCAGTGTAGCAGCACTGCTGTGCTCACATTGCTGTTTGGAATGTCGTGTTTGGGAGGGTATGGGGTACAGCCTGTGCTGGCAGCAGGCAGGGGTGTTGCTGTGGTGGGGCTCAGGCCCTTGGCTCAACTCTGCAGTCCCAGCTGTTCTCCTGTTCCCAGCAGCAGGGTGATAAATGCTGCTTTCTCACCTCCTCTGGTGTCCGTATCACCTTTTTGTATCACCTTCCTTGAAATCTCATGTTCCAAGATGACCCCTCTTCCTGAAAAAACTAATACAAAAAACAGTCATAAAAGTGCCACCTTCTGCTTTCCCTTGTCGCTGCCCTTACACCCCCTGGAGACACCCCTTGGAGTGCGGGTCTTTATACTTCTCATTTCTCCTACTAAGGTTGTGTTCCATCCTGAAAAGCTTTTTGTTGTTGTCACTTTCTTATCTTTCGCTTGAAATCACTCTGCTACATTTCTTTTATCCAGTGGAAGAGAAGTGTTGCTGCTCGTGTAATAAAGGGGCTTTCAGGGCTATTGTGGAACACCTGCATCTAAACTGCAGCCAAGCTTTCTATCTTCTAATAAGTTTTAGCATAAAGAGCTTTATCTGCTGTCCAAAACCTAACTTAGACGTTCCTTCCACCCCCGGAACCTCTCTCCCTATTGGGTTTTGACTTCCTCGCCCACCTGGCATGTCTGAGTGCAGCTCTGCTCTCCCCGCAGACAAGCAGATCGACCTCAGCACGGCCGACCTGCGCAAGCTGCGCGTCAAGGAGCTGCGGCGGATCCTGGATGACTGGGGCGAGGTGTGCAAGGGCTGTGCCGAGAAGTCCGACTTCATCCGCAGGATCCACGAACTGATGCCCAAGTACGCTCCGAGGGCGGCCGGCGCCCGGACAGACCTCTGAGGGCCGAGACCGGGGCCACCCTGGGGCGATCCCGGGGCTCTGAGGGGCGAGACCGGGCTGCGAGGGGACTGTGAGGGGCGACCTCGAGGCTCTGAGGGGCGACGCCGGCCCCGCGCTTTGTACGGGACTTTCATTAAAGTTCGCCGGTGTGTACCGGGCGGAGCCGTGCCGTGTGACGTGATTGCGGGATACACCCCCCTGCACACCCCGCTCCCCCCGGGTCCCGACATTCCCCGTCCCTCCCGCGCTGGCTCCATGCGCGGACCGGCCCGCGCCCGCCCCTCAGCCCGTCGGGGGGGCGGGGGCTCCGCCGCCCGCCCTAATTGGCCGCTCGGCCGTCGCGCGCGGGCGGCGGGAAGCGCCGTGTGACGTCACGGCCCCGTGACGCCGGCTTGCGGCGCGGTGCGCGCGGAGCGATGACGTAGGGCCCGCGCGGCGCGGCGGCCGGAGCCGCCTTCGCTCCCTTTTGTCCAAGATGGCGGCGGCCGCCGGAGGCGCCTCCTGAGCCGCGGGCCCGGCGCGATGAAGCGCGGCAGCGACCGCGACTCGAGCCCGCCGGGGGCCGCGGGCGGACGTGCGGCCGCCGCCGCCAAGCGGCCCCGCGACCGCGACCGCGAGAGCAGCAGCCGGCGCGGCCCGCACCGCAGCTCGGGCGCCTCCCGCAGCAGCCGGGACAAATCCACGCCCGGCGGCGGCGGCGGAGGCGGCGGCGGCGGCACCACCACCACCAGCAGCAGCAGTGGAGGCGGCTCTAGTTCCCGCAGCCACCGCGGCGATGAGCGCGCCGGCGGCGGAGGCGACTCGAACCACCGCCCGGCGGGGAGCGGCTCGGTCTCGGGCGCCCGCGGCGGCAGCCAGGCCGCCCCCTCGTCCTCCTCCTCCTCTTCGTCCCGGGCGCTCGGCGTGCCCAAGGCCAAGGCGCTGCCGGGCGCCGTGGTAGCTCCGTCGCTGCTGCTGGCCGGGCCGCCGCCGGGCGCCGCGCCCTCGCTGCTGCTGGCGCCGCTCGGGGGCTCGGCCGGCCTGGCCGGGGAGCCGCCCGGCTCCTGCGAGTACAAGACGCTGCTGGTGAGCGGGCTGAGCGCGGCCTTGCCCGACCAGCTGCTGGAGGACGGGCTGTTCCGCCTCTTCCAGCGCTTCGCGGGCGGGGGCGCCGGGGACATCAGTGTCAAGCTCTCCCACACGCCCGAGCTCGGCCGCGTCGCCTACGTGAACTTCCGACACCCCGGGGACGCCCGCGACGCCCGCCGGCACGCCCGGGCCCGGCAGCTGCTCCTCTACGACCGGCCGCTCAAGGTGGAGCCCGTCTACCTGCGCGGGGGCCGGCGCAGCCGCACGCCGCCCCCCGCGCCCTCCCCGGAGCCGCTGGGGTACCTGCCGCCTCTGCACAGCGCCTACCAGTACAAGCAGCGCTCGCTGTCGCCGGTCACCAGCCCCTTGCTGCGGGAGCCACGGCCCCGCCACGCTGCCGCTGCCGCCTTCGCCCTGGAAGCGGCTGCCATCGGGCTCTCCCGGGAGCGAGAGCGGGCCCTGGATTACTACGGGCTGTACGACGAGCGCGGCCGCCCGTACAGTTACCCTATCGTGGCCGAGGAAGACCTGATGCCGGAGGATGACCAGAGAGCCACCCGCAACCTCTTCATCGGCAACCTAGACCACAACGTGTCAGAGGTGGAGCTGAGGCGCGCCTTCGAGAAGTATGGCATCATCGAGGAGGTGGTGATCAAGCGCCCCGCACGTGGCCAGGGCGGTGCCTACGCCTTCCTCAAGTTCCAGAACTTGGACATGGCTCACCGGGCCAAGGTGGCCATGTCGGGCCGCGTTGTGGGCAGGAACCCCATCAAAATCGGCTATGGGAAAGCCAACCCCACCACCCGGCTGTGGGTGGGGGGCCTTGGCCCCAGCACCTCCCTGGCCGCCCTGGCCAGGGAGTTCGACCGCTTTGGCAGCATCAGGACTATTGACTACGTGAAGGGTGACAGCTTCGCTTACATCCAGTACGAGAGCCTGGACGCTGCCCAGGCCGCCTGTGCGCAGATGAGGGGCTTTCCCTTGGGCGGCCCGGAGAGGAGGCTCCGAGTGGATTTTGCCAAAGCAGAAGAGACGAGATACCCGCAGCAGTACCAGCCCGCGCCGCTCCCCGTGCACTACGAGCTGCTGGCTGACGGGTACAGCCGGCACCGGAGCCTGGAGCAAGACTTGAGGGTGCGGGATAGGACTCCTCCGCACCTCCTGTACTCGGACAGAGACAGGAGCTTTGTGGAGGCAGACTGGGCCAGCCCTGCCAAAAATGCCGAACGCAGGAACAACCTGGAGAGCTACAGCCGGTCCATGCGCAGCCGGAGCGGGGAGCGCTGGGGCAGCGACGGCGACCGCAGCGTGCCCAAACCGTGGGAAGAGAGGCGGAGACGCCGGAGCCTTTCCAGTGACCGCGGGAGGACTACTCACTCGCCTTACGAGGACAGAAGCAGGACAAAGGCCAGTGGGCCAGCTGTAGACCGCAGCCCTGACAGGGCACGCAAGGAGAATCACACTACAGAACCCGGAGCCGAGAAAGAGCAGAGCAACTCCCTCCAGAACAATCGTCACGCGGCCGAGGAGAAACCCCATCGCGAGCCAGCCGATGCTCCCCAGCCCAAAAAAAGGGACAGCGAACGCAATCATCGAACTGGTGAATCGGAATCAAAAACTCACGAGGAGCCAAAATCTGAGACCAAAAAGCTAAAGAATTTATCAGAATATGCTCAGACACTGCAACTTGCTTGGAATGGGCTTCTTGTGCTAAAAAACAGCTGCTTCCCCACCTCTATGCACATCCTGGAGGGAGACCTGGGTGTCATCAACGGACTCCTCAAAGACCATTCATCTGGCGGGAAGCTGACGCAGCTCAAAATCGCTCAGAGACTTCGGCTGGACCAGCCCAAGCTGGATGAAGTCACCCGGCGCATCAAACAAGGCAGCCCCAACGGCTACGCTGTGCTCCTGGCCACCCAGTCCGCCCCGGCAGGGGCAGGGGCCGAGGGGACCTTCCCTGTGGTAGAGCCTGGCTTGCAGCGACGGCTTCTCAGGAATCTGGTCTCCTACTTGAAACAGAAGCAGGCTGCTGGGGTTATCAGCCTGCCCGTGGGAGGGGCGAAGGGCAGGGACAGCACAGGCATGCTTTACGCGTTCCCTCCTTGCGAGTTCTCTCAGCAGTACCTCCAGTCAGCACTAAGGACATTGGGGAAGTTAGAAGAAGAACATATGGTGATAGTTATAGTCAAAGACACTGCCTAGCCCACACTGTCTTTTCAAAATCCATGTTTTCTTTGTGTGTCACACAGCCCAGTTGTTTTTAAGGCTGATCATTTTGGTTGAGGCTCAAAACACCTTGACCAAGGTGGTAAGATTTTTAGTTTCTAATTAATTTTAATACCTATAATATCTATTAAAATTTTAAATAGAGCCCATTTTATTCGTTTTTAATATGTGACACTGTCCGCTGTTGTTCTGTATTTTTATTTTTTAACTGTATGAAAAGTTGTCAGTAAAGCCTTGTTCACTGATGGATTTCTAAACTTGTGCGGTATCCGAGTTCTTCTGGCCCAGGAAGGATGAGTTCCCTGTGCTGCAGGAGCAGCCAGGCCAGGCGAGGCCCCAGCCCCACTCTCAGATCCCAGCCTCGAGCACCTCCTTCATCTTTATGTGTCCTTCAAGGTGGGAGGGGAAGGGAGGTTCTTTCTGCTGTATCAGAGACTGAAAGGTTGGTTCTCTATTTTTTTTTTTTTTTTGGTCCTGTTTGCTTTTAATTTTGTAAATTTGAGTCTGGATGCTTTGCTGTTGAGTCTCTATTTGAGAATAGAAGCTTCCCAGGAAGCCAGCTACCAAGGAAGCAAATCCTGATCAAGAATAAAAGTGTTTTTCATAAGCACCAAAAAATTAGTTGATACTTGGCAAAAAGTTTGCTACTGAGGAGTGGATCCTGTATTCAAGTTGGTGAGGTTTGAGACCACCTGGTACATGTCTCAGTCATAGAAGTTCTTGGATAAACCAGAAAAGGTTTGACGTTCCCAATTTTTATAAAAGGCAAAAAACATGCAGAAGGAAAAAAAGTGATTTAAGGGGAACCCTCTTGTGCCCATATTAGATGTGGACAAGTCAGGGGCATGAAGGTGTATGGTGAGCTGGAGATGCCCATTTGCAGTCAATCGTGTTGTACTACCTGTAATCTTTTATTGAGAGATAAATGGCTATTTTTTTTCCTGAAGTTTAAATTTGTTTGCAGGCTTTCAAAAAAAGACAGAAATATGTCTGTCTGGCTGAGAATGTGTTCTGTTACCACAGGTGACCTGTAATAGAGCAACCACTGGAGATCCAAACCTGAGCTCTAGAACAGCTCTAAATCCATCATCTTTGCTGTCTGTGGTGTGAGCTAGTTGGTTGGGAGGCCAGACCCTCTGAGTGCTGAGCAACATAAGGATGTGGTAACAAGTCCAAGCTGGAGTTAAAATCCACACTGTTATGTTTGGGGATATTTTTATTTTTAAAAATGATGTAGATTTTAGGAGACTTACAGAAAATTGTGTGGGATTAAAAATGCTACATTTTAAAGTTTCTTTAGATTTGCAGGTGGTTTTTTGTTGTTCTCATGGTAAGCAAGTGAACAAATTCGTGGGAGAATCAGATTTATCTTGCACCAATCTCTGTGACCCAGCAACTCGCTGAGGTTTACCAAAAGCCCTTCTAAAATTTCTCTTAGGTATGATTGGTGTCACGACCTACTTAGCAGGGAGCATAACTCAGTCTAATGATTATTTTTCACTTTTTAACCCTGCAGATGTAGGGACATCATCAGCTGATGATGGGTCATTAACATCAACAAGTGTAGGTTGGTTTGTTGGGTTGGGGGGGGGTTTGCATTTCACTTGATGCTTCTTCCGTGAAGACACGGCTCAGAGGGGAACTGAATGGGAACAGCAGGGATCCGGGAATGTGCTGTGGGAGCAGAGGAGCAGCTCCGCTATCCACAGCAGGCAGGCTGCTCTGGTGGCACTGCCCTGCCCCGCTGTCACACGGTTCTAGGGACACCAGCTCCACCCCCGCGACCGAGTCCCCGATGCTGCTGTAACGCAGACGGTGCCAAATGTCAACAATTGTAACGGTTCGCTGTTATCTGAAACCAAGTG